AATGGTTTTAATATTGATCATACTTATAATGATTTTAAACCATTGTCCAAAATATTTGACCGAGTGTAGTTGAGTATTATATGTTCGTTTTGAAAAATTCAAATTGCAACATATGCAAAAAAAAGTTAAATTTTTATTTAATATTTATATAATATAATATAATATCATAAATTAAAAATAATATCAAATAAAAGTGAAAGAAGAATAATATTTTTTAAATAGACTGTATTAAATTAGTTAGAGAAATATTAGTAAATCCTATAATTAGTTATGGAAATAATATAATCCTAAAATTAGATTTGGAAAGTATCCGGTGTGTGTATCCAAACCCATTAATCTATCCAACTTTAAAATATCCAATTACAAATTTCGGGTAATTTTTTGAAATTGACCCGACCCGACCCGAAAGCACTTTTTGTACTTTTCTTTTACTAATATAGGGATTGGGAAAGGAAAGGCAAAGGACTTGATCAAATATTTGTTCTAAATACAACCATATTCGTATGTTAACAAGACATTTATATTGTTTGCATGTGTAGCTATGTGATTTTGTGTATATTTTGTGTAGCTAACAATTATTATCATAATTGATAATCCCATCCCAAGTTTAAATGATGGTATGCATATAGTTTAATCTCCAAGTTTTCATAAATTAATAGCATTACCTTGTTATAGTTGTTTCAAGTTGGATTAAAGCTTAAGAATTAGCTCATTAGATTTAAGTGTAGTAAGTAAATTATTAGAAATCAAAAAAAAAAAAAAAATCTGATCAACAGCATCAAATAATTTAAGATTCGATTTTGATATATTTTAACGAAAGAGTAGTAACCAACCACACAAGATTTAAAGCTGCTTAAAGAACAAAAACAAAATAGCTAAGGTGGGACAAAAACAACTAATATCCTCCGCCAGCATATGATTCGACCACCACTCTTAACGTGGTCTAACCACTAAGCCACCACCAACAAGACTAAGGCCAAGACTCTGGTTCTGTTGAGGCTGCCACTCATGTAGATATTCATTGTCATTGTTGGGTTCTTTAAACCCAAGCCAACTTTCCATTAATATGATATTGTCCGTTTTGGTCCCATAACTCAAGCCCGTACGAATTTGTTGAGCTCCTTCCTAAAAGGCCTCATAGTAATTAGAATTGAATTTGACTTATATAATAGAAACTTCTCTTTCTAATCTTCCGATATGAGATATTGGTTTGTATTCCAATAGTCATCACTAAAACTTTGGTTCATCAAAGGTTCAGATTTTCCATATTTTTGAATAAGCTCTCTTTCAGATTCCAAACGGCTTGTCCGGTTCATGACAACAACATCTTTACCGGAAAAATAGTTAAATTCAGGCAAGTCATCATCATCAATTCATCATCATCATCACGAGCCATGGTCGCTGGACCAAAACCAGGTGGCACGTCATCTATGAGTCCTTTTCTAGGTATTTCTTGTTTTGTGAGTTATATTGTGGTGGGTTTTTAAATTGTGGTCTTCTCCATACAACAACACCTATAAGACCATCATGTAAGGATTTCAAGAAGTCAAGTTGGTTTCTTGGAACAATCTTGTTTAGAATCTTTGCGGTTTTGCCACCGGTTGGGCAAAGGTAAAGCTCAACTCCTGAAGCCGGTTCTGCAAATCCTACCCTCTCATCTTTAGCGTACAAATCAACCACCTGTGTAATTACGTAATCACATTTCGCAAACTTGTTACATTTGTGTATAATTAAACACATCTACTGAGTCAACTACCGACGCTCATACCTCGGAAATGTTGTCTTGTTCGGTATTTGAGCACTCTTTTCTGCAGATGAATGACATAACCTGAAGCACATAATCAAGCTTTATAATTATAAGTACACATGATGGATAAAAGAGTTTTGCAGTGACTTAACAATATCAGACACAAGAATGACTAGCTTCCTTTTTTGACCAAGAACACAGCTTTCCATGAATGTGTGTACAATAACAAGAAGAGTCAGGATACAAGGTAAACGTGTGAAAAATATACCATAACAGCACGACTCTTGGAATTTGGAAGCTCGCGGATAAACTTTTCGAATGCATCTAATCTGACTCTACCCTTGATTTCAAGCAACATAGGCCACTCTTTAGTAGTAGTCTTTTCGCCACTGTCAAGAGTAAGAATCAGGTTAGTAAACATGGTATTAATAAATGTTTTTTTTTTTGAATAATCAAAGAGGTTTTGGGCCGAAGCCCATACATCCTCTCAGACCCGAAACCGAAACATGTTATATGGTTTCGTCCCAAGCGCTACTCGAACCGGCGACCTCTAAGCTATTGCCAGAGATGTTTACCAATTGAGCTATTAGCACTTGGTTTTAATAAATGTTTTAACATGTCTCTATCAATTAATTGTTTGTCTCTATCAATTTCACGACACTTCTTACACTACGAACAATGTTCGGCAATGGACCTATCACCTATGTCCACAAAATAACCACTTGGTATGACTAAGACAACATTTACAACTACTTCGATACTCGTTACCTCCACAGATAACTAGCTACACACAGTTCTGAACCAAAACATTTGATCACCACATGTTCCAATACACATGTGTTTCAGCAAGTAACTTGACTCGCCTACATGCATAATTCCCCTAGTCAATGGAATTAGGTATAAGATATGAATGCATGGAGCTTGGATTAGACTTTCATGGCCTAAAGTTCAATTTTCGTGATTCAATAGTTTTTCTTTCGTACCAAATATTGAAAATATATATAGGAAAAGTGCTTAGGAACATAACTCAAGAAGTGTTTGTCAACAAAAAAAAACTTTTGAGAGTCAAGTTTGGGCAATGTGATTGATCGATCTTGTGCTGGTATTGTATATTACAAGCTAGTTCGTCGGAAGCAGATTCAGTTCCAAAGCAAATCAAATCGCGAACATGGGAAACTCTTGTTGTGTCAGGATATGCAAGATGTGTAATTTTATGGTAGGCAGCTACTAATTAAGGCTTTACCTGAATCATAGGTTTCAAGAGAGAAAATGACACAATCTTTAACTCTTGAAGTATCACGTGTCAGTGGGGCCCGCGAATAGTGCATAAAGAAGACAAAGGACTGTCCCGTTTTAATGTATGTTCCAAACTTTTTTTTTTCTTTTTAAAAAATTAAATTGTGGGGACTTTTGTTAGATATGTCAATGCACATAGTCTTAGTTAAACGAAGTAAACAACATTCTCTTAAGTGGTCCTAACTACAACCCATTTAGATCATTGGCAGCGGCGGTTCCCCACCCAGTCTTCCACAATTTAATTTTTTTTAAAAATGAAAAAAAAAAAAAAAACGGGACATACATTAAAAAAGGGACGTCATTTGCCTTCTTTCTTCATTATTCGTGGGCCCCACTAACACGTGGCGGCCCGCGATTGGTTGTTTTAATAAAAAAAAAAAAAAAAAAAAATTCTTAGGACAAAACCTAGTCCCAACCAATGCACATAGTCTTATCATCTTAGTATAAAACAACAAAATAACAATTTTCTCCTTTCCCTTGACTTTTTTTCTCCGTTGACCTCTCTTTTTATGTAGCAACGACCACTTCTTGTTCTTCATCTAATATTCAATCTTCTTGTTCTTCATCATCTTGTCATTCTTGTCTCTAAGCATCTTCTCTTTCTCAAATGCAGGCTTAATCGAAGACTCATACCTCAACACTATATAAAAGTGTTGAACAAGTGATGTGATCCAGACTTATGAGCGATTCTTGAATCTTGATTACTCACAACTTTCCCGTTACTCTTTTCAGCTGGTTGTTAAATGCTAGCTTGGACAGTTCACATTGCACAATAAATATGAGTGCTAATAGCAAGAGGCAAGAGTTTGGTACTTGGTAGTTGACCAACTCTACATGCACCATTTTCGAGATTCTGATAAGCTTGTCTCAAACAAGTAATGAAGCAAAACTATACATGTTTTGACACAAAGATAGATTATGAGGCCGAAATAAAACCTAATGGTTGGACTGACATGGACTCTGAATCCATAATGGGCTGGCTCATTCGAGTATGGAGTACTTTTATTTTGTACTACACGCATGTACTACTTCTTTGTTTCAACTTAAATCCAATAGAGTACTACTCCAACACACTAACCAGGAAGCTCCCAAAATTTTGGTAGACGGACGAAAACGAATCGTGCAAATAATAAACATCTCAATGAATTTTAAGTTAATGTAGATTTAAAACACAAATGTTGGTGAACAAAAAAAATAAAAAAAAAAACAAAAAACAAAAATGTCATCCTCTTAAAGAACAATTTGCATGAATTTGAACACTAATTTGATTTGTTCAAATATATATATTTCTTATGCAATATGTAATCCATTAGAAAAAAAAATTATATGCGAACAAATATATAAAATTTTAATTTATTTACAGTGTTTTTTTTTTCTGTGTATTGTAGTTGTTTCTAATTGACTTTTATAGTACACGTGCCTAACAATTTCCCCTAACACGTCACGTAATAAACTTCCAATTTAAACGGAGAAGCAACCAGCTCTGCGGACACGTGTCACCACCGCGCCAACCGGTGGCGCGTCACCCTTAGCTATTCCGGCTAACTCCAAACGTCGATGAGCTGACGGGCGAGGAAGATTCTCCGGTACGATGGTCTCTAGCGAGTTCTCAAGCCAAGGCGGACAAGTCCTTTTGTCGCTCCACCTCCGCGGTGGCGGTGCCGCCATCTCTTTCGCCGGCGAATCCACAACCGCAGCTGCAACCGATGCCACGTCACTTATCTGAATTGCCCCGATCAAGACGGTCGCCGCTACGCCTAAGACAAGAGAAGACTTGTTCTTCCGTGGCTCCGTCACATCCTCTCTTGTTCTCCTACTAATCAAATTAAAAAGAACATAATGAACTTTGATCATGTGAAAATGATCATGATAGAAGAAGAAGAATAGATATATACCAAGAGATGTGTGATGGTTTCTTTAATGATTGTGTAGAGTTTGAATCTAAGAGAGGAAGATTTAGACAGAAGCTTATTCTCCCTGCCATTGTTGTTCTTGTTCCTCTGTTTTCGTTTTTTTCTCTTTAGAATCCAACTAAGGCAAATTTTATTTTATTCTTTTCTTCTCCTATATATATATATATAACTAAATTCGACCCCTACAAATGTATAATAGACAGTTTTAAAACAAAAATAGGAAATTTATCATGAAAATTTTTTAAATATTTAAAAAGTTACTCAAACATCTTAATGGAATATATTTAGATAATTATACATAAATGAAACCATAAACATTATGGGAAATTGACCACAATTTTATTAAGTTTGTACCATTGATAATTTAGAAATTAATAAAGTAAACAAATAAAAATATACTAAAATATTTTTTTTTTTGTTTGGGTTATTTACTCGAAGATGTCATTATTCGTCAGAAAACATTTTCTCAACAATACTGTTGATTTTCAACGGCAATTTTCATAATGTTGTTCATATGTGATTGATCACACTCGATATAATAAAAACCTCTACAATTTTAATGTATAACTAGTTTCTTACATGTTGATTGGTATTCCGATAAATTTACATATTATGTGGAAAACTAAATTTTATCGATATAAAAAAGGTAATAAATGTTTTTATGTATGTTATATCAGTTCAATTCAAAAAGTATAGTTTTTTCTCCTAGATGATTAACATAATAACAATTTATATAGAATGATAAGATCGTTGAAGTATTTTAATTGCTGAAATTATGTAAAGACAAATCAAATGTTTGTAAGAAGGCTATACACATATCAAGAAGATAAATACAAAGATTAACTATACACACTTATTATGTAAAAAATAATATTTAAATACACAATTTGTCAACAAATGTTAAATATTTAAAATATTTACAATATACCAAGCATGTGAGTCAATCAAGACAAAACTAGAAGTAATTATAACTAGAAATGGCAAAGACAATAAGCCAAGATAAGAAAGAACAAAAATAACATGATTAAGGGAGATACAAAACTAGATTAGTCCACTTTCATAGTTTAATTCATATCCTAATCATGTAATTATACCAAGTATTTTTTGCAACTAACAATGATAAGGAATCAATGAGATTAAGAACAATAGTCACAAATCACATTGTGTATAATGGTCGTTTGTCGTTTAATTTAAATATATAACATACGCATGAAGCGGCTATTGAAGCTCTTCGGTCTTGATTCATGGCGCTTCAATGGCCACTCCCTCACCCACAATTAAAGGAAATATATATATATCACTAGTTAATATTAAAAATTAGATACATCTTCGATATATAACCAAATAGATACATCTTCGATATCTAATCAAATAGATACATATACAAAGCATCAAGCATATTGTTAAATAAGTAGCTCGCAACATAAGCGTATCGTAAAAGGTAGTTAGAGATTCTCCTAGATTTAGTTTACTCTATATATGTAATCTTTAAACTTCAGTATGAATACACAAAGAAATTCATCGACTTTGTTTCTCTTTATCTTGATACTTCAATAGTTTGTGTCACTATATATTTTAATGCGATAATAGAAAATAGTGCATTTTCAAAACAAAATTAGAAAACTAGTATATTTACTACTTAATATTAGCTAAAATTTCACTATTTTTTACTGTTTGACTGATCTTACATCTAAAATTGTCTCTATAATTTCTATTTCACATGTCTTCTATTTTACATAGTGAATTCTACTATTTATTTTCTTTTTAATTCTATATAATAGATGAATATATATTCTGTTAAGGTTCTAAAATGTATTAAAACTAAATTTTAATCCACAGCCGCAATACACCGCGTGACAACCTTTTTTCGTCGTATTTAGGGACAATTTATTTTATCAAGATTTATAATTTTGCCACTCTCACTTTGACTTAATTTTTTTCTAGTCAAGTGCTATATAATGCAATTTCTCTTTTATCTTTCAGATCAAAATTTAGTTATTTAAAGCCAAAACTAATAAACCATTAATTTAGTAAAAAAAATTGAAACTATCCATTTAATTAATTGTATTTAGACAAAACTGTTAAAAATAACATATATGGCCGTGTATAGCACATGAGACGTACTGGACTAAACTCCTAATTATTTTACATTCATTTAGTTATATTTTGAGTCTTTGACTTTGTTTTAGATGTTTGTTTTTCCAAATTGAAGAAAGCTATTGATCAAGTTTCATCAATTAAATATCAGTTTAGTGAAGTTATTTATTTTTATTTATTATAGATCTTTCGTATAGATAATCAAAACATTTGGAAAATAAATATATGCCACATTTGATTTACTAAAATTATTTTGACTTTTAACTATAACTTTCACAACAACATTTATCAGGCTTGCGTTGACAGGGGATCAAAGCATAAGCATGATCTCTACATAAAAAAGTCGCACATCTCTCTTCCAGCACGACATAAGATTACTTATGTCGTCCTGCACTGTGTTACACGTTGTTTTATTCCATAACTTTTTTTTTATCAAAAACATTAATCCAATATATAATTTACTGAAAACATAACACAATTTTTTTGTTCATATATTTATTACACAATTTTTTGTTCATATATTTATTATTAAATGAGGATATAGTAATAAACCAATATACATGCAGTTGTCATGCGACGATTAACATAAGATACGGTTAGGAGGACAGTTAAAACAAATGAAATTAAACTTTTTGTGGTGATAGCCATTTTTCTAATAATCTCTTAACTTTTTTCTTCTTATTTGTTTAGTCTTTAGACTACTGATTATATACATATACACAAAGGAATATCGAGGAAGTATTTATTCAATTAATTACTGGTCCATGCATGTGTATCAGGAAAAATCTCTATGATTGGTATGTTTAGGAATTGGTCTTTATGTTGTAGTTATTATAGATATGATCATATTAATTTTGGCAAGTAAGATATATGGTCTTGTAATATAGAAGGACACACATACATCATATTCAACTCCAATTATCCTGGACCGTTTCTATTTACAGCTTGATTGGTTGTTGCTTTGAAATCTCTTCACAATCATATTTTGGTCTACATCTCAATATCTAAAACAATCATACTTTACAAAATTATTTTCTTTTTTTTTAATCACAGCTAAAATATTTTTTTAATAATTTTTTGACTGTAAAAAACCATTTTTCCTACAGCACATATTTTTTAGTTTTCCAAATTTTTAATTTCAACAGCTCAAATACTTTTTCAATAAATCTAGAGGTACATCAAAATAATCTTAAAATCTACACAAGTCACATAATAATAACCATGATCTCGACAAAGTGATGCTTTTGGGTCTCCCTCCAGTTCGACATTGTCCTATTCTATAGAACTGATAGAAGTATTGTAGATCATGTCTACAATTATACAATGTTGTACATGAAATATTAGTCGTGTTCATACGACAGTGAACATAAGAGACTTGGCATTTTTTGAATCCACCATCAGCATCTTCAGGTTATTGATGATCATCAGTAAAGATGTAAAGGATTCAACCTTTTTGTATCTTGTTAATGTAATTTGCGTAAAACTTGAACCGAATGTTTTGTTCTAACTATGGTAACATAGAATCTAGCTAGAAGAGCCTACAGTTTTTTCATTGTGTTTTATAACTAAAAAGAGAAGCTATTCACAGTCCGAAGATAGACTATTCAAAATCTGTTTCACCACTCAGACGATACATATAGCTGCGATCTTGTTCATCGTCGATCGTTATATGAACTTGACGTTATAGTTTACTCTTAAGGTAATATAGAAACAAGAAGAAATTATATAATGCGAGTTTTTCATTGAATTTTTAAACAAAACAAAAAAAAAAACTCTTAAATGAGTCTATTTAGTTTCATTACAAAACATTAAAACCAAAGCATAGAGCCATATGACTAATGACTCTTTTGTTGCACTGCTCTACGACAGATAGGGCAAGACCTACACCTCATTAACCACTTTCTGATACATGCTTCATGGAACCGATGCGAACACTGCGACAGTTCTCTAATGTCCCATTCACTATTGTCGTCACCGGTGCAAAAATCCTCTAAACAGATGGAACATGTGGACTCGTTTTCTTCATCCGCAAGGCAAGAACCAGGGCTCACTGAGATCACCTTTTTGGTAAAAACAACGTCAACGGTCATGAACACCGGTTGTAAAAGTCCAACGCTTAGAGCCGCACGAGCTTCGATCGCGTTAGCTATATGTATGGACGAGGGAAGATCATGGAGACGAGAATTGATGAGTGGTATGATATGAAAGGCAGAGAACTCGTGGTCTAAAAGATTCAAACATATTTGAGGAGTTGGGGGAGGTGGTGCAGGATAAAACCCAGTACAAGTGATGGTTCTGTCGGATTTGTCAATCACAAATTCGGATTTGTCAGTCACAACATTGGATTTGTCAGTCACAAAGTCGGATTTGTCAATGACAAATCTCTTGAATCGTCGAGAGAGGTTGATGCAAACAGTGCTGAAGATGGAACCAAAGTTTAGGGTGAAAGAAGGTAAGGTTGAGTAGGTTTCCCAGAGCGGTTCTGTATTGATATGGATATCGATTTTCACATCTCCAGACTCCATTGTTAAACACAAACAAACTTACCAAAGCAGACACAACAAGAGATGAAGTCGTTAGGTTTTGAGATGAGAAGAGAGAAAGTGATTGCTGATGTTGTTATTTATAAGTATGAGAGATTCTTGAAATTTCCTTTTGTTTTTGGTAAGTTTCCTTTTTGGTTTGGGTTTTACCGAAACTCTGTTTTTGTTGTTGTGATTTACCTTTTCCTATTCGAACTAGTAGATTGGAATTAAAATTCTTTTGTTTACTTCCATTTTCTAACCAATCAGAACTTGTGATCTAATCAAAAAATTAAAATAAATTTGAAGTATTATTTATATGATAAATTAATAATATATCATTGGGTTTTGATTTTACAAGATTACATGTTGGTTTACGTTTATAAAAAACGGAATAAGGTTTAGATTTTAAGTTTACAAAAACAAAAAGTTTAGATTTTACAATTCAACAACATTTTATGTCGGTTTGGGTTTATAAATGATGGTTAGGGTTTATATTTCACAAATAAACGAGAATATATTCCGGTTTGAGTTTGTAAACGAAGATTAGCGTTTATATTTTAAATTAAATTAAATAAAGTTATATGTTGATTTAGGTTTATTAAGGATGATTACGGTTTAGATTTTGTAACCGAACAAAGATATATGTCGGTTTGGATTTATAAATAATAGGAGGTATTAATATATCGATTTGGGTTTATAAAAGAAAAAGAATTAGAGTTTAGTAAATGAGATTATAGTTAAATTCATAATTCTGTTAATGATTTTATTTTAATATGTTTTATTTATTTAATTTAATATGATATGACGCAGTTTAATTGGATATAACAAAATGTGGATGATTTAATAAAAAGGTTCACAAGTATTCCTCTCCAAGATTTGGATGATTGTGTAGACTAAATTAGAAAATAGTGATAGGTAATTTTAGTCGGCTTGTTATATGGTATGTAATGGGTTGGTGTGGTCAATTACAAAACTTAACACATCGAAATATCACACCCAACTATGTACATATCTCTCTGTAACCTAAAGCCCAAAGAATGAACTTGAGCTTGACGACCCATTAAGGCATTAACATTGGAAATGTTAGATCCATACCAAAGACACAAATTGAAACAACAACAACAGTCGTGAATACATTTGCTACCTCTAAAATAAAAAACGTACGCGTATCATGGCATTGTGAAAACAAACTTATTTGATAATGATAGACACATTAGCATGTGTCATTACATGCTCCCACGTCAACAAGCTTCTTGTCGGTCAGTTTAATTAATACAGAAACAAGTAAACCATCGTTGTCGTGAAAAGATCCACACAGAAAAGTTTGTAATGGCGAAATAATTTATATCCGAATATTTCCCAAAAAATACTATGAAATTTATAGTTATAGTTAATTTTGTATTAGTAGGAGAGTTGTTTAAAACACCACTCGTTCAATTTAATCTAAAAAAAAATAACAATTTAGTACACGACCAAAAAAAAATAATAACAATTTAGTATTTTAGACTGTCCATTAATTTTTTTTTGATTTAGAGGTTTAATCTGGTATTGATAGCTATTCCGAAGATTAATCTAGAGAAAAACATATAAGAGAATAATTTAGATAAATATGTAAATTATCAGTAAAAAATTAAAAAAAAAATAATTCTTCAAAAATAATTCTTCAAAAATAATGTAATAAAATCATATTGAAGAATCAGCATTTCAAAAATATAAATAGAAAGCTCGACCAACAATAAAAATTGTCCATATTTTTCTGTGCAAAAATCTTATGCTCAAGCTTGTTCAAGCGAATTAGACCTCTTTTATAAACTTTTAAACTTTTCTTGATCAATATAAAAAATCGTTTACTTATATCTCTATTATTAAGTTGTCTCATTCCTTTAAATTTTCAATTAAAATGAGGTTATCAAAGAAATGTATAAAAATAGCAGAAAAATTAAATATATATTTTTTTTAAACTAACAATTATGAAATTTTACACATTATGAAATTTAAATACTGTATACAATATTTAACACACTAAAAAGTATTTCTTTTCAAAATAATAAATCACTTCAATTCTAAATATCATTATACAAATTAATAAAGAATTGAAGCAATTTTTAACCCATAAATTATGCGAGAAAGATATATATCAAAATCCGATTTAATCAACTAAATAAAAGTAATATATTTAAAATTTTATCCCATGTTTCCTTTCTTGCTATTTTTCAAAATATTATGCTTACAAAATGTAAATAATATGTTGACAAAAAAACAAAATGTAAATAATATATTCTATTTAAAAAGGTATTAATACGCCACCGTTTTAGTATTTTCACTTTTTCACGTTAAACTTCCTTTTTGTTTCTTTGCCTTTTAATAACCGTCGGACTCGTATTTCTCGCCTCCGCCGGCGAACAGCTTTCACATCTCTCATCTCTCTCTCTCCCTTCGCGTGTTCTAATTTGTACCACAAAACCCTAATTTACTTAAACCCTAAAATTCGTGCAACCCTTTAAACAATTGCTTCAATTTCATCTTCGATTCCGAATCTCTCATCCACCACAGCTACATTCCACGTTTCGAAATCTCGTTTTTTCAAATCGACTCGCTGACTCGTGAGTTGACTCGTAAGCTCTAAATTTGTTTTTTGCTTTTAGAAATCTATTTAACGATGACGCGATATGGAAGAAACTAGAGGAATCCCTGATCCGGAGAATGGGAGTTCGAGTTACGGCGGTAAACCGCCGAATCCTCTCTCCTTCTCTTCTTCCTCCGCCGCCGTCTACAGGCAAAGCTTCGACGGTGAGCGATCGTTGGCTCCGTGTAATAAGAGGTCGCTTGTTCGACACCCATCTCTCGTAAGATCCCTTTTTCTCAAAGTTTGATTTTTTTTTGGTGCTTTTGGGTAATTCAGGTTTTTTATTAAATGTGATATCTTTGTGTATTGATTGTTCAATTAAGTTGTGTTTTGATCATTATTAGTTTCCTAATTTGCTTTGAATCAATGAAAAATTGAAACTTTTTTTCTTGAATTGTGTATAATTAAAGACAGCAATTTCTGGTTTTTAATGTGTCATTATGAGATGTTTGAGTGTTGAGGTTTGTGATTCTGACTGCTTGGTTTTGGTAGGTGAAGACGAAGGTGTCAGATATATCTGTTGAGAATGAGTTTACTTTAGAGAAGAATAACTCTGAGTTTGTTCCTGCTATGCGTTCTGGAGCTTGGTCTGATATTGGCTCCAGGTCTAGCATGGAAGATGCTTATCTATGTCTTGATAATTTCATGGATAGCTTTGGACTTCAGAGCTCTGAGGCTGGTCCAAGTGCCTTCTATGGGGTATGTTCTTTCTTTACTTTTCTTGGTTTTATGTACTAACTAAAGCAAACCACTTTGAAGTTAAGAATGGTTTGGAATTGGAATAGTGGAGTCTCTTATTTATTTTCTTTGTATTAGGTGTTTGATGGACATGGTGGGAAGCATGCAGCTGATTTTGCATGTCACCATATACCGAGGTACATTGTCGAGGATCAAGAGTTTCCTAGTGAAATCAATAAGGTGATGTCTTCAGCATTTCTTCAAACAGACACTGCCTTCTCAGAGGCTTGTTCATTGGATGGGGGACTTGCTTCAGGAACTACTGCTTTGGCAGCTATTCTTTCTGGGAGGTTAGCTGATTCAACTCTTATTTGATTTTAAGTTACGTTTTATCTAAAATCTAAAAACTCTAATACCTAAGACTGCGTAGGTAGGCTATCAATTTGCAACACATTCTCTTTGTTTTGTTTAACTAGTTGTGTGGTCATCTTCGCCCATATTAGTTGTTCTCTACTTAGCCTTTACATCTTGGTAAGGTTATGACGAAAGTATTGGAGAATAGATGCATGTTATCGCCAACTGTGTAGTGTGCATAATCTTGACCTTGAGCACAAACCTGGACCAATTCGCTTGTAGATGTACTCTCTGCCCCTATTTGCTACTGCTATAATGTAGTTATTGTCTCAGCTTTACCTTTTGTCAAAGTTTGTAGTATATTGACACACAAATACAAATTAGGTCTTCTAGTCTCTTATATGCTCTGTTTTGTGGGAACAGGTTGTTGGTGGTAGCAAATGCTGGAGACTGTAGAGCAGTCTTATCCCGTCAAGGAAAAGCCATTGAACTGTCAAGAGACCACAAACCCATGAGCAGTAAGGAGAGAAGACGCATTGAGGCATCGGGTGGATATATATACGACGGCTATCTAAATGGGCAACTTAATGTGGCTAGAGCGCTTGGGGACTTTCATATTGAAGGCATGAAGAAGAAGAAAGACGGTTCTGGCAGTGGACCTCTCATCGCAGAGCCTGAGCTCATGACAACTAAACTAACCGAAGAGGACGAGTTCCTAATAATTGGGTGTGATGGGGTTTGGGATGTGTTCATGAGCCAGAATGCCATAGATTTTGCTAGAAGGAGACTACAGGAGCACAATGACCCGCTCATGTGTAGTAAAGAGTTAGTAGAGGAAGCTATAAAGAGGAAGAGTGGGGATAACGTGACTGCGGTGGTTGTGTGTCTTCAGCCACAACCACCACCGAACTTGGTTGCGCCGAGGTTGAGGGTTCACCGTAGCTTCTCAGCTGAGGGTTTAAAAGATTTACAGAGCTTCTTGGATGGCTTGGGGGACTAATTGGGTGACCTGGGGTCCTGAAGATGGTGACGAATGATTGTTTTGTTTTTGTTATTTTCTTACAATTTATAGTTTGGGTTTCAGAGGTTTTGTTTTGTTACTTTCTTGCAAATTGAGTAAACTTATAACATGAAGCGGCATACAATAATTTATTGTTTGGTAGGATATATTTATTCTCACTTTTGCTTAATAATATTTCTGCTTCTTCAGTCTCGTTTGTTTTGTATGATCGGAATCTTGTGGAAGGACATGCCTTAGGTATATGTAGTCGCCTCTCTTTGTTCATCTAGACTACGATTTAAACATAGAATTAATAATTAAAATACAATTCTTAACAATCTAAATATAATTATGCAATTTTAAATATTAAACAAAATTGATAAACAAATATAACTTAAAAATTTACAAAATTTAGTTACAAAAAATTGTATCGCGGTGTACTTCGAGTTAAGTTCTAAAATTAACAATCAAAATACAGTTAGACAATTTTAAACACTAAGTAAAACTAGGAGTGTTAAAACGGGTTTATTCGGCCCGTGTACGTCAATGTTCGTTTATGTCCATTTGTTTATGTACGTGTCCATTTATGTCCGTTTAATTTTGTAGTCTGTTAGTGTCCGTCTATTTAAAACAGGACATTTACTTAAGCATGTCAATCGGGCTGACCCGGCCCGGTCCGGCCCAAAACTCTTAAAGTCCTCGTATATTTGAGCCCGACCGGGCTTGGCCAGGAAAATATCCGAGCATATATTCCAAAGCTCGGTCCGGCCCTAACAGGACTACAGAGCTTTTTCGGGATTTTTTGGGTTTTATTTACGGATAAAAAATCAACTTATAAGTTCATAACAGTTTTTAAAAAACAATATTTAAAGGTATACTATAAAAGAATGCATCAAAATTTAAATAATTTATCAATATTTATTACAAATAACTTAATTTAAGAGAAAAAAATGAAAACCAAATAAATTGTTTACACTTTAACCCAATAAAACAAAACATGGAACTAAAATACTTTAAAGTAGATGATAGAGTCAAAATTTAATATACTTCGATGATTTCAAAATCAAGATACTTATAAATAAATATATATATATATATATATATATTTAGTTTTAGCTTTGTTCAATTTTGACACATATAAATAATAGAAAATGTCATAGATAAAGATTTTAAAAGTATTAAATAAGACTAGTAAGTAAATATGAAAACTAATTCATTAATCAAATCTTCTAATCGAACTAAAATATTTAAAAAAATCAAAATATATTTGTTTAATGGTTTTTCGGGCCGACCCGAACCCAACCGGGTTAAGTCCAGAAAACACTTAAGCCCAAATGGGCTTAGCCCAAAAGACCCAATTTTTTCAGGACATATATATTTAAGTCCAAGCCCGATATTTTTCAGGGCTGGGCCGGGCTACCCCGCGGGCTTTAGCCCTAATTGACATGCTTATAAAGTGAATTAGGAATAATATACACAATTTATGTGAAATGACCCGAATCTGATTAAAAAAAATTATAACTTAGATATTTTGTGTATTTTTCCGATTCCCAACGTGTCCTTCTTTCATTTTATAGGAAAACACGTAATTACAAAGAATGTCATTGCCACGTTAGATAAAAACAAAAATTTATTTTTGAAGATGTTGATATTTTTTTCTAGGCATAATTTAGTGTATAGTTTTTAGAGGTAGGATTTAATGTTTAGGATTTAGGAATATGTTTTAAATGTTAGTTAATCATAATATGCCGCTTTTGGGTTATGACTTATGAACCATAAGGTAAACATAGAATCTAATGGATTTCCATGAATACAATCATTACAAGGCCCAGTAAAGCCCACAATTACATGAGACAGTCTATAAACCTTCTTTTCTCTCTGTGCAGCAAAAATAAGTTTCGAACTTTTTCTTTTTGTGAAACCAAATCCAAAATCGACTATGAAAACACAGAGATCTAACCTTGCAACTACACAATCTTCGAGTCTCGATGAAGTCAGAAGAATCTGTTGTGACAGTAATTATAACAGAGTTGAAACCAGCGACGATGCAATGGAATCACCACTTAGGGTTACAAAACAGAGTAAAACGGTTAAAACGGTTAACAGCCAAAACCCTAGTTAGGTTCCTCTCCGTATCAAAGCTTTGGTCATCAATCATCCGCCGCCAAGATTTCAAGAAACTGTTCCTCACCGTGTCTTCGAAGCAACCTCAACGTCTTTTCTTTATCTCGTCGCAAAAAAAAAGACAAAAGATTATGTCCCTTTCTCTCTTGAAACCGTTGATTCAGGTGAAGCTTTCATAGCTGCATACCATAAAACACGTTTTCCATATCCTTACACAGTGAGGGTTTCCCATGTTCGCGATTTGATTTGCATTGGAACTGGATCTACTTCCGACAAACTTGTAGTATACAATACAAGCACAAGAAGATCAATCACATTGCCCAAACTTGACTCTCAAAGTTTTTATGTTGTTAAACAGTTCTTGAGTTATGATCCTATCGATGATGTTTATAAAGTCTTGTGCATGACTAGATCAAATAATACAGCAGAAGGGAAGGTTCTGACTTTGGGGAATGAGAATTCATGGAAGATGATTGAAGGTGCATGGCATACTTATATGCCTAACTGTTACGAGATATGTATCAATGGTGTTTTATATTATGGACTCTATGGTGACAACAAGGAAACGATGCATGATCCTTTCGTTGTGAGTTTTGATGTTAGGTCCGAAAAGTTTGATCTTATAAGCTGTCCTGAAGAAGTTCATGACTATCTACGAAGTTTGGGCATTATGATAAGATACGAGGGGAAGCTAGCTATCATGTCCATAAATGTTTCTCTTGAGAATTGTATAGTTTTGTGGGTTCTAGAGAATGCAATGAAACATGAATGGTTTGAAAAGGTTATTGATTTTCCTGATTCGTGGCCATTACGTAAGGACTATCGTTACATTGACTTCAATGATGAGGGTGAGTTTGTTTTGGCACCGCGTCATTGGTGCGAGCCACCATATTACGTTTACTATTATGATCCGAAAAGTAATATTTTGAGAAAAGTTCCGATCACAGGATATGAAGGGCGACCTGATTTCATGACCTATCTCTTCACTAGTACTAGTCAGGTTGAGAGTTTAATGTTTCTGTAATGATCTTTTATATCTAAGTTAATTAAGAGAGAGTTTTTTCTCATCCCATTCATCTCATCGCTTGAAATGTAATCTAAACTCATCTTTTTTTCTTAATTCCCTTGTGGGTTACTTTGGAGGTTACTTGATACTTGTCTTAATTTACTGGCGACATTTTTTTATAATGTTAATGATCTATGTTTTATCTTACATTACTGCTAGCTAGACGTTTGTTTGTTTTTTTTTTTTTATATATTTTGAATCAAAGTTACATATCCCCTTTGTCCGTTAGCTTATGAGATTCACCTTCATATAAACTAATGTATGATAAACTAAAAATTAACCTAGTGTACTTTGGTAGAATACAGTTTTCAGTTGGATTAACTACAACATCTTTTTTTAAAAAAAATATTTTTAAAAATGCATATTTTACAAATGCATTCTTTTACGGGTTGGTCCATCAAAACATACATTATATATGAGTGTACAATTTTGATGAATATGAAGGGGATTTGTATTATTTGAGAAATGAAAAAAAACACCCTCATGTAAGTACTACTCATGAGGAAGTATCTCGGTATATATTTCCAAAAATTATGAGTTTAATATTACACAACTACCCGATTAAAATAAATTAATCAAGTCGTGAATTATATACCTATTTACACATTCAATTTTTTATTCAATATTTAAATAATATAATTAATTAGTTAATACAAATTATGATCCCATGCCAGTAACTAGTTAAACCTTTAATTATGATCAAAGGAGTTATTTTTCCTTAAATTAATAATGTTATAAACCATTAGGTAAAAGTAAAATCTATAGGGTTCTTACCAAAAAAAAAAAAAGTTAAATCTATAGGGTTTCTGAATTCCGAAATCACAACACGCTGAAACCCTAAAACACTGTCTATTAAAAGTGACCCTTTTGTGTAGCAAAAACAATTTTCGTTGTTCCCTTCTCTAAGTTCTCTTCACCATGAAAAGAAAGAGATCGAACCATGCAAAGTCTTCAAGTCGCCATGAAGTCAGAGGAATCTGTTGTGACAATAATTATAACAGAGTCGAAACCAGCCACGATGCAATGGTTGTTAAATCAACATTGACGTCTTCACGAGCTAGGGTTAGAAAAAAGAGAAACAAGATTTTAGAAGACCAAACCACAATATCAGATTTGCTTCCGACAGATCTCCTTATGGACATATTAAAACGGTTACAAGCAAAAACCCTAGTTAGGTTCCTATGCGTATCAAAGCTTTGGTCATCAATCATCCGCTGCAAAGATTTCAAGAAACTCTTCCTCACCGAGTCTTCGAATCGACAGCATCCTCTTTTCTTTACCTCGAGCCGTGTCAAACACGGAAAAGCAGTTTTTGGCCTTTTCTCTCTTGACACCCATGATTCAGGTGAAGCCTTAATTATAGATGCCTACCATAAAACACATCTTCCATATTATTACACAAACGCTTCCCATGTTGGCGGTTTGATTTGCTTTGGCACTGGATTAAATTATGTGGAACTTGTAGTATACAATACAAGCACAAGAAGATCAATCACATTGCCCAAACTTGACTCTCAAAGTTATCTTAAACACTTCTTGATTTATGATCCTATCGATGGTGTTTACAAAGTCTTGTGTATGACTCAATCAAGGAAAACACCAGAATGGAAGCTTGTGTTTCAGGTTTTGACTTTGGGGATTGAGAATCCATGGAAGATGATTGAAGGTGCATGGCATACTCATCATGCATTGCATACTCATCATACACCTACCAGTTACGATATATGTATCAATGTTGTTTTATATTACCAAGCTTATGATGTGGGTGATTATTTCGTCGTGCGTTTTGATGTTAGGTCGGAAAAATTTGATCTTATAAACAGACCCGACGAAGTTAATGCCAAATTACTAAGTGCAACCATTATGATAAGGTATGAGGGGAAGCTAGCTCTCATGTCCACATGCATCTATCCTGAGGGTACTTTAGTTTTGTGGGTTCTAGTGGATGCAATGAAACATGAATGGTTGAAAAAGATTTTTGAATTTGGTAATTGGTTGTCATTACATTTATGTAACCGATATCGTTTTGTTGACGTCAATGATGCGGGTGAGTTTGTTTTGGCACCGCGTCGTTCGTGCGAACCACCATATTATGTTTACTATTATGATCCGAAAAGGAATATTTTGAGAAAAGTTCCGATCACAGGACTAAGAGGATATGAGCGGAAACCTTTTCAGACCTATCTCTTTACTAGTAAGGTTGAGAGTTTAATGTTTCTGTAATGATCTTTGATATCTAAGTTAGAGTGAGTTTTTTTTTCTCATCCCATTCATCTTATCTCTTGAAATGTAATCTAAACTCATCTTTTGTTTCCCTTGTGGGTTACTTTACTAGAATTTTGTTTTCTTTACTCTATTACGTACATTCCCCTTTTATTCCTTTAGCTTAAGAGCTTCACCTTCACATAAACTAATAATAATTTACAAACCAAGAGAATCTTCTTTGGAGGTTTTCATGATATGACTAGTGGTGGGGATCTCATTGCAGAGCCTGAGCTCATGGTTGGTTGCACCGAGGTTGGTGACTAATGGTTGATTCTCTGTTTTGTTTTTGTCTTTTTTCTTACAATTCATAGTTTTGAGTTTCGGAGGTTTTGTTTTGTTACATTCTTGCAATTTGAGTAAACTTATAACATAAGGCTGTAAGTGTGGATGAGGCAATAATAAAGTGCAGAAAGTAAACGAGACACAAAGTTTGTTAACGAGGTTCGGTTTTTCCTACTCCCCGGGATCAAGTCTAGATTTCGATTTCACTAGAACAAGAAAGCAAATACAACCAATTTGCAAACGCGTAAATCAAGCACAACCCTCTTGAACTACCGCTCTGAACTATAACATGAAACCTTAAGGATAAATCTCTATCCTTAACTAAACTCTCCCTGAGTCTAGATTTAACCAAGATAACCTAATCTTGGGCTAAACTCCCCCTGAGCCTAGACTTCAATACTCCAAGTCTCTGGAGCAACCTACACACACACGTCACACCGACGAACAAAGAAGCTTGATCACACAAGCACCAACCGCGAAACAAAGCCGCACACAAAACCAGAAAGCTCTCAAAGATTATTCTTTATGCTTCAGCTCTCTTGCTTCTCTAGGACGTGCCTAGCACCTCTATATATAGCCACCATGATTCCCAAATCACATAAGAGAACTTTTCAAATTCCATTAGGAAAAGCTTTTTCCTTTTTGCTATTTTCCTTTTCCTTATCAAACTCCAATTTCATCAAGCAATGAAATAGTCCTTTTTCCCCTTTGGTTCATCCTCCAATCATGTCTTCTTAAGTATTCTAGAACCCAAGCGCACACATAAAATATCAACATCCTGAATCACGTCATGTATTAGTCAGCCACTGCATCAGACAAAAACCTTGCATCTACAGAGGTGGCATACAATAATTTATTGTTTGGTATATGGATATATTTGTTCTCACTTTTGCTTAATAATATCTCTGCTTCTTCAGTCTCATTCCTCCCTTTACCGAGTATGTTTGTGTTACCGAATATATTGTGTTCAATCTTGTGGAAGGACATGTTTTAGATATGTTGTGTTCATTGTAGATTGGGTAGAGTGGTCGGAAGAAACAAAGATCGTAGACATGTTTCCCTCTCGGCAGTCTATACATTTTTAAGAGAGTCGGCTTCGAGCACAATAATTTTTGGCTCCATACACATTACCGCTTATCGAAGATGGCGAAATCACTTTGAGAGTTTGTAGTTCGACACTTGAAAAGGCAGTTTACTGATGTGGATGTACGTAGATTAGTAAAGAGTAGCTAGGTGTAATAACATGGCAATTTGGAGAAAATGATCAAATCATAATTCTAAGAATTGATTTTATGATTTAGTTTAGCAATATTAATGCAAAAGAGTTATGATTAGTTTAGTAATATAATTGAAAAAAGTTAAGTTAAGAGGTGTAATTAAGTTTTTTGTTTTTATGTAAGATTATTGGTAGGTTCTTAAGTTGTGTATCTTACGATAAAAATATTAATAAAAAAATTCACAATTTTAATTATAATCAACTTTATAATTATTGCAAAATAAAAATTTTAAAACATATATGAGATACAATTTTTTGCATAAATAACATAAAATACTATTAATTTAAACGTGATTTGTGGAATATTTTGTTCATATGTTGTCGATTATTTTTTAATATATTTATTTCAACACCCATTCAGAAATAGCCATGTCATTGTCTCTTCAACATTGTTTTGTATCTTATATAAGATACCATATCTTAGCTTTTAATCAATATTTCGATTTAAATTAAACCCTTATTTATCTAAGATATGCTTTAGATTCTTGCGTTAAGAATGCTTTAAGATAATAATAAATAAATAAAAGTACATAAACAAACGACGCTTCTTAAACGGGGAAAAAATGTCATTTAAATCATGAACATTTAAATTTTGGCAATTTAAATCACGAATTTTCGATGTGGTCATTCAAAACATGAGTTTTTCGTGGATTTAGTTTTTAAAACAACATTTTACGTTCACTAAGCCAAAATGAACATCATATCCCAAAATCGGTTAACAAAACAGCTAACAAACATTTAGACATCACTAATCCATCTCTATATTAGTAAAAGAGAAGTACAAAATAGAATGCGGGTCGGGTCAAAATTAAAAAATTAACCCGATTGAAACAATTGGATACTTCAAAATTGAATATTAAAATGGATTTGTATACATACATTGGATACTTTCCATATCTCATTTTAGGATTATATTATTTCCATAACTAATTTTATGATTTCCTAATATTTATCTAACTAATTTAATAGAATATATTAAAAACAATTATCATTCTTCTTTCACTTTTATTTGATCTTATTTTCAATTTATAATATTATACTAAATATGAAAAATGTTTAAAACTTTTTTAACTTTTTTCGCATATGTTGCAATTTGTATTTTTCAAAACGGACATACAGTAAAACCTCTATAAATTAATAATGTTGGGACCAAGATATTTTATTAATTTATAGTGATATTAATTTATCTATAAATTAATATGTGATGGTATATATCACAAGATTATTGTTTAAAAATATACTAAGATAAAATTATTTATTGAGGTGAACTCTGGGAGAAAATTGATTTTTACAAAAACTAAAAACATATATTAATATATCTACCATATATATATATAGTGATTATTAATTTATGATATTATTGGGACTATATTTTACATAGAAATTTCAAAAAAATTATTATCTTATTATCTTATTAAATTTGGTCAATTTTTACACTGTCCCGACTTGGGACCAGCAAAATTTATTAATTTATAGTGTTTATTAATTTATAGAGTATTAATTTATAGAGGTTTTACTGTATAATACTCAATTACACTCGGTTAAATATTTTGGACAATAATTTAAAATCATTATAAGTATGACCAATATTAAAATCATTGTTACATGAGCATATTTAAAATTTTAAAAAGTTTCAAAATATTATAATAAAAAGGTTCAAATATATAAAAAATTTAGATTTAAAATAGTAAAACTATTGTTTTCAATACATAAATGTAAATTTGGAGACATAAGTTTTATTGATAAAATATTATATATCAAACTACGTAACTTTTAGATAGTTCACGAGTAGTTTTTTAAAATCACAATTATAATGGTAAAGCGAGTTGTGAATAATGTTTTTACGATATGAATTATGTTACGGGTTGGTCCTTCAAAAAATATATTGTAGTATGTAATTTTTACGTCTATTCCTACTTCTACTACAAAAATGGTCAAATTGAATAATTTTTCGATAAATATTATTTCGTGCTATAAAATTTTCACCCTTTTTTTAATTGTAGCAAAACTCAATATTATTATTTACTCGCTTTTTCCTTTTATTATTTTATTTAAACTTTTTTTTTGGTAATCTTTTTAAACTTATTACACAAATATATGATTAATTGTAATCGACTGCACTGTAATAAAATTAAACTTTAATATATGTAATAAAATTAAACTTTAATATATTTTAATCCGTTAAATTTTTTTTTGTTTTAGTAAAAGGTTAAATAAATTATTTTTAATAATCCGTTAAAATTTATATATAAGTAATTATTTCCCCCGCGCTATAGCGCAGGTCAAAACCTAGTTTCTATTAGTAAGAGACGACGTCGTTTAAGGGTAAAAAAAGTGAGAAATTAAAGATTTGATATTTGGATTATAACATTAGAATCACGATTTTGAGATATCGTTTTAGCATTAAACGACGTCGTTTCTCACTAACAAATATGATTAACGATGACTAGATGCTCTCTTAACGGATTTCAAAATATAATGTTCATTTCGACTTGGTAAACGAAAGATTGTGTTTTAAAAAATAAGTTAACGATAAATTCATGTTTTGGATGGCCACCTATAAAGTTAGTGATTTGCCAAAATTTGATGTTTATGATTTAAATGACATTTTTCCCCTTCTAAAACCCTTCTTTGATGTGCAGCCCACAATCACGTATAATAGTAAATACAATAATTTCGAGGCCCATCAAGCCCACAATCAGGTAGATTATTCTGAATTCCAAAACCGTTTGAGACGAGACTGTCTATAAAAATAACAAAAACGCTACTTAACCCTTGTTTTCTACTGTGATTCTTTTTGTGAAACCAAGACACTTTTGTATCTTTCTCTTTTACCTTGCAAATACACAACCTTCGATTCTCCATGAAGCCAGAGGAATCTGTAGACAATAGCAGAGTCGAAACCAGCCACGACGCAATGGTTGAATCAACAACATCAATATCTTCACCAGCTAGGGTTAGAAAAAAGAGTAACAAGATTTTAGATGACCAAACCACAATATCAGATTTGCTTCCGAGTGATATCCTTATGGACATATTAAAACTGTTACCAGCTAAAACCCTAGTTAGGTTCCTCTCCGTATCAAAGCTTTGGTCATCAATCCTCCGCCGCCAAGATTTCAAGAAACTGTTCCTCACCGAGTCTTCGAAGCAACCTCAACGTCTTTTCTTTATCCCGTCGCAAGACGAAGACAAAGTTAAAGATTGTGTCCTTTTCTCTCTTGAAACCCATGATTCAGGTGAAGCCTTAATAGCTGCACTACACCATAAAACAAATCTTGCATATCCTTACACAAACAACACTTCCCATGTTCGCGATTTGGTTTGCTTTGGAACTAATTTTGCTTCCGACGAACTTGTAGTACACAACACCAGCACAAGAAGATCAATCACATTGCCTAAACTTGACTCTCAAAGTTTTTATGTTGTTAAACAGTTCTTGAGTTATGATCCTATCGATGACGTTTACAAAGTCTTGTGTATGACTAGACGAAGGGTAACAGCAGAAGGGAGCGAAACTTTCCAGGTTTTGACGTTGGGAAATGAGAATTCATGGAGGATGATTGAAGGTGCATGGCATACTTATACACCTACGAGTTACGGTATATGTATCGATGGTGTTTTATATTATCAAGTCTCTACTGACAAGGAAACGAGGTATAGTATTTCCTTTGTGAGTTTTGATGTTAAGTCCGAACAATTTAATCTTATAAACAGACCCGGCGATGGTGGATATCTAGGTTTAACCATTATGATGAGATACGAAGGGAAGCTAGGTATCATATCCACATACATGAATATTAAAGATAGTTTAGTTTTTTGGGTTTTAGAGGATGCAATGAAACATGAATGGTTGAAAAAGGTTATTGATTTTACTGATCCGTGGCCATTACATCAGAAATATCGTTTTGTTGACTTCAATGATGATGCGGGTGAGTTTGTTTTGGCACCGTGTTCTTGGTGTGAACCACCATATTACGTTTACTATTATGATCCTAAAACGAATATTTTGAGAAAAGTTCCGATCACAGGATATGAACGGCAACCTAATTTCCCGACCTATCTCTTCACTCGTCAGGTCGAGAGTTTAATGTTTCTGTAATGATCTTTAGTATCAAGTTAGGACTTACGAGAGAGTTTTGCCCCTCACATTCATCTTATTTCTTGAAATCTAACGTCTTTTGTTCTTAATAGTTCCCTTGTGGGTTACTTTGGAAGGTTTCTTGATACTTGTCTTGTCTTTACTACGTTTTATCTTAGATTTCTACTAGAAGTTTTATCTTAGAATGGATCGATTGCATATTGTGCAAGACATTGTTAGGCTGCTCACAAATATGGAAGATAACGGCCTAAACAACTATTTTTCTGACAACTGAAGAAGCCTTTTGTGATTGTAGCTTAGTCCATGAAAATAGCTCCGACCATGTAATTCTGCTGCAAACACATAAAAGAGAAACGAAATGATCCCTTAAGGGCCGATCATAAACATCATTCTGTGGAAATATTTAATCCCCATGCACGAAGCTAATCTTTTATTGAACCTTGTTATTGAATTTTCTTGTTAGATTGGATATGAGAGGTTCATAGTCTGAGATCCTAAGCTTCATGTGCATACCTAGGTTTCTGATAGGGAGAGTGCCATTTGTTAGAAGCCATAGCAGTAGACTCCAAAGGATTCAAATCAGCGTAAAACAACTAAGTCTTATCTCTAATTCATACACAACCCTGACCAGCTTGCAAAGTCATTTAAAAAGCTTCCACCATAAAAAAAAAAGATCATGCATGACATCATCCGCAAACATCAAATGAGATAAATTGAGCTCACTCGTATTTGGATGGTAATGAATATTCCCAACCTCTTGAGATTACTTCCAGGGCTAAAACCAACAGGTATGGAGATGGCCAATCACCCTGCCTCAGACATGTTGTATTCTTAAAATAACCACAAGAGATTCTGTTGACACAAACTGACAATTTGGGGGTGGTGATACATTTTTGGGATTCAGAGGTATAAAATCCGTTCACGTATGTCTATATTTCAGGTTCAGCTCGGTTTCGGGTCAGGTATTTCTGGTCTGATTCAGATGACCTGAAATTCCCAAAACTCAAAGTTTTTGTATCCAAATATGTCTAAACTACTCTAAATTATTTAAACTATCTCAATCTCTCAAGTATTTTTTATCCAATTTTTTTTTTAAATAGCTTAATAAACAAAAAAATATCCAAAATAAAAAAATTCTGAATATTTTCTGACATTTAAATTATTACAAACTAGATACTAACCCATAGTAAATTGTGAGCTGAACTTTTTATTTGATATAAATTTGTAATAATTTATTTTGGTATTATTTAATTAAATATTTATGTACTATGTTTGTATATCACAACAAACAATATTTTGTTTGATTATTTTGCGATTTTATTTATAGTTTATAGATTATCTTGCTTCTATTTTTTCTTGATTATTTGTTTGATTATCTTTATTACTTTTTTTTTTCATTCTTAAATTTTTTTTAATGGCATTTCAATGTAAATTTTTATAATTTATAAGATTATTTTAATTTGTGTACTTCTCAAACTAGAATATAATATTTATTAATATATTATTATTATAATTATATTGTTGGTGTAGACGGATATCAGTTTCGGTTTGGATGGGTTTTCGGTTCTTAAAGATTCGGGTTTATTGGGCCCAGCAAGCCCACGATCAAGTGGATCATGATTTTCCAAATCGTTTATAAAGAACACCATACAATAAAAACCCTTCTCTTCTTCTGTGCAGCAAAAATAAAGTTTCGTATTTTTTGTTTCTTTTGTGAAACCAAAACTGACTCCTCTCCACCATGAAAGGACAGCGATCGAACATTGCCTCTACACAATCTTCGAGTCTCCATGAAGTCAGAGGAATCTGTTGTGACAGTAACAGAATCGAAACCAGCCACGATGCAATGGTTGTTAAATCAACAATGACGTCTTCACGAGCTAGGGTTAGGAAAAAGAGAAACAAGGTTTTAGAAGACCAAACCACAATATCAGATTTGCTTCCGACAGATCTCCTTATGGACATATTAAAACTGTTACCAGCTAAAACCCTAGTTAGGTTCCTATGCGTATCAAAGCTTTGGTCATCAATCATCCGCCGCAAAGATTTCAAGAAACTGTTCCTCACCGAGTCTTCGAACCGACCGCATCGTCTTTTCTTTATCTCGCCGCAAGATGAAGACAAAGACAAAGACTGTGTCCTTTTCTCTCTTGAAACCGATGATTCAGGTGAAGCCTTGATAGCTGCCTACCATAAAACACATCTTCCATATCCTTACACATACGACGCTGCCCATGTTCGCGATATGATTTGCTTTAGAGCTGATTTTACTTACGAGGATCTTGTGGTATACAATAACAGCACAAGAAGATCAATCACATTGCCCAAACTCGACTCTCAAAGTTTTGTTGTTACGCACTTCTTGAGTTATGATCCTATCGATGATGTTTACAAAGTCTTGTGTATGACTAGATTAAAGAATACAACAGAATGGAAGCTAGTTTTCGAGGTTTTGACTTTGGGAAATGAAAATGCATGGAAGATGATTAAAGGTGCATAGCATACTTATCGACCTACCAATTATGGGATATGTATCAATGGTGTTCTATATTATCTAGTCTATGGTGACAAGAAAACGATGCATCGTATTTTCGTTGTGAGTTTTGATGTTAGGTCCGAAAATTTTGATCTTATAAACATACCCGACGAAGTTAGTGCCCATCTACTAAGTTCAACCATTATGATAAGGTACGAGGGGAAGCTAGCTTTCATGTACACATACATTCATTCTGAGGGTACTTTAGTTTTGTGGGTTCTAGAGGATGCAATGAAACATGAATGGTTGAAAAAGATTTTTGAATTTTGTAATTTGTTGCCATTACATTTACATAATCAATATCGTTTCGTTGACTTCAATGATGCCGGTGAGTTTGTTTTGGCAGTGTTGTATTGGTGCGAACCACCATATTATGTTTACTATTATGATCCGAAAAGGAATAGTCTGAGAAAAGTTCCGATCACTGGACTAAGATGGCCTTTTCCGACCTATCTCTTTACTAGTCAGGTTGAGAGTTTAATGTTTCTGTAATGATCTTTGATATCAAGTTAGAGTGAGTTTTTTTTCTCATCCCATTCATCTTATCTCTTGATATGTAATCTAAACTCATCTTTTGTTTCACTTGTGGGTTACTTTTGAGGTTACATGATACTTGTCTTGGCGACATTTTTTTTATAAAAACGTTTTGTCGATCTTAATTAGATTGCTACTAGAATTTTTATTTTATTTTTTATTTTTAAATTTTGAATCAATTATATTTCTCCTTTGCCTCTTAATGTTAGCTTAAGAGCTAATATTAAACTACAAATCGCGAGAAAATACTTTGGTAGAATATGGTTTTCAATTGGATATAATTTGATATATATATCGAACAGCTTTGGCTTGTCTTAATTATTTGTGTTCGGCTGCTAGTTTGATTCAGTTTCAATTCTATTAGTAAGACAATGGAGAAAAAAAGTTCATTGATGATCTAAATGCTCGAAATGAATGATTATATTATCTCGCGAGAAAAATCAAAATTTTTATCTTCAAAATGTCAGTGAATAACACTTTAAACCTCGAACGAATTTCACTAAACCCTAAAAACCTACCAATGCAATGTTACCAATCTTTAAAACTAGTTTTTCTGCACTAGGCACCATAAAAAGTAGCGTCGTTAACGCTAAATAATTAAATTTTCTTAATTTAATTTAGTTTTACTACCTCATTGACAATACAAATGCTGGAGTGTAACTGTAAATATAAAATATAGTTTGTAGATTTTCTTTGCGTTAGTGTAATATTTTTACTATGAAATGAAAAACTAGAGTCTAAAATGTCCCAAATAAATAAATTGGAACACAAAAGCAAAAACATGAAGAAAATAATTGTTATTTTTAAAGGAGACTCACTTAAATAGTCACGAAATACAAAGTTAATGGGCGGCCCAGAAGTACTATCAAAATGGGCTATCCAAATAGATTACGAGGCCCAGTAAAATAAAATAGTAAATAAACTCACGCGCATTCATCAGCGCGTGATTTACAGTTGCTCAATCTCAGATCGCAGGCTCTCTGTTTGTTATTTTGTCTCCTCCTCCGAAAGAGAGAGAATCAATCAGATCATATTGAAGAGATAGAGATAGAGAGAGAAAATGTCCGGTGCGGCTGCTATTCACGCGAGTTCATGGGCCGCGGCTCTGGTGAGAATCTCTCCGTACACTTTCTCCGCCATCGGAATCGCCATCTCCATCGGCGTCTCCGTTCTCGGCGCTGCCTGGTATAAATCCATTTCTTCTTCTCCCCCAAATCGATTTGTGAACGCATCGTGTTGATTTCTCTCTTTATGTGTTTAGGGGAATTTACATTACCGGAAGTAGTTTAATCGGTGCCGCCATTGAAGCTCCTCGTATCACTTCCAAGAATCTCATCAGGTTTTTGCCTTCGATTCAATTTCAATTTCAGGAAAAAATTGTGAACCATTACATTGTAGCATATAATGGTTGACCTAGGCTAGGATTCGTGAAAATTGGCTTTATATGATGATAGATTAGATCACATTGGCTTTGATTTAGATGCTAGGACTATATAATGGAACAAGTGTTCGTTCGTTGTATTGTTCAGTGTAATCTTCTGTGAAGCTGTGGCTATATACGGAGTTATTGTTGCGATTATACTACAGACGAAGTTGGAGAGTGTGCCATCGTCGAAGATGTATGATGCAGAGTCTCTAAGAGCTGGTTATGCAATCTTTGCTTCTGGAATCATTGTTGGATTTGCTAACCTTGTATGCGGGTCTGTATCTTCTTCTTCTTCTTCTTGTTCTTCCTCTGTTTCATCTTCTGAACCTTTTGTAAACATGGGAATTCATGGGGATTTGTTTGTTGCAGGTTATGTGTAGGAATCATTGGGAGCAGTTGCGCGTTATCTGATGCTCAGAACTCGACGCTCTTTGTAAAGATTCTTGTGATTGAGATCTTTGGGAGTGCTCTCGGGCTATTTGGAGTTATCGTCGGGATCATTATGTCAGCTCAAGCTACATGGCCTACAAAGTAGATATATAAACTGGTATTTGTGGAATTGTACTCTATACCGGTTACGATGTATCTTTCGAAATCCTGGAAGAATTACACATATTTTGTTTTATCTTCTTGGCTGTTATAGTCTCTTGTGTAGAAGAAAATCTTGTTTCTATTTGAAATCCCTATTTTTTGGTAATGTTCAAACTTGGGAATAAGTCACTTGGAGAAACCTCTTCATGTTTGTATTCTTTGGTTCTTTTGTGACAAAATGATAAGAGTTTATATATGTTTTCTTGTTGAGCATTGAATGAACATAAACTCTTCAGGCTTCTATGGTTGTCAAACTCAATCTATGTGTGTTGAGTTATGTGAAAATTTCTTAGTACCAAAAGAGCCTTTAAAGAACACATTGGCCATTACAAAAAGGTGGGTTTCGTAAATATACAACTTGCATTCATAAGAAGCTATACTATGTATTGTTTCCTACACAGCAACATCTAATTCTAATCATGTCTAATATTAACATATAACATACACGACAGTAACACACATTCTTACGCATATAATCAGACAGAACAAATTGATAGCCCGAAAAAGAGATGAAGCTCAGCTTTTGAATCAGTAAGCCATCCCTCCTGAAAATACATCTCCGTCATGAAGCAAGCTTTCCGTCAACCAATAACCATCCCATGAACCGCCTATACGCTGCCATTACACATAATATAAACCATTCAAAACTCATAAATGAGTCTCTATGGTGAGTGACATAAGAACCAACCTGGAACATTGTGAATTCAAATATCTCTTCTTCCTCAGGTCGAGTTCCCTGAACCCAAATCCTCTGCTTGAAACGATTCTGTATATCAGAAAAAGAAGGTATCATGAGACAACAAGGAATCTCTACAATGATTGTAACATCTTCAAAAGAGAGATGTTACCTCCTCGACGAACAAACTGCTTAAGATCTTTCTGTCCTTGTGACCAAGCAACACACGGTAAGACGAGTGATGAAAAATACGCCTAAACCTTTCAAACTACACCAACCAGGGGATTAGAACTTTAGCTAGTAGCTAAGGAACAATATGATCATCAAAGTGTTGAGAAAACAGAATTAGAAAGTAACCTGTCCAAGATCAAAGAAAGGACCAAAATATGTAGATCTCTCAAACGGATCGAAACCAGCAAACTGTCCTTCCAACAAAAAAGATGTCAAATCATCACAAACGTTGTAAACAATCAAAAGAACCAGTAACATGAATTTACCCGATACATGACTTCAATGCCATAATCATCACGAGGATGTCCATTATACTTCAATGCATCAAGCTGATGTCTAACAGCATCTTCAGCACTAAACTATCACCCAAAAAAAAATCTAAAACTCGGATCAATACACTACAAACAAAGACAAATCAATGTAATCTTCCAAGCTTATGCATCAAATAGTGAGTCCTTACATCAAGTCTTGGACCAAAAGGTCGTTTCCTACGACTCTCCAACCTGTAAAAACCATTCATCCATGATTCAAAAAGGATCTAATTTGGCTTTGCAAAATCAAATCTTTTTCGGATCTGTCGATTCCTAGCTAAAAACCCAGAAACACCCAAAGCTTGAAATTTGAGTAAAGGTGTACCAATCAGCAGAGAGGAAATCGGGAACATCGGAAGAAGCACGGACGAGATGACGATGGAGTCTTCCGTAGCCATTGAAAGGTTTAAGCTTTGCGGAGAAGGAGGAAGGTGGAGATGGAAGTACGAGAGAATAAACCGACATCGCTTTAAACCCAAAACTCTCGCCGGCCGTCGCCTTTCAATTTTGATTTCTATCGTCCGATACAACGGCGCCGAGAGATATGGGAGAGAAATAATAGTACACGGAATCAAATTAGATAACCGGAGGTTGATTTGAATTTGAATCCGGTTTAGATATTATCTGCGGCTCTGCGCCACTCACATGACACAAGTCACACTCGCTAGGAGTTGAACCACAAACTGGTCGCATTCTTATATCAAAATTCTTTTTCTTTTCTTTTTGGCTCATCATCAAATTCACACTTTAATATTTTTAAAGTGTGAGCTTAGATGGAACAGTTTAAACCAATATTACACATTGAGAGCTTTTCAATATTATATTGTCTAATTATAGTAATTTTTGAGAGTGAATGTATAAGAGGATCAATGAAGAGATGAGAAACTTCTCAGAAGAATCTAGAGCAGAAGTGGAGCAGTTCGTTACATTTGCAAATAGTTAATCTTTAGCGCATGATAATGAGAGTACATTTATTGCTCTTGTAGTAAATGCAACAACAATATACGTTTTTTGGGGGCTAGAATTTGGAAGTATCTATTTACTTATGAGTTTATGTCAGATTATTATGTTTGGTATAAACATGGAGAGAAATCAATATGAATTTGGTAGCCAAGTATGTAGATGAAGAAATCATAACTCGTTCCTAAATTCAAATTGATTTTTTCTCCATGCTGATAACAAACATAATAATCTGGCATAAACTCATAACTAATTGTAGATGGTTCCAAATTCTAGCTTCCGGAATACGCCTATCAATTTTGCATTTAGTACAAGGATAGTAAAACTTACCCCCATTATCATGTGCTAAATGCTGGCTATTTGAAAATGTCATGAACTGCTCCACCCCGTTTTAAATTCTTCTGAAATGTTTTCCGTCTCTTTACAGATCCTCTTATAGATCCATTCTCGAAAATTACTATAATTTCAAGACATTATTGAAAAGCTCTCAAACTCGTTTTTTCTTCTTATTATTATATTGTTGTGTTGGGATACGAATGATGAGAACTAATGGGCGAGTTAGCTTATATAGACAATTTGGCGACTACATAGCTACTAAATAGTGACTACAAAGCGACTATACATCGACCCACCGTCGTAGTCGCCAAAAACAGGTACACCTACCATACCTACCACAAAACAATAAAAAAACGTGTCTCTAATCGATGTTTTACGTCTAATATACGACCATCTTACGACTTGTTACACGAGTCGTATTTTAGTTGCTATTTGGCGACTACGTTACGACTCGCCGCAAAAGTGGCTTATTAGTCGCCAACTTAGCGACTATTTCGCAACTATTTCGCGACTATTTATCCTTCCTAACCTTCAGTTGTATTTTAGTCGCTAATTTGCGAATATTTTGTCGACTACTTGTTTAGTTACCAATTAGCGATTGTATGGAGACGAAATTTATGCAAGTCACCTAGATCTTAAACTTCATGGATCTAAACAACAATGAAAGATGAGAATCATGAGATAATAGTTCATCTCTAGGATATAGTATAAGCCACCTACATCTTAAACTTCACATGCATGAAGATCAAGATAGGATTTAACCTTTATTAGAAAAGATGAGTTAGGTCCAAAGGAAATATTGTGGGGTTGTTAAAGAGTTCTTTTTATAAAAAGGTAATATATACATGTAAAAAAATTAATGAGCATGCAGTGTATATACAAAAGGCAAAAGAAGATTGGAGTTGATTAGGGCTTACGTATGGGTTTCAACTAATATTGGAATCATATCAGTCACCAATATGATTTCAGCTTGACTGTGGTGTACGAGTTTGCGTTAAGACAAACTTTTTTCGTTTTTGTTAAAAACAAAACAAAACAAAAGAGTGTTACGTGTGAATCAAGGATCTCTTGCAAGAAGGAGAAAATCACCATCTCTAATAAGAGTGATGTCGTCAATTTCAGCTCCTTCTCTCGTAAGTACTTTAGTTGGGACGAAACCAATCTTTTTCTCACCAATCTCCAATAGCTCTTCCATTGTGTTCGGTAACAATATAACTTTTCCACAGGTCTCACCGTTCTCCGGCGAACTAATCGTCACTCTCGCCGGATAAAACGTACTTCCTCCTCCTGTAGGTACTGCTGGGCTTCTTGATGGTTCTCCTCCATCGTCAGCTGTAAAGAAAAAACACACACAAGACCAAGTTTTGAGGTTACGTGATGAGAAAGCAAACGAGTATTAGAGATCAAATGGTGAGATGAGGCCGTTTTTACCGGTATTCGCAGCTGAAATGAATCCGAAGAGCGAGTTTCTGAAGTTATTGAGTTTACGTCTCTGAGAAACCACAACCTGACCTCCATCTAAGACGAGAGGCATTTCTCCTGAATGCATTGTAGGTTCACTACTATACTTCAACAATGGCTTCCCTGTCACAGGAACCTGAGGTATTCCCTGGACAGGTTTAGGTTTCTTCTCCACTGGCATATGGTTATGAAACAAGGTTTTGATATCTTCATGCCCTTGATGCTCGGCAAGAGCACGAGGAGTCCATCCGTAAGAATCAGGCCTGTCTAAATCAGCACCTCGGTCTAGTAAGAACTTGACAATCTCCAAGTTTCCTTCAGAGACTGCTCTGTGTAAAGCTGTGGTTCCATTTCCATCAGGGAGTGTGATATCACCGCCGTATTTGACGATGTCTTTGAGTGCGTCTAGGCTGTTTTTCTCCACGGCTAAGCACGCGAAATAGCTCACTGAGTCTACGCATAACTTTGCTCCGTTTTCAGCTAGGAGTTTAGCAACTCCGCTATGTCTTCCTATGATTGCTTCCCATAAGGGTACATTACCTTCTGAATCTGTAAACAATGTATAAATTAGTCTTCTTTCAATCCAATTACATGATCCAAGTGAGACATCATTACTACTTACCTCTAATGTTAGGATCTGCTCCATGTTCAAGAAGTAAAACAACACAATAATGGCTTCCTTTTGATGCTGCTATATGCTGAGATATACAGATAAGAAACATAGAGAGTAAGAAATTTTTGTATTGGCATAGTAAATACAGAGGAAGTTTGGAGCTTACCAGCGCAGTTCGGCCGTTTTTATCCGTTTCATTAGGGCTTGAGCCTCGTCTTAGTAACTGATGTAGCAATAAATCATCTCCTCTGGCTGCAGCAAAACATAAGCTGAGAGGTAAATCCATTTTCCCTTGAGCCAACATGTGTTCTGTATCAGCCAAAATGCCTTTCATTACTTGATCTTCTGAGTCTTTTAAATGCTGCATCAACCACAACATATCTGTTATGGAACTGGTCTTGAGGTTGAAACACACAAATGTTTAACAATACAGACCTGAAGAAGATTATTCATGATTATTGCTCCATCTCCTACATTTGCCTGAACAAGATTTAAGAGTACTGTACGGTTCAGACGAAGCAACTGACTCAATCGCTTGGTACGAACAGTAAACAGCTGCGGTCTGTAACATAGTACACCAACTTCACCAAAAACACTTCCTCTTTGTGCTTCACTAACTACCTGTAAAGAACACATACACACAAAGATCATCTAATACGAACACAATCATATCTTTAAACTTAAAATGGTATAATAAAAACTAGACTTGCCTGTTCCACTCCATTTACTCGTGCAATTATGTCAACAGCTCCTGTCACCAATATGTAGAAGTCAGTGGGTGCTTCATTCTGCAAAATCACATCTTCTTTGGGAGGAAAATACTCTGCTTTCATTTCTGTGACCTACAATATTACCATAAGTTAAAGACTTAATGTGAATAAAATGACCACATTTTAGTATATGAGGCTCCTTGCACTGTCGGAAACATACCAATTGGAAAAGAAGATCATTGGAGATTCCATGGAACAAATAGATTTTGTCAACAACTTCATAGAACAGGTAATGCGATATGCTGGACCGAATAGCTTTGGGAAGGGAATCAATGATTTCTTGCTGCTGTAAGCCTTCAGAATCAGTTCTGTACCTCAAACACAAATGAGCTACCATCTGATCTTGCAACCGAACTGGCAGATTGTTCCTCTGACCAAACCCCGAGGCGGCTTGTATGGTATCTCTCTGAAATGATGCAAAGTGCATATATAAGAGCCTTGAAAAGCATTTATAAATGAGGTGTGACATAAATCATATGTACCGGTAACTAAAAGTACTTACAAATTTTCTAGTGCGGCCGGTCACATGAACCACCAAGTTGGTCATATTACCAATAATATACGCTGATAACCCAAGATTAAAAACCATGTAGCAAAGAATGAAAGTCATCTCTCTTGAGTTAACACCATGTATATCACCATAACCAGTTGTGGAGAAAGTAGTTATAGACCAGTACATTGCCGTGTTATACCGTATTGCAATAGGAGACTGTTTCCAGTTTTCATCGGTTAATGCCATAAATGTCTTGGAAGGGTCAGGGTAATGTGCAGCAATGGAATAGAGGAAGCAAGCACCACAATGAATCACAAAAAGAGTAACCTGCATGCATTACCACAAAATCAATACTATAACTTGACAGCTACAAAAACTGTACATTTGAAGCAAAAGAAGAGTGTATAAATAAACAAGTGGACATAGCTACTAACAAGGAGAAGCTTCGTGCAGCGAACCCAAAAGTAGCTGTATTTTCTATCTTTCTCTAACCTGAATATAAGATCTTAATATGTCAAACTCACCATATTCAAGAAACCTGTGCTACATAAATGATAAACCTAAGTCAAAACTCACCTGGCAAAACAATTACTAACTCTCCGAAGACGCCATAGACGAAGCATACTGAAAATACCATACCCTTGAATACTCTCATGAAGCAAACTCCCAAAACTTTCGTAAGGAAATGTAGAAACCACATCAAAAAGAAGCCAAGTCGACGCATATCTCCAAGCTATTCTCTTCGGATCATCGATTAGTAAATAAGTTACCTTGTCCAAGAAGGCAACAAAGAACGTCAAGATAATATCAACAGCGAAAAACCCATTGACTATATTATCAAGAATACTCAAAGGTGCTCTTGGCTTCTGCAAAAACCCGAATTCAAAAGGCGACGCCCAAGCTGTATAAAGCACCAAAAACACCAAAAACGTCTCCCACCCTCTGAAAAAACAAACATAGTTTACAAAACCAGCAATGCATGTTAACAATGTGTTTTACAAACCCTAACCCTAACCCTAGTTTTTGTTGTTTACCTGTAACGAGGGTCAAAGGGAGAAACGATGAAGCGACGAAGAATAACATCACGAGAGGAACGTGAGTTAGCTCCAAGAGAAGGAAGAAGACCTTTGCTAAGGCTATACTGACTCATTGTTCCATCACGAGACAAATGGTCAGCTACATCATCGTCAACGTTCTTGCCTCGTCCTCCTCCTCCTCCACCTCCATCTTCGTCGTCCTTCACACCCCAAAACCATACCTTCTTCTTCTCCATTCAGATCTCTTTCTTGATATCTTCTTGTTCCAAAATCCCTTGCGGAGATACACACGCAAAGGTTTGAGATCTCCTCCGAATTTGCCGGTTTCTAATTTTATTTTGTTTGTTTTCTTGTGGGCTTTCAACACGGAACTGTTTTTCTAATTTCCCTCGTTTTTTTCTCTCTTCTGTAGCCATAAAAATAGCAAGTAAAAATTTAGGTTATTTGGTCTTAGTATATCATAGAAATTTCAAAATTAACAAATTGGTATGTTTATTACCATTTTGTTCTAGGGAGTAGAATATTATCTTTAGTGTTTTGGTTATCTAGGATTGGATATAGAAGCTGTTGAATTCGTTTTTTTTTTTTTAATTAAGCAAAAGAAAATGAAGATATATTATTAGATAGAACATCATCTTGAAAATAGATGATTAGATGATAGAACCCAAGAAAAATATGGCTTAGGGCATCCATTTTTAAGGCAATATTTTATAAAAAATAATCATGGGGGGTTTATGTTGTAAAATAAAATGATAAGATTTTTTTAATATGATTAATTTTTAATTAGAATTTTTTTCTACCCATGTTTGTGGGCTTAGAGTATTTTGTAAGTTAAAAATATATATTATGTGTTAATAATTCTATTAGTGAAATTTTGGTTATTTTTTTTTAAAAAAATTAACAACTACAAAAAAATTTCACGAGTTACTGTTTACTGTTTTCCCAAAGATTAAAGAAATCTTAAAATAATTCCTTGCCAAAGAAGAAAAATAAACAGCATTTACTACTTATATATAATCATAGAATAATATACTGTTAGAAATCATGATATAGGATAAGGTAAAACAATGTGCAAAACTAAATAACCAACAACAAAATCGACCTTTGAAAAAAAAGAAGAGAAAAATGGGTTTTGTAGAGTTTAGAAGTCATGAAAAATCATAATGGCATCATCAAGTTCAAATAATGCTCCTTTCAGTTTCTTATTTGCCTGCAACTCAAAACCGCCACAAAAACAATAACACTTTATGAGCAAATAGCTAGATTCATCTTGAAACCCATCACCAAAATCTTTAATTGATATGATCGTCTGACTAGCTAATTACCTCTTCCTTGGAATCTAGTTTATGAGTACACTTGAGACTCAAGTTTAAGGAAGCATGATACATCTCATCCAACATTTTCCTTGACACAATCAACTTGTTTACTTTCCACAAGTAGAAAGGCATATAAACGCTCGTGACCGTCACCAATTTCTACAACAAAAATGTGAAAAACAGTGAATTCTCAATTCAAGTTTGCTTTAAGTGTCAAAAAGATTTGGTTTCAAGGACATATATACCTGCATATGCAAGTATCCATCTTTCCACATCTTCATAAGTATGTTCCATGTATCTTTCTTTTCAGTTAACGTGGCATCAGCGATCTTCACAGGCGACAAAGATTAAAACTCAATGATTAGTTTAGAAGGATGTTTCTATATTAAGTAAAGAGTAGAAACGAGCTTTAAACCTTATCAGTCTCAACAAAACACTCTTCCTGTGATGATAAGTATCTGAACATTCTGAAAGCTTCTTTACCATATCTTCTCATAACTAATGCTTCCATCTAAACAAACATTTCAAAGATTTCATTTTCAGCTTTAGAGATATCTCAAGAAAGTAAAATATACATGAATTTACATACCTCATCTCTCTGTGCTACATTGATAATGGATTTGAAATCTGCAAAATGAAATAAACTTTAAGGAAGTTTGAAATTCAAAAACTAGTTGACTAGATTTTTTTCGATTGGAACTAAACGTACCAACTATGTATGAATCATCTGTTTCTATCGCAAATGCTGGTAGATATGAAGACGCGGAACTCAATTGGTCAAGGCATGCTTCAACTTGCTCTAGTAGTATAGTGCAATCTCCTTTGGTCTTTATTACCTCTTCATATATGGAACTAACTAACATTGGAACTGAAAATAAGACATTGTTTTAAATTACTCTTACCAAAACAATGTAAACCTCAATTCATTTTGTTCATGTTAAGATAATGGAAATGCATGGCCATCTCATATATTACCAGACTTGTCTGTTGTCACAGTCTTCTCCTGACATCTTCCTACTTCTAACATTGCCTTTAAGACAGCGGCACATGATTTATCCATGCGCTCGTTCACTATCTTCACACACGCCTTAGATAAATAAACAAGTGATCAAAACATTCTTAGAACGATAAATTTGGAAACTAAGATTTAATTTCTAGTGCCAATGAACAAGACAGATCTCAAAGAGAAATACTGGTAACTAACCTTATGTCTAAGGCGACGAATGAACTCTCCGAAATTAGGACGCCAAATGATTTCATTGCTAGATTCTGATGCGTCTACATCACGTTTACGCTGAAACATCAAACAAAAGGTATGTATATTCAGAGCTATATCATTAAGAAGTGTATCCAAAAATTGGTTATGGTAAGAATTTTGGAAATTAACCTTTATGTTGTCATCATTAATATCCGGTAAAGATGAATTTGAAGCTTGTTGGAATAGAAGTGGAAACCTTAATGCTTCAACTGGAGTAGCTGCTTCAAGAACACGTTCCTCTAAGCTTTTTGATTCTTTCAAAATCTGCACAAAAGATTTGCAAATGCAAGGTATATATATATATGATAAACCAAGACTATAATATATATCCCAAAGATGTATATATAGAGATGTTAGATTCTCAATTACCTTTGCAGCGTTAACGCCTCTTTTCTTTCCTTGTTCTTTATTTTCAAGAACCGGTTCCGGAGAAGGAACGCGCTCAACGAAACGTGCATCAACCAGTTTCTGAAGATATTCTCTGATTTCTTCTGAACTTGTTTTTGTATTTTGGTGATCTGAACTTAGTTTTTCTTCTCTATCTGTTCATTTATGAATAACATACGTAACAGATGAGCATCCAAGTACTATTGTGATACACAAATTAAGACCAAAAACCAAAGCCTGCAATGAAACTTAACCATGGCAACATAACACAAGCTAGAGATACATATATATATATAAAGATAAATTGGACTCACCTGTGACTATTTCTATAAGCTGTCCCAAGGTAAGCCTACCGTTCCTAAGTAAATGATCAAGAACTGCGCTGCACTGTATACATATTGATCAAACGTATATAAGATTGGCAAAAGTATAGAAGTTTAACACACAACTAAGTCAAGTACTAAACAGAATGATGAAGAAGAAGTAGGAATAAAAAACCTGAGTCCCAAGTTCTTCGTTTACAACCTTCGAAAACTTGTTGTACCTTACGCGATGAAGAATGTTGTTGACCAGCACAAGGTACTGTACAACACCTTTGCTCTCATTCCCATCTACATGTCAAACTCATATAACTTGATCACTTCCAACCAAACGACAGCACAAGAACACAAAACAAGAGAAACCAGACTAACCAGGAGGTTCAAGAGAATAAGCTTGAACGCAGTTATGCTGAATCAAGATGTATAAAACATCCTTAACTTTGTCATGGTTGATGTTTTGTGATTCAGCTAAACGAAAAATCTCTCGTAAGGAAAGAGGTCCTTTACGAAGAAGGCATTCACAGACTTTCTGCCAAAACAAAAAGACCATTAATATAGAGACATGTTACATTCATACACAATCTTAGAAGTGTTTAGGTTTACCGATACTACAGAACCGAACTGGATGGTGATGATGTGTACGGCGTAGAGGATGGCAAACTCTGTCGTAGACGTAGTCATCATTAAGTGGTCTTTTCTCTTCTGATTGATATAATGATATTACTCCCCGTTATGCGTAAATTTGATTAGCGATTGCTTGAAGAGGAAGCAATACCTTATTTTCCTAATTGGATTGAGTCGAGAAAAGAGTAAAAAAAAACCCTTGTTGAGAAGTAGCCGGAGGTTTGTATGATCGGTAAGTTTTAACTTTTAACCTAAAGAAGTTTTGTAAAATTAAGCTTATATATAAATCTATATTAACATTTTTGCAAGCAGTTTTTGAAATAATTTATTTACTTTTACTTTATTTACAGGGACTGCCACGTACATAAATTCCCTATTAATTGTTAATCGTGCTTACCCGAATTTATTCCCTCCATTAATTTGAAATTTGTTTACTCGATACAAGAAACTAGATGTTAACCCGCGGTATACCGCATGACAATATTTTAATAATGTATATTTTTTTTTTGGTATATAAGATTATACTACTATATTTTGTTTGTTAATTCTATGATTTAACCTGTGGAATATTGCATGATATTTTTTTTTTTATATAATCGTAATTTGATCAACTTAACTAAATACGTCTAATATTCAAAATAATGAAATAAAGTTAGCATAACATCTTTCGTTTAAATAGTCTAATTTCATACTAAAATATTTTGTGAGTTTGAGATAGTAGATAACCCGTAAAAACATATATAATTATAATTATGTAATTTATAACTCATTCCATGACATGACTCGTGCTACACAATTATCAATAATACTTTAGTACATACATTTTTTGTATTGATTGAGTAATATATGTCAGTTTTCAAAAATTCAAATTGCAACATATGCGAAAATATTATATTTTTACTATACATATGTTTTATGTAATAATATAATTTTAAAACAAATAAGATCATAAGAAGATAATGGAGAAATATTTGATTTATTAGGGAGAGATTTTAGGAAATTTTGTGAAATGTAATAAATATTGATTTCCAATTTTGCAGTTTTATTATGATTTACAATAGTTACAAAATTTTACCCTAAAGATTTATATTTACTCAAATGGCAAGAGTTTATTTATGCAAATATTACAAAATAAAAGGTTACTTTCGTACTTCAAAAATGTTAATATATATATATCTTCATTGACTATTTCCTAACTACGCTCTTATAAAATATCTCAATTACCTACTGAATCAAGAGTGGCAATTAAACAAACAATTCTACTCCTCAAAATCAGCTTGCAAAAAGATATTTAGTGGGTGTTATTGGATAATGGATTTTAATAGAGTCTAACTCTAACCCAAGTCTAATGTTATTTAATCAATGGTTTTAAATACTTTACTCAAATTAAGTGTTATTGGTTCTTATATTTGCAAAATCTTCATTAAAAGAGTTTAAAATCTAGTGTTATTGGTTCTTATACTTACAATTATTAACTAAAGTCTTATGTTATTCAAGTTTGGTGGATTTACACAAATGATTTCATTTGAAAAGCTTTGAGTGAATCTGAATCTGATTTCATGTGTAAATTATGTCAATCCCAAAACCAACCTTCTAACATGAGATTTGACAATCTAATAAATTAATAAAAGTTTCTTTTAACGTAATACACGTACGTTATCAATATTTGCAAACTCATTCACCCATGACCCAACACATATGTATCTCTCTTTATCATTTTTTTCCCAGTCTTTTTTTTTTATCCCTAGTTAATGTGTATATTGTTTTAACAGTTATTGTTTGATTCATTTGATCACTTTAACAAAAAAAAAAAAACAATTTTCATCTTTAAAAGATATGTTAAGACTTCAATACAGAAATTTGAAATGGGAAAAAAATACGTGATGGTAAAAGTTTGGTATAATTTCATTGAGAATTGTAAAATCATTTGTTATAGAATTCAATTCTATTGTTCAAAATCAAAAGATATCATGTGTCAGTGTAAATACACTTCCACTGATTTAAAGAATGAATAATAAATCAGTTTCAATAAACCCAGATTTTGAAAGTCTTATGAATTTTAAAATCTAATGGAGTTGAATTTAACTTAAACAACTAATAACACCCCCTTAATCTTAATCATCACGATATTCTTGATTTTCTTTGAAATATAACCATTTATAATCTCTATATATATATATATAAAATTAGCAGCAGTTCCTAAATATTCTTGATTTTTTTATGAGCCTTATTCTCTTATTCTTCATCTGATTATTTCTTTGAATTTTCAGTAAAATACTAATTTTTTTTTTTTTTGTTGTAGTTTAAAGGTACTAAGATGAATAGACTTCCTAGAGAGGTCGTTGATGCGTCTCAAGCGTGCTATGGATCTCTCCATGAAGCATGAGTACCTTCCTAATTATAATTATATATACTAGTAAAAAAAATACATATAGCCACAAATATTAAACCATAGCCACGAATAGCCAAGTGACTATAGATATTTTTTTTACTAGTATAAGGATCTTCAGGTACTTATTTTGTTAATCAGGGATCAAGGATTGTGACTTGTGGGGGTATGAAATGAAATTTGATATTTTTGGAAATGGTAAAGAATCAATAGAATTACTTGCTATTTGGATTTGAAACTGTCTTCTTGGTTTGCTTGTGTGTAGAATGAAGAAGAAACTTACTATTTGAAGCCAAAGGTTTGTGAATGAAGGACCAAGACTGAAATGAATATTGAATTTGGATATGGAATGATAGAGATTTGGTATGGTTCTTTTCTTGGGGCCTGATGATAAGAATTAGAGAATCTTTGGAAATTTGGATTAAAAGAGATATGAATTTAACAGAGCTACTCCTACTTACAGAGTTAACAGTGTTCCTTACAATATGAATCTTACATGTGTCATATGTAATGAAATTAGACGACATACTTTGATTCTTTCATCTATTTGTTAACTCTGTTCTTCGTTAGCTCATCAGGAGATTTAAATTGATAAAATGAGGATACTTTGTTTCCTTAGTTAGAATGCTGATTTCATGTACACTTCTTCTATTGATGTCTTCATAATAGCAATAGTTTCCTCAACAGACCTGAAACCAATATGTTTTGGTTACTGTGTTCTGTAGTTCCATGTTTGCATCTGATGGCAAGTAGTAATGTTTCGACAGACATGTTTCAGTCGCGTATGTACTAAACCGAGGAGAGTACGTCGTCTATACTTCAATTTTGAAAGATATAAAGTTAATGCAACACTTGTATCTCCTGTGAGTTCGATTTTGAAACAACCATAAAACTGGGGTATTAGAGAATCACCATATTATTGATTGTTTCTTAGTATTGACAGAGTAACCTGCTACAAAACATACATTATATAGAACGTAGTCATCATAGAAACATCATTATATATGACAGATAAAGTAGAAAATGAATGAAACATCTTCACAAGGGATCTTATAAAGTTATAGTTGACAAACAAGTAGCATGTCAAAACCCAATTGGAGGAATGAACAAGCTGGATAAAATTGATTTATGTTAAACATATGAATCCCTGCATCTCTCTGTAAGTCTACTTGAAATGTCATAACCTGAAAAAGCAAATACTACTTTCAAAATAATTGATCATCAACACAACTCAATACTCTCTCAGGTATAGACAGACACATGTTACCATTAGGATAGGAACAGGTCAAAGTGCATATAGCTAGTCCAAGGACACCTGAAACAATGATTTATGTCTAGCCAAAATAAAAAACCTAGCACAATTTCAGTTATGTACTTGGGAAAGAAGAGATATCGTCTTTTACACCATTCAGTAAACCCCAAGCATCAGAATAAGAGAACTCTAGAGGCAATCATATCTGGAGAGTGCAGACACCTTGACATTGCTACACTGTTCCTGAAAAATGTAGGGGAAGTTCAATAATTCACCACTGATGATGAAAATACAAGTGACTCATCTTATCAAGAAAGAAACTGAGGTATACATATGAATAAAAAGACAGCTTCATAAGAACACAAATCTTCCAAAATAGGACTCAGCTTTAAGCTTGGATACTGTAAATTTTCTTTAAACTTGATCATCCAGAAATTACAACAAAGTAAATTAGCCTGACTATAAGAAGAAAACAACACAACTGAGGATTGGAAATTTTCATTTAGGTCAGAGTTTCCATACATACTTTCCCCTCTGCTGTCTATACAATCATTAAAAGAATCCTCTGGAAAAAGAACAATGTATAACAGTTGCTTCCACATTGCAGGGAAGTATGTCCAACACCTGTAGATAAGACTGTCAAGGGATCAAAAAGATATGATTTACAGTAACAAAATTAACTGTGGGTACCAGCAGACTTTAGATTTCTTAGCTCTGTCAAATGTTCATCGTTTGATATATTAAGAGAAAGTCGGAGATCGGTTAGTGATGCTTCCTGATCCCAATTTAAGGGGCCAGAAGCGAATAACTTCCCCAGTGTTCTGCGGTAAGTGTATAGTTCCTGCCTACAGGATCTCACTGCTCCACCACCTGCTTCCTCTCTGAGCCCAAATGTTTCTTTTGAAGATTCTGCATCACTACTACAAGAGTCCGCACCTCGACTAGAACCATCTAGAAAAGAAGTTGGCATGTCACTCTCATCATAACTAATAGGGCTACAACTACCAACCGAGCATGCATCAGTATCATCATAACAACCATTAGAGACTGAGCTTCCTGTACCGACACATTCACTAAACCTTTTTGATCTTACCCTGACCATTTGACGGAAATCACTTTTCTTCTTGTTCAACGAAGCTTGCACATGCGTTTTACCACCCATACATCCAGAAGCGGCAGTATCAAACCAATGCTGATATCCCTCTTCCTCTAATGATCTTATCTTCTTAGGACTTCTCGTACATGATTCAGCAGACTCCGCCCAATCACAAGGTGATTGTCTCTTCAACATTCTTAAAGAAGCAACACTAGTCTCCAGAGGCACCACACTATTCAAAACAGGCTTCACATTCTGGTGTACATCTGATCCAGTCAGCGTAGATGACTTCAGCGAACAAGATACCTGAAATATGATTTATAACTCAGTTAGTCAACATGTAACTCCATTAGACACAACACCATTAACAAACATAACATAAGACTAACCTTTCCAATCACAACCCATATTTCATCTAGCCAAGATTGTCTAACCCTGAGGTTAACTTTATGAACCGTGAATTCGACAGCAGCACCAAGCAACCGAACCGCGTAATATCGTCCAGGTAACTCCTCCAGAACCGTAGCAGTTTTCCAGCAAATATTGTTATCAAGAACCTCAACTAATTCACCAGCTTCCCATCTGTCTACATCTATTTGAGGCGGGCACGGCCTTATAATCTTCCTCGGAACTCTCTCCTCAACCGCCTCGTTGTTAACAAACTCGAAAGAGTAATATCTAACACCGTAAGTGTGACCATTACCCGATACAATCTCGGCTGATCTCCACGCACCATACGGTGCTGCCTCTTTGTGGCTAAACACTTCAACTCTACTTCCTTTTCTGAATCTCATTGTTCTTTACTCCTACAAAAAGATCAAACCTTTTAGAATCCAAGCAATATCAAATTTCACACAAATCAAAGAAAACATCAAAAAAAAATTACAATAATCAGCAAAACTAAAACTGTTGTCAGAACATCACAGGAAACAGAACTTAAGCATTATAATGAATCACTCCGAGATAGCAAAAACTAAAACTGTAAACAGAACATCACAGATTAGTCCAAAGACGGTTCTAATGAATCACTCCGACATAGCCACAAAAAAGAATTTACAAAAATTTATAAATTAATAAACCAAACTAATCAGGTTGTAGAAGAAGAAGATACCTTGCTTTGATCACCGTAAGGTTTTGAAAAACTTCTCCTCTGGATATGTCTTCTAGGGATTTGTGAAAAATTATATCGGAAGAATTTGGGAATTAGGGCTAATGATACATACAATGATACAAATGAAACTTGGCGTGATATTAAGAGGCTACCAATAATTATTTAGTTTTTTATTAATTTATTTTGGATTATTTCATTAAATTCTTGTAACCAGGCGTGACAAGCCCAAATTTAACAAAATGGCAAAATATTAGTAATGACAGTGCGTGATTAAAAAGTAATTAGGAAGGGGTTCAATGAAAAAAAGTTAAATTGTGGATGTTAATGGTTAAGGCGGTCGGGATGGACAAATTTGTCAGTGGTTTGGTCGATTCTATTCTTTGGACGGACAACAAATCACGGCGGTCCAACTCTATTTGTATATAAAAACGGTCTGCATTTGGTTCGTAACAGTTTTCTTTTATTTTTTGGAGACCGCACGACAGTGAATAATAAATAAAAAGCGGTTTGGTCCGTAAGTGGTTTTGTCCGTTTTAACAGCTGTAACCATTCACACCCTACATATGAAAGAATTGAATTTTGATAAATTTTGTTTGTTATACAATATATATTCCATGATTTTTTAAAATTCTAGTGTTATTCAATTGTTAATTTCTTGATTCTATGAAATTTTAATATCTATCAATTTTTACGGTAATTGTCATACTAATTGTAAATATACCTTTTCTAAGATCAAACATATTGAAATGTTAATAGATTTGCATTTAAATATGGTTATTCTTTTTTAATTGAGTTATTTTTTTGTCATTTTGATGGAAACAATACTTGGGTTGGGGAAACCTCTTCACCACTTATTAGCTTAATTAAGGCAACTACAATAATATATTTAGAAAAAAAAAACAGATTGAGGAAATAAATTTACAATACTATTTATGCGTTCAGCTAGTGATTTAAATATAAGAGTTAGACCATCTCCAAGAACAATTTCATTTCCAACATGGAGTTTGGAATTAATTTTGCTAGAATTCATCAGATTTGCATTTTTTTCTCTATATTTGAAGAATTCTATTTCTAACTGACACTAAAAATTAGTGATCTTCATTTTTTAACTCCGAAATAGAGTATGATTGGAGATGCTCGTTGTTCCATGTGCACCTAGTATGATTCTCGGTAAGAGGGGTGCTTTGTCCCATGGGAGAGATTAAGATAACTTTAATAGAAGAAAAATAATATCAAAGTAACGGAAAATTAAAAACAAAACCATGAACTTTCAAATTTATGTTATTTAAAACATGAACTTTGTTGTAGGTCATTTGAAAAATTTACTTGCGTTGACTTGGGCTTTTATACATCATGTTTTGTTGACTAAGCCAAAAAAGACATAATGTTAAATCCGCAAATAGAGTAACTAACATACGTTAATCACTCTCTGTTAGTGACAAAGCGATGTCGTTTTTTAAATTGGAAAAATGTCATTAAAATCATGAAGTTTGTTATAGGTCATTTAAATCATCAATTTGCATTGACTCGATATTTTAAACATCAAATTTCGTTGACCAAACTAGGACTTTTTGTGGTTGACCCAATCAACATTTCGTTGACTATGTTTTTTTTTAGGTCTAAGCTCTGTAGCATAGGCCTTGTCTCTCTTTAATTTGTCGCAGTACATGTGAATCATGTTGGCATAGTACCCTTGCTATGCTTGGAATTGCTCTTCGAGTCAATCTTCTCTATCACATTAGTACATACATGAGTTTCTTGACCTTTTCGAGTTGCACTTGGGCGTGGTGAGGAACACGAGTTTAATTGCGGACACAAGGGGATCTTATGGTGCTGCTGATGTGTGGACACAAGGGGATCTCATGACTATTTTTTTTTTTAATTTCTCTATTTAGTGCATATCCCTGTTTACAAAACTCATTATAAATTGATCATTGTGTATTTTGATTTGGAAAAAAAAAATGTACATATTCAAAGTGCTCATATAAACACAATGAATTGTTCATATATAAACGATACATAGCATTCATGATATACCTTATCATAAACTGGATGGGACAAGAGAATGAGACTGATCTATAACAACAATATGGCAGCTTCGGGTAAAAAGAGCCAAAAACATTTCAACGCGTACTCCATAGAACACATATACCTCAAGCTCTGTTGTTAATCACCAATAGTCATTACAGCTGCAAACCCCGTCTTTAAGATGGTGGAACCTCTTTGCATCGCGCATGACCACTAATCTACCAGCTATAAGTGCCATCATCTTCAATGCGTGATGACAATCGACACATACACGGAGGTTTTTCATAACAGTAAAAGGTTTGCGGGGTGCAGTAGTGAGAACAGCACGAGCAAAAGCTACCCTCTCGCTATGACCAAGAAGTGCCGTCTCTTTACTCTCTTGGTCGATATCATGCAAAGCAGGTTTCGTATCAGCGACATATCCCATCTCTATCATATGCATCTTGAAATTCTTCAATAGCTCGAACAGTTCACCATTCTCAGGAAGATTGGTGTCCCCTGCCCTAAATTCCTGCATCTTGTTACTGACTCCGAGAAGAGGATAAACTCCCGACTTTTTCTTTAGACTCTCTTTCTCAACATCTGATGCCTTGACTGGTACAAACCCTTCCCGGGATTGTTTATTCAACCGCGTAGGATCTAACAATTCAACTAACTCAGCACAATGGTCTCCAAGTTCTAAATTCCCATGCACACGAGAAAGATTCATCAATGTTTCCCACACATCAACATTTGGCTCCATTGGCATTCTCTCCACAAATTCCAAAGCCTCTTCTAAAAATCCGGGTAACGCATACATCTCAACGAGGCTTACATAGTCTTCAATCGAGGGGACAATGCCGAAGTCCCTAGACATCGACTCAAAATGTAATAGTCCCTCATCAACATCACCTAACATACCACATGAATAGAAAACTCCTCTAAATAGTCGACCATCAGGTTTGTTTCCTTCTCTTTTAAACCGACTAAACATATCAATAGCGTCTTCTCCTCGACCATTCTTCGCAAAACATCTTATAATAATATCCCAAGTCTCTAAATTCCTCTCAGGCATTTCCTCAAAAACACTCCATGCTTCATCCAGCAACCCACAGTTAGAGTACATTTCCAACAGTAAATGGAAACAACTAACATCTAAATAACAACACAAAGCACTAATCTTCCCATGAACAGCCTTAGCTTCTTCTAAAGCCTCAGCTTCACCACACAGCTTAGCTAACCGTAAAAGTCTACTCAAATCCACAACATGATTCATAATCTCCAATGTACCTAAAGTATACAAGGCCTTTTTCACCTTACCTTGTCCGCACAATGAATCAAATTCATTAACCATGTAATCAGTATAATGTTTCAAATCATTCACATTATTTTTAACTGAAGCTCTCAGCTTCCCCTCAACAGAAACCTTACCTTCTTCTAAAATACTAGCTTCTAGAAATGGATTCTCATCCCCACATAGCTGATATATCATTATAAGTCTATCTATACCCATATCACAACCCTTCTTCTCCAATTTTTCCATGTTATTTAAGGCCATTCTTAGATTCCCTTGTACACAATACTCATCAAATTTCTGATACATCTCATATATGTCTTCATCATTACTCTCGTAATCATAGATTTTCCCGTACCATTTGCCTTGATAATTAGATTGAACCTGCGAATTATACGTACTAGGACTCTGTTTCCATGACTGCTCTTGATTTGAAACCAAACTCTGACTTTCACTAACTTTCCCATAGCTCTGGATTTGCCCATTTCCACTGTTCCCTTTAAACACTTCTATATGGTTCATACGTGACGTATCTTCGATCTGATATCCATTAGAGTCTCCAAGATCTAACCTTTGAACAGCCGTGCAGAGATGTCTCAGGAAATGATTGATTCTTTTCTCGCTGGGTAAGGACAGAGCATAATTCGTACATGGAAATGAAACTATCTTCTTATACATCAGAAGAGAAGAGAAGAGAAGAGGGCAAAAGTGATAATGGAAACCCAGTTTGGTCGGAACTTGGGTTGGTGTTTGGTTTTGACGGCGAATGAACCTGAACGAAACATCCGACAGGGAGAAATTAGCATCGACGGTTGAGGGTAAAGTTGTAATTTATTAATTAACAAGGTATGGGCCTAAATGGGCTTAACTAATTTAGTGGGCTTAAGTAATTTAGTGGGCCTAGCTAATTTAGTGGGCCTAGCTAATTTAGTGGGCCTAGCTAATTTAGTGGGCTTAAGCTACTTTAGCTGAGCCTTGTTAGATTCCACCGAGCTTTTTTCAAAACTCTCCGGTTAGGTTTCTTCTCCGGCCATATCATGTTTCGTCGTCTAATTCTCCGGCAAGCAGCGGTCGTCGCATCGGAATCGAAGACTGCTCGTCATCATCTTCATGGATTCGATCAACGAGTATAACATTTTTCTTTTCATTTATGTGGATTTTAATTGGAAATGATGATTCTTGTTTCGGTTCCGTGATTTAAGTTTTGTGAGTTTGAATCAGAGAGGATTACACAGCAGGAACAAGAAGGCAATGGAGTATGTAGCTAAAGGATGGAGTGCGATTAAGGAAGTGGATAGAGTTATCGATTACTGTGAACTCAATGATCGTCGCCTTATTCCTCTCCTCAGGGTAGGCTTAAGTCTTTTTCTAAATGCAATTTTGTGTTATAGGATAGTCAAATTGTTTTATATGTTGTGGTTTGGCTTCTTTGGTTGTATTTGTTAATATGAATTTTTCTGGTTCAGGGAGCTAAAGAGAACTTTGAACTTGCTCTGGAAGCTGATAATTTGAACACTCATGCTAGATATTGGCTTTCTAAGTTGCATTTGAAGTACCATGTTCCTGGAGCTTGTAAAGCTGTGTAAGTTAATCATTACTCAGATAGCTACTCTTTCCAATTGCAATCATGACTGAAAGCTGCTATGCGCGAATGTGGTAATTGAGTTGTTTTGCTCCAATGCCTATGTTTGATTAAAGTAAGAACAACGAAGGTTTAGTATGGCTGAATTTGCAATGGCTTTTCGTAAACTGGGAGATTGCGTGTAATTTATAGAACTTTGTCATGTATGCAAGGCTTTTTTTGGTTATCTTATCAATACGTTATTGTCTTTGATCATCACAGTGGAGCTGCTTTGCTAGTTGAAGCTGCAGATATGGGTAATGCGGATGCTCAATATGAGCTAGGGTGTCGTTTAAGAATCGAGGTCAGGCTTCCTTACAATTTTGTTGTATAATATCAATTTTGTTGCTTAGAGATTGAGAACCTCAGATGTAGATACTTTAGAGCTTCATCTTTAATAACAGTTGCATTGTTGCTTTAGTGGGATACTCTTAGTTGAGAAATGTCTGCTTCTTGAGCAGCGTTTCCTCAGATTCAAAATTTTACGCAGTTATTATTTATCCCCCCCAACTCATCCCTAAACTTCCCCAACATTTCATACTAATTGTTATCTTTCTTTCAGAATGATCATGTCCAGTCGGATCAACAGGCGTTCCACTATATAGAGAATGCTGTTGATCAGGTATGAATATATTTTTGCTGCTCAGAGAACTGTATGAATGTATCATTTGGCAATTATATAGAACCCTCACCTGGGAGTTGGTAACTTGCAGCTGCATCCAGGTGCCCTCTATCTTTTAGGAACAGTGTATCTGACAGGAGACTGTGTGAAGCAAGATGTGGAATCAGCTATTTGGTGTTTCCATAGGGCTTCAGAGAAGGTTATAACTTTGTGACTTGTGAGAGAGTACTCTTTCTTATTTTGTATGTAGATCAATACTGCTGGAGGAGTGTTTAAATAGAGTCAGCTTCTGTTTTCGTTTCATTATAGCCTCATAAACCTGTAAATTTTAGGTGTAGTGATCATATCTTTTGTTTTTGAATATTGACGAAAATCAGTGTCTTATGTCAAAAAATGTTTATAAACCTGAAAGAGCAAGTTTGCAAAGTGACATCTTCTTGTAGTTTCCATAGTCTTCTGACTCACATACGTTCAGGGACATGCCGGTGCTGCTATAGCGTATGGATCACTATTACTTAGAGGTTAGTCATCCCTTACTCTCTAGATTATAAGAACACAACAATATTGTTTCATTTCTTGATTTTGCGGTTAACTTGCTTTAAAACATCAACCGTACAGGTGTGCAAGTCCCAGAATCTCTAACAAAAGTGAACCCTGCGGGAGTTTCGCCGCCCAAGAGATCAAGAAAAAACTCAGAAAACCCTGAGATGAATCCACTAGAGATGGCAAAAGAGCAGTTCCAAATCGCTGCAAGAGCAGGGTGCGACCTGGGGCTGAAATGGCTACAAAGGGTGGAACAAGAAGAGAAACTTCTTTCGAACGAGCAAGATACGGAATGTGCCTACGTATGATGCAGCTACTTATGTTTCTGGTGGAGTGAAATCATCAAGCAGTTTGTATTATGGTGCAAATTGTACCCGCTTGAAAGATATCTGTCTATAGAAAATAAAGAGATCATTTCTTTTTTTGTCCTTAGTTTCAGGTTTCAAAATATACCAATCACTATTTTCTAATTTAGTCTACACAATCATCCAAATCTTGGAGAGGAATACTTGTAAACCCTTATATTCACCACATTTTGTTACATCCAATTAAACGGCGCCATATCATATTAGATTAAATAAATAAAACATATTAAAATAAAATCATTAACAGATTTATGAATTTAACTAAACCCGGACCGACACGTAATCTCATTTACTAAAACCCTAATTCTTTTTTATAAACCCAAACCGATATATATTAACCTCTCGTTTACTGTAAAATCTAAACTCTACTACTTATTGATAAATTCAAACCGACATCTATCTTCGTTTGGTTGCAAAATCTAAACCGTAACCTCTTCAATAAACTCAAATCGACATATAAACTCAAACCGGCATATATTCTCGTTTTTCTGTAAAATATAAACCCTAATCTCATTTATAAACTCAAACCAATATAAAATGTCATTAAATTGTAAAATCTAAAGAAAAGGAAATTTGTAAACTTAAAATCGAAACTTTATCCTGTTTTTTAATAAACCTAAATCAACATGTAATCTTTGTAAAATCAAAACCCAATAATATACTATTAATTTATTATATAAATAATACTTTAAATTTATATTTTTTGATTAGATGGCAAGTTTTGATTGGGTAGAAAAATGGGAGTGAACAAAAGAATTTTCCAATCTACAAGTTCGAATAGGAAAAGGTACACTGAGTCATTAACAACAACATAAACAGAGTTCCGGTAAAACCCAAACCCAAAAAGGAAACTTACCAAAAACAAAAGGAAATTTCAAGAATCTATAATACATATAAATAACAAACATCAGCAATCACTTTCTCTCTTCTCATCTCAAAACCTAACGACTTCATCTCTTGTTGTGTCTGCTTTGGTAAGTTTGTTTGTGTTTAACAATGGAGTCTGGAGATGTGAAAATCGATATCCATATCAATACAGAACCGCTCTGGGAAACCTACTCAACCTTACCTTTTTTCACCCTAAGCATTGGTTCCATCTTCAGCACTGTTTGCATCAACCTCTCTCGACGATTCAAGAGATTTGTTATTGACAAATCCGACTTTGTGACTGACAAATCCAATGTTGTGACTGACAAATCCGAATTTGTGATTGACAAATCCGACAGAACCATCACTTGTACTGGGTTTTATCCTGCACCACCTCCACCAACTCCTCAAATATGTTTGAATCTTTTAGACCACGAGTTCTCTGCCTTTCATATCATACCACTCATCAATTCTCGTCTCCATGATCTTCCCTCGTCAATACATATAGCTAACGCGATCGAAGCTCGTGCGGCTCTAAGCGTTGGACTTTTACAACCGGTGTTCATGACCGTTGACGTTGTTTTTACCAAAAAGGTGGTCTCAGTGAGCCCTGGTTCTTGCCTTGCGAATGAAGAAAACGAGTCCACATGTTCCATCTGTTTAGAGGATTTTTGCAACGGTGACGACAATAGTGAATGGGACATTAGAGAACTGTCGCATTGTTCGCATCGGTTCCATGAAGCATGTATCAGAAAGTGGTTAATGAGGTGTAGGTCTTGCCCTATCTGTCGTAGAGCAGTGCAACGAAAGAGTCATTAGTCATATGGCTATATGCTTCGGTTTTAAGGTTTTGTAATGAAACTAATTAGATTCTTTTAAGAGTTTGTTTTTTTTTGTTTTGTTTAAAAATTCAATGAAAAACTCGCGTTATATAATTTCTTCTTGTTTCTATAGTACCTTAAAAGTAAACTATAACTTCAAGTTCATATAACGATCGACGATGAACAAGATCATATAAATGAACTGCCACATTGTTTGCAGCGATATGTATCGTCGAGTGGTGAAACAGATATTGAATAATCTATCTTTGGATTTTGAATAGCTTCTCTTTTTAGTTATAAAACACAATGAAAAAACTGTAGGCTCTTCTAGCTAGATTCTATGTTACCATAGTTAGAACAAAACATTCGGTTCAAGTTTACGCAAATTACATTAACAAGATACAAAAAGGTTGAATCCTTTACATCTTTACTGATGATCATCAATAACCTGAAGATGCTGTGATGGTGTTGCTGCCGGGTCAAGCTGTCTGCAACCTCTGGGCGCACCGGATGCTTCTCGACCTGTCAGCAACTTCGAGGGTATCTTGTGAGAGAATCTTGAAATTTCATTCCTATGGATCCTTCTGGCTTTTTTGGGATCCAAATGATGGCGAAACACAGCTTTGAAACCAGCAACTTTAACCAAAGGAACCACTGACACACCGTGTTCCTTTGTATATCCTTCGACTACTTCAACTAACTCGTACTCAACTGTTTCGGATCCCGTAAGATAGTTCCATTCAGGTGACCATTTCTGATACAGAGCCCATACCTCGCCTGTTCTAGGATATATAAGGAATTCTCCATTATTCCCTTTGACCAGGTTTACTTTGTGTGAGAAAATGTAAGGTGACTTGCTGATTTGAGTTTTCCCAACTCTAAACTCTCCACAACTTTTTGGTACACCAGAACCAAGCCAATTTGTTGAGTTAAGCTCACCATTTGCTACTGAAGTAAGCCAACTCATACGTACCTTGAATGGATCTACAGAGATAACATTATTTATCACGACATATGATCGAGGCATACCTTCAAGAGAATCGTAAGTAGCCCATATCTGGTCATCCCTAAATGACCTTTCAGTTCGGTCCTTGTCAAAGTCACGGAAATCTGGATCAGGAACCTCTATTGTCAAGGCTCCCAGGGAATCCATAATAGAGCCCATAGAGCTTGATTCAATTGAATTTTTGTTTACTGAAGAATCTGCATTGAAACCATTGAGGTCCTCAGTTTCCATTTCCCTTTCTTTTGAGTCAGTTTCAACAGCGTTGGTGCGTAATTCTTGCAGGTTTCTACGGAGTACTGACTTAGCTTTATTCTTCAGTAAGTTCTTCAGCTCATCCTCAGATACTTCTTTTACACCAGTGGGCTTGGGAGAACTTGCAATGTTGGTACCAGCAACTGCATTTTCCATAACCTTTCTTCTTTTTGGAGGAATTGTCGATGAAACACCAGCCGCCCTTTTGTTATACTCTCTACGCACAACCTCCTCTTTTCGTGACCCGGTCTGTGCAGCATTTTTGGTTCCAGTGGACACACCCCACTCAAAGGAATCATATTCACCATACACCCCATTGCTGTCTTTTCCAGATACATTTTTCTTCCTTCCATCCGTTGTGTGACGGAGAGAGTCAAACTGATGCTCGTGAAAGGTCTTGCGAATCGAACCTGAACCTGGAGGATCTGTTTCCACAGCTATAAACGGCTTACGACAGTTGGGGCACAGGAGGTTTTGATTTAGATAAACACGATGATATTCATACTGTGTTCTGCAAGTACGGCATACAGTCCAAAAGGTCCCATCACCAGTTGTTTTCTGAGCTGAAGTAGAAGTAGCAGCAGCAGCAGCAACAGCATCACTTGCCCGGTTAATACCTCTAGCAGCAACGGCCTCACTTGCTCTATTAATACCTCTAGCAGCAACGGCATCACCTCCTCGATTAATACCTCTAGCAGCAACAGCATCACTTGCTCGATTAATTCCTCTAGCAGCAACAGCATCACTGGCCCGATTAATACCTCTAGCAGCAACGCCATCACTAGCCCGGTTAATTCCTTTAGCAGCAACTGCATCACTTGCCCGTTTAATACCTCTCTTCGAACTCTTAACCTTTGTTGTGTTACCGCTAGCTTTCGTAACTTTCTGAAATCCATTGGTTGCAGGCCTTGACGACGAAGAAGCCTTTCTTCCCTCATGCAATCCCATATTCCTCTTCAGGTCATAGTCAGCTCTCTTTGCATCGTCAGAGAACACACCCCAAGCCTGAGAAAGAAACTTAAAGGCTTCCTCTGCTCCAATGGACTTGTTCCTGTCAGGATGAAGCAATACCGCCAACTTTTTGTAACGCTTCCTCACTGTTTCGTAATCAGCCTCGGGGTTCAGACCAAGTACACCATAGTAGTCTTTCTCACCAAATATTATATTCTGAGCAGATAAATGAACATCAAATGTTGCCACCATTTGATCAATCCCATCAAGATAAGGATACAGAAACTGAGCCTTCATCGCGAATTTCCGAGCCCCCGATAAATCATTCCCTAAGAACTTCTTCTTTGCAATCTCTCTAGCCCTTATAGCCTCTTCTTTATTACAGTCCATTGGGATTCTCCTACTTTATTCTCTCCTCTACTAAACGTCACGTAAGGAGAAGCTCGAGAAATCAAATCGACTTCTCAGTGATGCAACTGATATAGAAGTTGGACTGTACAACGTTCCCTCTCAATAAACATACAAAGGGAATTGAGAACCAACAGTTACACTGCAAATACATTTGAAAGTTCATTAACTAAAGAGTAAGGAGAATCTATAAACAGGGTAACATAATGATGAGAGCAATCCAAGGTAAAGTCACAATTTTTTATAAATCTCAATCCAAATATGCAACATGATCCAACTCAAGCACAAAGATTCCAAAACGTGTCAGAAATCAGAGACATAAAAAAAACAAAATTCAAGATAAATTGAAACATTAATTCCATAAACACGATTAATCTTGAACTAACAAACAAGCTGCATTGCATAATCTATTGAGATAAAATAAAAAACCCTAATAATTAATTCGCCAAGAAATGTAAAAAACTCGTCTAGATATCAATGCAAAATTCCGACAAGAACTCAAACAGTTATGTCTTCAAAGAAAAAAACATCCTAAACCTAAGTGTATCCGCCAAGGACATTGGTCGTAAACCCTAAAGCAATACAACATAAACCTCTCCAAAATCAAAATTGTCAACAGATTACTCAAACTCGTTAATCTCAAAGTGGGTATTAATCAACTCAAGAGTAGTAACAAAGGATCGGAGTATAGAGAAGAAACAAATACAGAAGCAAAGGAGATTGAATCTTACATAGAGACAAGACCAGAAGAAGAGTAGAGGAAGGTGACGACGACGATACAGATTCCGGTTTGGTTTTCCCCGTCGAGGAAAATGGAATCACAAAGTAACAAAGCGATCCCAATTAGAAAAAGAAGAGATTTTTTTGGAATTAAAGAATCAGAATTAGATCATCTTCTACATAAAAATCGGCGGTGGTTCTTCTCAATTCTTGAATCGATGTTTTGTCACACTCTTCTCTGTGGCTCTGTGGATTGATTTTTTTTTTTGGTTTTTCTTTTTTTTTTTAATTTTCTCTTAATTCATTAGTAGGAGAGTTTTTGGTTTATATCTTGGGACTGGGAGAAGAGAAGCACCGGTTCGATTGATTCAGAAAAAAAGATTAATTAAGAAAAGGATTTAATTTGTTGACAAAAAAAAAAAGAAAAGGATTTAATTTCTGGTTGACTAAAGAAAAGAATTATTTTTTTCTTTTTTTGGTGGAGATTTTTGTATTGTATTGTATACATGATAAGTTTTGAGAAATACCTTTTCTGATATATATTTTTGGAAAATATATTTTTCATTTAATTGTTTTTTTTTTAAATATCTCTTTTAAAATTTAAAAATTTATATGGTTTATAACGTATTTCTAGATAATAATTACCATTAGGAGATTAGATACGTTTAATAATTACTAAAAATTCATAATATTTAAAACGTTTAAAAAGGTTTTACGCGGTTTTAAATAATATTTGTCTGTATTTCTAAATTAAATCTAGATTTTTTTTCCTAAATTAAATCTAGAATTTTACATATATATAATGATATAAAGGTAATTAGTGTATATTATTGTAAGCTTACACATATTTGGAGAAAATTCAAAATTCTTATGGCTTTTTTATAAACTTAGAACGAGAGGATATTTTTGAATAGTTGTATTGAGAAATGAGTATTTTTATATAATAAAGTTTGAGGTTTTGAAGTTACTAGATTTTGTATGCAGGGATTTTAATTTAAAACATCTCCTACAATATAAATTTTTGAACACAAATATAATCATTTAATTTTGAAAAGATAAGTCTTTGAACATAAATCTTTAATAGATACTAAACTTACTTTACTAAGTGATATACAATATGTTGAAGATAATGTTTTATTGAAAAATAAGTTATTTCATATATATCACGTGGTAACATAAATCACCTGAGAAATTCATTTGAGAAATTCGTGGGAATACTTAATGGTATCGACATCTAGCTCATATCATTCATCTTTAAGAGAATTTATTTTGGACAAAGATATGAGCTAGCTGTCGATACCAATTAAGAGAAACTTTTTCTTATTTATATTCAATAAAAATATTTCTTCAAAGGCTTTGACAAGGATTATCGATTGTTAACCTAACTGTAGATAATTAGATATCATTTTATGATTAGATGCTGATACGAACAGAACTCCATTCCATATAAAATACGAATAGACCAATCTCATGAACATTATTTAGTGTAAAGAGACATATATAATATCATATCGCTAGAACAACTTTACTCATCGAAGCAAGTGCATCGTGCCATAAAAGAATTCTCGACCAAGTCATGAATGTGCCTATCTTATCTCACTTTTGACGATTACATGGTCAAACAGTTAAGCCCGATTTGGAGTCCAATAATCTATTAAAAATGTATGTCACTTATTTTCTAAAACCTCATTCGTTTCAACCACTAGATGGGGTTAGTTTTTTACTTTAGTCATGTGTATTGTTATCTTTCCATGTTTCAGTAATTTTTTCAAACACTTTTAACTGCCAATTCTTTTGCCATTGTCTACGATGCACTCATTGCTTCTCAATATCTAATTTTCCACCTTCTATTGGTTCACATATAAAACATATGAGATTGGGAATTGATTTTCAAGAGATATCGTAACTATTTTTTCTTTCTTTATAACTACTGTATCTTTATGGGACGACAATCGTGTAGAATGTGTTTTTGACCGATTTTGTAAGTCACATAGATATGATCCCCAGTCTCTAATCTCATTTGTCTTGCCCATTTTTAAAATTTCCCAAACCTCAAAACTTACCAATCATATTTGGTTTGACTCTAGAAAACCAAAAGTTAACTAAACGAGGATTCGGAGAAAGAAAGCATCCATAAGAGTCTAGATTTTTATATGAGTCGTGGCATAACATTTTTTTAATGTATTTAACTCTGTGCGTTAATAATGATTTGTATTTTTTTATATAATCTACTTCAGTGTTTTGTTTTTTAAAGACACTCTTTGTGAAACAGAGGAAGTATCTTTTAGTCTTATGCACCACCCGGATTTTTTTCTTTGAATTGAATGTAAGATTAAATTCAATAAAAAAACCATTTTCACAACGAATGCATCTTTGTGTTTAAGAATAAAAATTCAGAGGAGAACATTGAAAGTTTTTAGAGGAGGGAGTGATCATGTAGATGGTGGCGAGGTGAAGAACCACAACTGTAAGCCCTCATCGTAGCACTGGTCGCCTAAAGCTTTGATTGAGCTGAGACGGTTTTAGAGATTCTTGTCAATGAGCTTAATGAGTCTTCCTTGCGACGATCGTATTTCACCATGTCTTCGTGCATTCCTTTCACGCCACATGTGATATAATGCGTCTTGGAACACATATTGTAGTAGAAAGAGATTGGGTTCGGGAATGGTTTGATTGGTGAGTAACATGATCAGCTGGCTCCATTCCCTAGAGTAATCTATGGTGAGAAGACATAGAGTTATCGTTTCCCACTTCAATAATTATCGGATTTAGAGAGTCACAAATAGAAGATTAACCAAAGCTTTTGATCGAAAATACAAAGATACTAAGGGGGGTGTATTGAAAATAGAATTCTAGGGGATTTTGGATTTTTTTAAAAATTTCCTGTTATTCAACTAGTGATTTTTAAATCACTTTTCAAATCCCCTGTTATTAAATATGACATTTGTAAAAAGTCTTTTAAAATCACTTACAATCTCTGTTATTCAATCAATAATTTGTAAAAATCATATCAAATCCACTGTTATTCAAAACATAACTCTTTCTTTTTTAGAAAACTATAAAAAGTGATTTTGGGAGACTTTGATACAATTTTACAAGTGAAAACCAGTTAAAAAATCACACCTTGAGAGGTGTGATTTTGAAGGATTGGTTTAAAAAAAAAAAACAATTCACAAAAAAAAGGGCACTAAAATATTGATTTCTCAGTTCCATCGTTGAATTTCTGGGTTCCACAATTCACAAGGTGCGATTGAACACGGCTCCAGTGTCTATGATATATCTCCCAAGGTAACAAACTTCTTGAACGTGAACATCTTCATATCCCCTGAATTCGTTAATTTGATTTCATTTATCTTTTGATTTTCCTCCGAATTTGATGAGGAGACGTATATGTTCAAGCTCTTCAATAGTAGCGGTATCACAGAATCTACTAGTGAGAGTGAGAAATTTTTGCTCCTGTTTTGGATTCACAACTAAAACTGATCCTTGTCTAATCATTGGTTTCAGATTTCTTTGTCTAACTGCAGAATAAAAGCTATTGGCTCTTCTCTCAAGTCATGCTCTGATTTAATTTCTTTGAAGATAAATAAAGAGTGTCACAGCTTCGTCTCTTCTGCGACGTCAGGAGATCATTCATCCGATGGGTCTTCTCTCCAACAGGCTTCGTCTTCTCCCTCTCTCTTTTGTTTTCCAGAGAACTTGTTTATCATCTTACGTTATCTCACCAAATTTGTATATCTCTTGTGTTAGAACAGGATCGACAGATCAAGTTTGAAACATGGGGATCATATCTACTCCTTGAGGACTGCTTACATCTATGCCCATCACGGTTTGTATTCATCTTCGATTCCTCTTCTTCCTAACCCAATTTTTCCAATTTTTCTCTCTACCTATGGTTTTTTACTCTTTCAAAGTACGATTTTTGTTTTTAATTTTGTTTGGTCTAAAAGTTATGGGCTTCACGTCTATTTCTTTAATTATTAGGGTTAGTTGTAAGGTATATATATACTCACTTTAATTAATATTTTTTTGTGTAGCAGCTTACACAAACAAGATACGTAAAGCTGTATTTCTCTTCCAGTCAAGGTGATTTTTTCTCTTGATTTACTTTTGTCACTTTCATGCGTTTAGAGGATGTTTCTCTTACGTTGTTAGTTTACAATTGACTATGATTAGAAAGTATCATCATCGTTCTTAAATTATGCAGAAGATAGACTAGCCATGGAGATGGTTGAATGTCATTTAAGATGAATGACTAACTGCGATTGACTTTTAGGGAGATGTATTCAAAGTGGAATTTTAAACCATTGTGTAGAATTTATAAATCTTATATTATTCAAACATGGATTTTAAATCATGTGTTATTGAACTAACGATTTCAAAATCCACCTTAAAATCTATTGTTATCGAAAACAATTTGTGAATTTGATTTTTAATGATTTGAGAGGATTTACTTAATTAAAAATACCGAAATTCAAATCCCATGGTTTTAGGTGAGATTTGAAAAGGATTTTACAAAAATCATATGAACTTTTCTAAAATCATCAAAAATTCAAAATCATTTTAAAACTCAAAAAAACTCAAATCACTTAAAATTTTATTCGAATTCACCCCCTTGTTTTAGGTATGATTTTTACAACAGTTAAAATGGAAACAAATAACATGATTTACAATATTTTAGGCATGATTTATGTGGAGTAGAAAACGATCACTGTGGAGTAACAATTTCTTCTCCTTTAAGATTGCAATGGGTAATACTGCGACTCCTGATTCCCCGAACCAAGACCGCATTTGAACCAAATCAACAGAACAAAAAAAACTTATATATTACCTAAAAAAAATTATATAATATTTTTGCTTGTTTGGATTAAAAGAATGCAAGGAGATTAAGATCTTCTATGGAACTTATGTCTCGATATAAATTTTGTTTTCTTCTATTACCTCTTTCCATACTAGATTCTTACTTTGAAGTTCCAAATTTTGTACTTGTTGTGCATTTGTCTTTTAAATTAAGTTAAAATTTGAACATTTTAAAATTAGAGGACTAAAATAGAAGCTAAAATAAAATATTTATTTGGATAAACTTGAATTATTATATTTTAGAGTAAAAAATAGAGCCAACTATTGGAATAAACATTTGCTCTATTTTGGAGATAGTCTAAGCTAAGTTTTTTTTTTTGCAAGTATTATGGAAGAGACTTCTACATATTGAATAACTTGCAAACATGTTGCAACTGCATTTTTGTGAGAGACCTGAAAAAGTCACCTTACAAGATTGATTATAGGTAATTACGTACTTAAAATTGTAATTGAAGAAAAATGTAGTTTTGAAGATGGCTTTTTGGACAAGTTGAAGAAAACATTGGATGTCAAAAAATTTAATATATATTTCATACGTTAAAGTACAAGATATCATTTTAATATTTATGAAAATAAAGTACATACTTATTTAAGGATTAAAATCCAAAATTCTAGATAGTATATGTTTACAATAACATTAAAAACTTCAAATAAGCTATCGACAAAATAAAAAGGCTGATACTTATAAAAAAAAGATATTGTGAATATAAATTTGAGTGATTGTTATTATTTATGAGATGGTTAATATAGTAATACTAGTCGAACCATATTGTACAGTAAAACCTCTATAAATTAATAATGTTGGGACCAAGATATTTTATTAATTTATAGTGATATTAATTTATCTATAAATTAATATTTATTATTTTATAGTGTAAATTAATAATTATTAATTTATAGTGATATTTTAATTTTTTCAATTTTTTAAAAAGTATGAATTGACACAATTTTACAAAACCAAGTATAATCTTATAGATATTATAAATTATACAGTAGTTTGAAAATGAATATTATATTTAGAAAATGAGAAATTTGACTATAAACTATAAATATTATAGATAAATTCACTTATACAAATTATATACATAAATTTAATTGTATATTACTAACCTCCATTGTTATATTTCAACATCCTATATAAAAAATGAATATGATGCATATTTAAAAATTGAAAACATAAAGAAAATTTGATTATTTTTATGACTTGTGATGGTATATATCACAAGATTATTGTTTAAAAATATACTAAGATAAAATTATTTATTGAGGTGAACTTGATTTTTACAAAAACTAAAAACATCTACATTAATATATCTACCATATATATATATATATATATATATATATATATATACATATATATATATATATGTATATATATAGTGATTATTAATTTATGATATTATTGGGACTATATTTTACATAGAAATTTCAAAAAAATTATTATCTTATTATCTTATCAAATTTGGTCAATTTTTACATTGGCCCGACTTGGGACCAGTAAAACTTATTTTTTTCCGAAAATTTTTGGCGGGAAAATTTGGCGGGAAATTTTTCGGAAGGAATATTCTTTTTGTTGGAAGAATATTCCTTTTTTCATCATGGGTTATAATAAAGGAGGGTAATTTAGTCATTTGTACATTGAAGAGGGTATTTTTGAAAATGAACACCTAGAGAGGGTACTTGTAGAAAAGGGTATCATAATAAAGGTTAGTTGTGCAAATCTCCCTTAATTTATAGTGTTTATTAATTTATAGAGTATTAATTTATAGAGGTTTTACTGTACTAGTTATCTACAAAGAAAATTGTGAATTAATTGAATGATTGTGGTTAATACTTAATAGTAATAGAACCATATTGTTAGATCCAGAGTCCAATGGAGGTGCTTAATGAATTTGAAAGTCTTTTCGGCTAGAATAGAGGGATTAGCACACCTCCAACACTAACATTAAATTGAATTAATTTAAAGCAAAGACAAGAAGAAAACTTATGCATCAATGCTTAATTTGCATATTTAAACATCACTTAAGCATCCCATATGTGTTGTTGCAAAATATTCAATTTAAACAAAATAAATTATATTTCATCTTTTTTTGTAAAGCACCTCATGTAGAATACCACCATTGGAGACACAAATAAGAAACAAAATAATAAACAACTACGAAACATGCTAATTTCAATAGATCATAAATCAAGAAAGAGCGAAAAATAAAAAAAAAGTGATAAAGTGACATCGAAATACAAATATCTATAGAACAAATAGCTGGGTAATTATCACGGGTAAATTTAAGAAGCAATTTACGATATATTCTAACTTATCATGAAATAAAAAAGAATAATCCAACAAGAATAATGTCAAGCTTCTTTCAATATATAAATGATAAATTAAAAACAGTTCGGTCTATAACCAGTTTTGTCCGCTGGAACTGTTACTCCGATAGTTTTAGATCCAGGAAAAACCCAAAAAATATTTGGTTTATTATTTTTGAGGCTTTTTCCCTTTTAAATCCTGAATTCTCAAATTAACAAAAAAAAAAAGTTATACAACGATGGTTGCTGTTTAATTACGATCGTTTGGTGAACTAGTTATGACGTGTCTATTTTCACAGTTTCCATATAATTACAGTATTCCTTTATTTGCATCTTTTATTAAATTATCATTTTATTTGATTTTTAAGGTAATGGTGGCAAACATTATGGCACTGACAGCGACTTAGAACGGTCGACGACTTCCACGTGTGAAAATATTTAATTCACAAAATAAAAATATTTAATGACAAAATGAAAAAATATGGAAACGTAAAACATAAAAATGGACACTACTAGAAGTGGAAACAACAGCTGAAGAAGAGACAAGTAAGAGAGAGTTAGTAGTAGTCACTTTAAATTCCGCCATTGAATCGACGGCGAACTTCTAGGGTTTCTGCTTAAGTGGTGATGAAGCAAAACGCCGGCAAGGTTGCTGCCGGAACTTACCGGAGAAATGAGTTTGTTCGGAACAGAGACGATTCTGATGACGGGGTTTGTTTCCTCTGTTTCTTTTGTTAGTTTTTTGAACCATATTTGGCTAATGCAAGCTCAAAGATTTGAACTTTATTATGTGATTTTACTTCAGAAGAGATATATGAAGTATGTGTGTCAGCTTAAGTAAGAAACTTTTTGTTCTGTTCTTGTCTGTAAAGGTTAGATTTTGTTCCAGTTTTAGCTTGATCGTTGATTCTTAAAGTCTAAACCTTTACTTACTAATGTTAACACATTGTAATCTAGCTTAACCATGTTTCGCTAATCACACAAATTTAGATATATGGTTCTTGTAACATGATTTGGTTTAGTTCTGTAATGATCTGTTTTTGTTTGTTTGTCCTTTCTAACATTGTTTTCTGTTCCAAGTGCAGCTGAAACCTCTGAAAAAACTGAATGGGATGATATGTCAAATCTGTGGAGATGATGTTGGAGTCACTGAAACTGGCAATGTCTTTGTCTCGTGTAATGAATGTGACTTCCCTTTGTGTCGATCTTGTTATGAGTATGAGAGAAAAGATGGAACTCAATGTTGCCCGCAGTGCAAGACAAGATTCAAACGTTACAATGGTCAGTAGTAACATTGCTATTGTTTTCTTTGAATTATAAGTTCTTTATTTTTCATTCTCTGACACATTTGATTGTTATAGGGAGTCCTCAAGTTAAAGGAGATGCAAAAGAGGTTGATGTTGATGATATCGAGAATGAGTTTGATTATACTCAGGGAAACAACAAGACAAGACTCCCAGATCGCGCTGAAGAGTTCTCGTCGTCATCTCGACTTGAATCTCAACAAGTTTCTCTTCTTACTCATGGCCATCCGGTAAGGACTAACATACATTTGCTCTACTAACGTTTATATAATGATGAAATGTTTCACATCATCAATTTTTTTGTCATGGAAATTTCTATACATAGGAGGCTTCAGGAGAGATTCCTACACCGGATAGGAAAGCTGTTTTGTCTCCTTGTATTAACCCACAACTACCTGGTATGTATAATGTATCAACTTTTGCTTTTGTGTGTTTGGCCCTTAACAGATTGTGTGACTTCACATGTTTAATACAAACATATGCAGTGCCTGTAAGAATCTTGGATCCATCTAAAGACTTGAAATCTTATGGACTTGGGAATGTTGACTGGAAAGAAAGAATCGAAGGTTGGAAACTGAAGCAGGAGAAGAATATGATACAGATGACTGGTAAATACCATGAAGGGAGAGGAGGTGAAATTGAAGGGACAGGTTCAAATGGTGAAGAACTCCAAATGTAAGTTAAAAGTTTCATTTTCTTGGTTTAGTTACAATCTGCATATGGAGTTGCAGTGGTCCATCTGATGATTGATGGATTTTGTACTTACAGGGTTGATGATGTTAGGCTTCCAATGAGCCGTGTGGTTCATTTCCCATCCTCTCGGATGACACCTTATCGTATAATGATAGTTTTTCGGCTCATCATTTTGGTAGTCTTCTTGCATTACCGTGCTACTCATCCCGTGAAAGATGCATATCCACTGTGGTTGACTTCGGTTATTTGTGAGATCTGGTTTGCTTTTTCTTGGCTTCTTGATCAGTTTCCAAAATGGTATCCTATTAACAGAGAGACTTTTCTTGACAGGCTTGCTTTAAGGTTGGTCTTTATAAGTTTATAAATCCTCTCTATTCTATTCTAAGTATATTTCCAAATAAGTATCTTTATTTTTTATTATTGTAGATATGATAGGGATGGTGAACCATCACAGCTAGTTCCTGTGGATGTTTTTGTTAGTACAGTGGATCCAATGAAAGAGCCTCCTCTTGTAACAGCAAACACAGTTCTCTCAATTCTTGCTGTAGACTACCCGGTGGATAAAGTTGCATGTTATGTTTCAGATGATGGTTCAGCTATGCTAACTTTTGAATCCCTTTCTGAAACGGCTGAGTTTGCGAAGAAATGGGTACCTTTTTGCAAGAAATTCAACATTGAACCTAGAGCTCCTGAGTTCTATTTTTCTCAGAAGATAGATTACTTGAAAGACAAGATCCAACCTTCTTTTGTCAAAGAGAGACGCGCAATGAAGGTCACTACTACCATAATTTCAGAAATAGCTTTCGCTTGTTTTATAGTGAATGTCACATTTTCTATGTTGTACGCTTGTAGAGAGAGTATGAGGAGTTTAAAGTGAGGATCAATATCCTTGTTGCTAAAGCGCAGAAGATGCCTGAAGATGGCTGGACTATGCAGGATGGTACACCTTGGCCTGGTAACAACCCAAGAGATCATCCCGGGATGATTCAGGTACACTAGTATAATGCCTTTCCTTTACGTTACTTCTCATGAATGTTTGATGATGTTAAGTATTTTGTTTCAATTCAGGTTTTCTTAGGCCATAGTGGTGGTCTTGATACCGATGGAAATGAGCTACCTAGGCTCATCTATGTGTCCCGTGAAAAGCGTCCTGGATTTCAACACAACAAGAAAGCTGGAGCTATGAATGCCTTGGTTTGTTTTATCTTTCGATATTCTGATTTTACCTTTCTTGTTCAATGGCTTGGAAGCCGTCTGTGTTATGCTTTTGTGAAACCTGACATTTACTTTTTTCCTAATCTAGCATTTCTTAAATTTGGCAGATCCGTGTTTCTGCTGTTCTTACTAATGGAGCATATCTTTTGAACGTGGATTGTGATCATTACTTCAACAACAGCAAGGCGGTTAAGGAAGCCATGTGTTTCTTGATGGACCCTGCAATCGGAAAGAAGTGCTGTTATGTGCAGTTTCCACAACGTTTCGACGGTATTGACTTGAATGATCGATACGCCAACAGAAATATTGTCTTCTTTGATGTAAGTTAGCTCTGCAGTTCTAGTATGTCCCTTCTCGACCATATCTTGTCCACTTGAGCTGACTCATATTTGTACTATGTTGTGCAGATTAACTTAAAGGGGTTAGATGGTATCCAGGGTCCTGTATATGTTGGTACTGGTTGTTGTTTCAACAGGCAAGCCCTGTATGGGTATGATCCTGTGCTAACAGAGGAAGATCTTGAACCTACTATTATTGTAAAGAGCTGTTTCGGTTCAAGAAAGAAAGGAAAGAGTAACAAGAACTATGAACAAAACAGAAGCATCAAGAGAAGTGACTCTAGTACTCCACTTTTCAGTATGGAAGACATCGACGAGGGTGTTGAAGGTATGTGTGCCATGAATTCTATGTAACAAACATATTTCACATGCTAAGGAAACGTTCTTGTTTATTGCAGGCTATGATGATGAGATATCTCTAGTGTCCCAGAAAAGTCTAGAGAAACGTTTTGGTCAGTCGCCGGTATTTATCGCGGCCACTTTCATGGAAAAAGGAGGTCTTCCACCGACAACCAACCCCACGACACTTCTGAAAGAGGCAATTCATGTCATAAGTTGTGGTTATGAGGCCAAGACTGCATGGGGCAAAGAGGTCAGAGGTTTTAAAAGACCGTCCGAAAACAACAAAGCAAGTATTTTATTCTGTATGATACTAACTTTGTTCATCTTTTGGATTTTAGATAGGGTGGATCTACGGTTCTGTGACAGAAGATATTCTTACCGGATTCAAGATGCATGCAAGGGGTTGGATATCAATATACTGTGTGCCTTCACGCCCCGCGTTCAAGGGATCTGCACCTATCAATCTCTCTGATCGTTTGAACCAAGTTCTTCGATGGGCTTTAGGATCTATCGAGATTCTGCTGAGCAGACATTGCCCTATATGGTATGGTTATAATGGAAGGTTGAAACTCTTGGAAAGACTTGCTTATATCAATACCATAGTCTATCCAATCACATCCATCCCACTTCTTGCCTATTGTATGCTTCCAGCTTTTTGCCTCATCACCAACAAGTTTATTATACCTGAGGTAACCTCTAGTTTACATCCCTTTACTGCATTTTCAGTTTGTCATCATTAATTTTTGTTCTTGATTTGCAGATAAGCAACTTTGCAAGCGGGTGTTTCATACTGCTATTTTTATCCATCTATGCATCGTCAGTCTTGGAGCTCAAATGGAGTGGTGTAAGCCTTGAAGACTGGTGGAGGAACGAGCAGTTTTGGGTAATCGGTGGAACCTCGGCTCATCTTTTCGCAGTGTTCCAAGGTCTACTCAAAGTGCTTGCAGGGATAGACACAAACTTCACTGTCACATCAAAGGCCTCTGATGAAGATGGAGACTTTGCTGAGCTCTACGTTTTCAAATGGACCTCTCTTCTGATTCCACCAACCACTATCTTACTGGTCAACCTTGTTGGTATTGTGGCTGGTGTCTCTTATGCAATAAACAGTGGGTACCAATCATGGGGACCTCTCATGGGAAAGCTCTTTTTTGCTCTTTGGGTTGTTGCTCATCTTTACCCTTTCTTGAAAGGTCTTTTGGGAAGACAGAACCGAACTCCGACCATTGTCATTGTGTGGTCTGCGCTTCTTGCTTCCATCTTCTCATTACTTTGGGTCCGAATCAACCCTTTTGTTTCCACTACTGGGGTTGGGAGGAGCAACAATTTCATTGGCGAGTGAGCTTCCCATCCTCATGCTTTACTATAAATGAATCTGTATGTATATATACATATAGTAAAGCCACTTAATCTAAAGAGCCTGGTCTTGTGTTGGTTGCATAATGACTAATGTTACATAAATGGTATGATCACCTATTATGGCATTGCGTCTTGGTTGGTTAAGTGTCTGAATTCTAAATATCAAACTCGATTGAGCCAACAAAAATATTAAAAATAAAACTATGTCAGATCCGGAACACAAGTATAGGGAGCAAAACAAAACAAAAAATGAATCTTTTGGATGTTTAGTTCCAATTGAATCAATAATGTGTCCGCCCAAAATTTTTCAAAATCAAATCTCCTCAACTGTGAATCTCAATTGGCACAATGCCATACTCAGATGCTTGCAGTGTCATTAACCAGGACCTGATCTGGTTCACCAGAGCCATCGAGTTAGTCTGATCAACCGCAAAAGTTCATGTGAGTTGTATAACAATAGCTCAGGCTTCCTCCTCGTTGTTGTTTTCAACAAGTATCTTCTTGCACGCCTCGTAACACATGAAGGAGATTCCAGCAGCAGGAACCAACTTCAAGCAACTCGGTCCAAGCCCTCTGTACCAACCTCCAATACCTTCTTGCTCGAGTATGCGGATCAAAGCATGCAACATGTTCTTGTAAACCACCCTACCACCAACTGCTCCCACCTGCATATGCTTCCGAGCAACCTCCAAAGGGAAAGTTGCGGTACTTGATAATGCACCAGCTAAAGAACCAATCAAAAGAGTCTCAATGTTCCCAATGCTTTCTTGCTTCACCAGTTTACGGTATGCTTTTCTTAAGGAGTCATATGCAAAGTAGTTTGTTGCTGCATATGGAACCACTCCTATAAGACTCGGGGCAAGACCCCTGTAAAGTTCTGTCGGACCTTCCTCTCTTATTATTTTGACAAACGCATCTAATATCCCCTTGTATACACCTCTCTGCAAAATGGTTTTGAAGACAAATAAGTAACCAATGTCTAAAACTCTATCAGCCGTAAGTAAAATGTTCTAAAACCCTCAAACACATTTCTCAGCAAGAGTTTGATTACAATTTGCCAAAATTATCTCTCATGTTGACTGCAAATCACCTCAACTCAATACCATTTTACGAAAAGATTGAAACTTTATGAATCATACCTGAATTGTAAGACGGGTCTTGACTAATTCAAGAGGGTACGTCAAGAGTGTCTGGCTAACTCCAGCACAAGCACCAGCAAGCAACGAAGATGGGATAGGAATTTTCGAGTCTTCTCCGAGCTTTGGTGTCAACTTCTTGTTAACAGTCTCGAATACAAAAAGCTGAACAGAGTTGAACACAAAACTTGAGCTTAAGCTTCATATTAACAAATACAACACAAAACTTAACTAATTAACGCATAATCTAAAGTTCCATATAGCTACTCTACAACCAAACCAGTAGAGAAACATTCATTGATACCTCAACGGCACGAGCAGGTGCTACTCGAATCACATTAACCAAATTCCCTCTAAAGAGACCTTTCCACCCTTCTTGTTTCATAATATCACGAAACACTTCAGTAGTCGAGTCGCCACCACTTCCCACCATCAAATGAGTCCTAATGGTTTCCAAAGGAGCCACAGCAGTTCTCGAAATAGCTCCAGCAACAGCTCCACTTAACAACCGCCGCAACGAAGGGTTAGCTATCTTAAGCTTAAGCTTCAACCCTTCTTTCTTCTTCTTCTTCATCCTCTTCTCACCAATCACTTCTTCTTCTTCCTCTTCTTTAAAAGGTAAGTACTTTGTACACAAATCATTAAGCTGAGCAGCGAAGGTACTGTTGTTGTCTCTGTTTGGAGGATCCGAAATAGATCCGGACCCGAGTCCTGACCCGAATCCAGGTCCTATTTGATTAACACTCGCGAACAAGCCACCAACAGGACGGTAGTTCGTGCTGCTGATGCTCCAATCAGATCCCAAATCGGAAACAGAGAAAAACCCATTCCTCGTATCGTCGAACAAATGGATTCCAGTTTTGCCCATGAATACAGTTTCTCTTATCAAACCTTATGGAGTCTTCGTTTTCACAGAAGCTGATCACGGTTTCACGACATCCACATCTTTCGTGAAGGATAAGGAAAAAAAAGTTGAGATTTTTAAGGAAAAGGGTATGAGAGAAATCGAGTGACGGCGACGAGAGTGGTTGTTGTCTCTTTCGTTGAGACTTTGAGATTAACTTTGTTAGGGTTTTACTACAGCAGCTGCAATGGTTGCAGCTGATGTTTTTGTTTTTTGGGGTTTGGCCTTTTGAATGGGTGAGTGGTTGGGGGCGGAGGCTGCTAGGCGGTTTTGGTGTTATTTATATTTTTTTAATTTTTTTATGATATTTCGTTTTTAGGTGCAGCTTTATCCTTGTTTTTTTATTTTATTTAAGAAGACGGCAAAATTCGTCAAAGTTGGTCAAACAGTACCAGTTTGAGTGTATGAGTATATGAAAATTGTAAATAAAAGTAATGAACTATAAAGTATGTTTGCAAATTAGTGATGTCAATAGATTGGAAAAGGGGTACAAATCGTATAAAAATAATAAGGTAAATTCCCAATAATACCCTAGCTAATTTTCATTTGGACGGTTAATATTTAATTTCTTAAAAAATAATATCCAAACAAATAAATATGTGCAAGTTAATATCAGAAAAATTGATATTTTTATTTATATATCCGCGTTTCCATAACAAATAAAAAAAATTGATTTTATTCTTACTTATCTTTCTTAATTATGTATTTTTTTTTTTTTTGTCAACACCAAACTATCATTGATTAGCTTTTAAATAAGCCAATTGTGGGGACAATTGTTAACATACTTAACGGGGGCTGGCTGAGTTCGCACATTACGTGCTAAACAATCCGCCTTTACATTCGCATTTCTGGATATAAAAGACAAAGAGAAAGTAGAGAATTCTTCCCTATCACTTCTTATATCTTGCAGGTAAACGGAGAATGCATGCCACTCTGAGGGAGAAGACACCATCTTCACCAAATCTAAGCAGTCTGTGAGGAACTCAACATCTCTGAAGTCATGGCCAATCATACATCGCATGGCCCACATTAGTGCTTCTACCTCGGCGTGGAGGGGAGAAAGGCTTCTGCGGGTATTCGAAGCTCCCATCAACGTGGAGCCATCATGCGAGTGCTGACAAAACCATCCTAGTCCTGCAAACTTATCGGAGTCCTTCCATGAACCATCAATAAAGCATCGATAACCTGAAAGGTAGAAGGCAAGATAACCGGACGCCGTTCCCTTGGAGGGAGCGGTACCACCATCCCCGGAGAGTCACGAGAGGTCTCCGAAACTTCACTCTGAGCCACCTGCCATACCTCCGCCTCCGTCTTAGCAACTCTGGTCACCTCTTGGGGGCACTGATCCAGGTTCTCAAAAATTTTTGCATTACGCGCCTTCCAAACGTACCAAATCAGCCAAGGATAAAAAGCAAATTGAGTATCCTTCTCACCCAAATTAACCAGGTAATCCATATTAGCAAAAATCGACGGTGTAGGAAACTGAATGGATCCCACCGGGACATTAGCCAAAGCCCAAGATTGTACTGTCGGCGGGCATTCAAAAATGACGTGGTTAACCGTTTCCGCCTGAGCATTACACCGAGAGCAAATCTGATCACAGGTTATACCTCGGGAACTCAAATTTGCCATCACAGAAATACACCATGTTAATAACTGCCACATAAAGTGTTGGATTTTAGGGGGGCACCTGATCTTCCAAACCTTTGCAATCAGAGGGAATATACCCGGACCACAAACCGGATCAGCAGGAATGCCTGGATCCAGCAACCTCGCTGTATGATAACCTGACTTCACCGTATACTTTCCATTTTTCGTAAAATGCCAACCCATACTATCCGGTATAGAATTAAAACCTATAGGTATTGCGCTAATCAAATCCACATCACCTGGTGCAAAAATGGCCTGAAGAGCATCCACACGCCAGGAATTGGATTGTCTATCCACTAGTACTTGTAATTGCAGTGACGGGTCCATGAAGGATCCATTACTCAGAGCTGGTCTCGGGAATTGAGCCGGAATCCAGGGATCTCTCCAAATAGAAATTGTAGTTCCCTCTCCCACTCTTTTAATAAGCCCTCTATTTACCAGAGATCTAGCTGAGATAATACTCCGCCATCCATAAGACGGAGAATATGACCGTACCGGGTCCATAGGATTGGATTTCCTATAATACCTGCTTTTAAAAACCTTTGCAAATAATGAGTCTGGTGCATCCATAAGACGCCACAATTGTTTAGCCAGCAATGCCGAATTGAAATCATTAATATCCCGGAAGCCTAACCCACCTAACCGTTTGCTATTACATAACTTGTCCCAAGTACGCCAATGCATACCACCTGCTTGACCATTCGTGCTCCACCAATATTTTGCTATAGCACTTGTTAGTTTACCTGTAACTGCCTTTGGAAGACGAAAGCAAGACATGACATATGTCGGTAAAGCCGATGCCACCGATTTTATCATAACTTCCTTCCCACCTTTGGATAAGAGTTTTGCCGACCACCCATTTATGTGTTGATCTAGCTTGTCCCGAACAAAGGAAAAAACCTTCGTTTTAGCACCGCCTAAACTTTCCGGAAGTCCTAAATAGGACCCCATTCCACCTAACGTTGTAATCCCCAATATCTCCTGCATGTCCACCTTAGTAGACTCATCTATTTTGTGACCAAACTGAATTGATGATTTCATGAAGTTAATTTGTTGACCAGAGACCTGCTCATATTGCTTCAAAATGGACAATATGACTGTACATTCCTCCCGCGTTGCCTTACAGAAGAACAAACTATCATCAGCAAATAGAAGATGAGTAATTGGCGGGCATCTATTGGCCACTTTAATCCCAGTTATCCGTTTGTTCCGTTCGGCCAACCGTATGTTTGCAATTAAAACTTCTGTACATAAAATAAACAGATACGGGGATAGCGGATCCCCTTGCCGCAATCCTCTTCCCGGCTTAATAAGTCCTTGCGGCTGACCGTTTATAAGAATACTATATTCTACCGAAGTGACACAAAACATAATCCATGAGATCCATTTTTCAGAAAACCCAAACTTCCGTAATAAGCGTTCAAGAAACGCCCACTCAACTCTGTCATAAGCTTTGCTCATGTCTGTTTTAACAGCCATAAATTTACACTTACAAGAAGCATTAGTACGCAACCCATGAAACATTTCCTGAGCTATTAAAATATTATCCGAGATTAACCTGCCCGCTACAAATGCAGACTGTGTATCCGAGATGATTGAAGGGAGTACCATTTTTAGCCTTTGACACAAAACTTTCGAGATTACCTTATACCCAACATTACATAAACTGATTGGTCGAAGCTCCGTCATTCGAGTGGCTCGCTCCACCTTCGGGATCAAACACAAATTCGTTTTATTCAAACGACTATCAAAAATGCCATCCCTAAAAAATGAATTAACCAAGTTAACCAGGTCATCCTTGACTACAGTCCATGCTTTTTGGACAAATAGAGCTGTCATTCCGTCCGGTCCAGGTGCTTTATCTGGCTGCATCATAAATAGAGCACTCTTCACCTCTGCCTCCGTTACCTGCCTTGTAAGGCCTGCATTAACATCCTCCGTGATAACGTGCTGTACTTCCCCTAGAATCTCCTCAAAACCCGTAGGATTACAAGTTGTAAATAGTTTCGTGAAATAATCCTCCGCTATCCGACACACCTCAGTTTCTTCCGATACCCATACATTATTCTCATCAAATAGACCAACTAAACGATTCCTGGCTCGCCGCATTTTTGTTTGTGCATGGAAAAATTTTGAATTTCTATCCCCAACACGCATCCACCGGTTCCTACTCTTCTGCTGCCAATAGATCTCCTCATCTTTGTAAGCAGTTCGCAACTGGACCGACAACGAAGAAACTTCCTCTGGTGTACAAGCATCATCATCCTGGGCCTTCGCTAGTTTTTGTTTTAAATCTTCAATAGACTCTCGCCCAAAAGGTACTTGGTTCTTCCGCCACTTTGAAATATTATGCCGACAATGAGCCAATTTATCAACAAAACCTGCCAAACCCCTCCCCGAAAGATCATTCCAACCTTCTTTAATTGCCTCAGAAAGACCCTCTTTCCCAATCCATCTTTTATCAAATATAAAACATCTCCGCTTACGAACCTGTTTTTGATCCACAAAAGCAACCAGAGGTTTATGATCCGAACCAACCATAGGCAAATATTCAATGACAGAGTCCGAGAAAGTATCATGCCAATCCGCATTCCCCATAGCCCGATCCAGTCTGCATCGAATGGGCTTTTTGTCTCTCCACCCCCGCCAAGATAGCCAATCACCTAAATGTGGGAACTCCAACAAGCCACAATTCCGTATCATACCATTAAAATCAACGAACGAGGAGGCATGCCGTAACTTACCACCACGTTTCTCATGATTCCCCGTTATTTCATTGAAGTCCCCTATTAGAAACCAAGAAGTTTTCCGGTGTAAACCAATTCTTGTGATCCTCTCCCAAACCAAATCTCTCTTGTTAGTAACCGGATCGCCATACACAAAGGTCATATGAATAACATGATTCTTAAAAAATGCTTCAATATCAATTAACCGATTAGACTTAAATAAAATTGAAACATTAAACATATTATTATTATAGAAAAGAGCCAAACCACCACTACAACCAATAGGATCAACCGTGATTACACTATCATAACCAAAATGACAACGAAATTGTTCTAAAAATAAAGAAGATTGCTTAGTTTCCGAAAGAAAAAGAAAATCCGGCCGATGTTGTTTCCATAGATCCCTAAGATAACCGATAGTCGCCTTGTTTCCCAACCCTTGGCAATTCCAGCTAAGTATCCTCATTTACCACCTTTTGGTTTTGGTGGTTTAGGTCCACCATTACCCCCCTTATCCATGTCTCGGTTCTTCGGGTTACCGTCTTCCTCGGTTTGTGTTGTGACCTTTGGGGCAGACCGCTTTCTCGGAGTAGAGACCATATGGGCTATTCTTTTCTTGGAACTAGCCCCAGTCAACGCCACACCCTTCCCACGCCTTGCCTTATCGACCCCTTGATCCATCTTGACTCCATCCTCTAATCGTACCTCCTCAAGGACCAGCTCTTCCAGCGAAGTCTGAAAGTCTTCACTGAAAGCCTCGTCAACCTCCTCAGTCTCCATATCTTCAGCTGCAACCACTCCTGCGAGATCAATCACAACCTCCAGACTTTGGGCCGCCATAGGATCCTCCATCTCCGGGACTGACAGGCCAAACTCAACCGATGTCGTCACCGGAACCATTTCCTCGGAATGGGACGCGGCTACTCCTTCTCGGATTTGCTCCTCCACAGCTACACCAGTCTGCCCAGAAGCATCCGCAGCTTGCAGAAGTTCATTTTGTGTCTCCTTCCCAGCGAGAGCAGCCTCTTCCACATCAGCCTCTTCCGCAGCAACCTCCTCTTGAATTACTTCCTGGAACAAAGCCTTCTGCACCTTCTTGACCTGAGAGGAAGTCGATTGTCGCTCATGAGGCTCCACGATACCAATTTCCCCTGTCACCGGGTCAACCTCTGTTCTTCGATGACCATTGAAAGCCGCATAGCTAGTAAACCTACGGGTTCGAGAAGACGATTCACCCTGGTAATAGCCTGACCGGCTGCGATGAGCAAGAGCCTGAGTCCCATCCCCTTTCCGGGCACCATCACCCCGAGGCACCTCGCCAGTTTCTCGTCCCCTATGAGACCCTCTCTGGCTGCTGTCGTGGTCAGCCCCACGTTCAGATCCTCTTCTTCTCTCCACCCCAGTGGCCCCTTTATAACTATGATTCCGGCGAGCACCCTCATCCCTGGAAGCTGGTGGAGACCGCACTGACGTCTCCTGCACTACCAAACCGCAATGGTCCTCATCGTGGCATAAGCTAAAACAGAGCCGGCAGTAACCAAATAGCCTTTCATACCGAAGCGATACCGAGAACTCAATCCCCGACTCAATCTCCACCTCAGTTTCGAAACATAATGGCTTAAAACCATCCACCAAAACCCGAACACGACCCGCGTTAATATCAATCTCTTCCACCTTCCGAAGATCCTCCCCGATGCACCGGAAAGTGGGATCCACCCAGAACTGAAGAGGGACTCCTAATACTCGGATCCAGAACTTGATCGCTGATGGATAGGCCGGGTCCATCGATGGTTGCCACCGAACAAGTGAAAGCATCCAGTGGTCGAAATGAAACGGTTCCATCTTAAGCACCTCGTCGATGTCTTCCTCCCTCTCAAAGTCAAACTGGAACCTTCCCAGACCGAGATCAACCCCCACAATCTTATCTTCAAGCTGCCAAATGCGGGGAAGCATAAAGAGCAGAGTCTTCAAATCTTGTTTCCTTGGGTTCATGCAGCGACCAATGACCGTTTTGGAGTATCCGGCGATGAGCGCCGCATTGTCGAAAAAAGGGACCTTGACTTTCCGTTTCGGGACCTGCTCCACCACCTTCTTCCCCGGAGCACCGTGTTTCACGAGAGCACTCTGCGACATAATGAGTGTGTGAAAAATAAATAAAAGACCGAGATAAGAAACGAGAAGAATTATCTTTAGGATGATACGAGAATTGTGATGAATATAGAAGAACCAAAACCACCCTTTTAATACACCGTTGCCGTGAAGAAGATCAAGCCAAAGGATATTGCCTTTGGAATCCACCTTCCAAAAACCACCCCATCGAATCCTTAATTTGCCTCCGATACGCCCATGAAATCGCAGAAGATCAGGTAAAGCAATCTGTTCCCCAATCCGATGGATTTGCCTTCTGCTAATACTTGAGCCAAAACTGATTTCCCAAATCTCCTTTCCTTCGTTATCCGATCGCAAGACGCAAAAGGAAACCCATAATCTTCCCCGAATCGGATCTGCTACTTGAAATCCCCAAATCGCCGAAATGATGAACCAAGAGATATGCCCGATTCTCCCCAAACAGAACCATTCCAAATCCTGTAGATCCACCGAACTCATTGTCGGGATTTTTCCCTAGAGTATAGTCGCCGCCGCCATCGCCAGTAGAGAGAAAACTAGGGTAAAAGATTACAATTGGAAAAAAAATTATATTATTTCTTAATTATGTATTATATATATATATATTAGAAAATAGTATAATTAAATAAATAAAAAATTAAAATAAGAAAACTTTTGGTTCCTCCTAATTAGTCGATATTTCATTTCCGACAAAATTTCGGTTATTCTCGCAAGAATTACGGCTAATATCGAGAGGTTCGCGGTCTCAAAAGACTAGAATTCCGTTGAATTTAACACATTAAACCTATTTAATATATATATATATATAGATGTTTCCCTTTGAACATCTCGTCGGAAATGAAATCTCGGCTAACTGCTAGGAGGAACCAAAAGATTTCTTATTTTTACATTTAGTTTATTTAATATTACTATTTTCTAAAAATATATATATTTATTATAAATAAGAATGAGTGAAGGTAAAATCGGAAAAACATTAGGTATTAAACGTCCAAATAAAAATTAGATGAGATATTTTTAGGGAATATTACCAAAAATAATATAAAGGATAAGAACTAGAAAAGGTAAAATTATTAGAGTTTGTAGTATTAGGTCTTTTTGTGTAATTATAGTAACCAATTTCCTAATTTAAGCAAATACTATTATTTATGTATAATTGTTTTCAGTTTTACAGTTTAAGAAATGATAAATTGTGCTCTTGATATGAAATCTTCACCTAAAGCATCAATTCTTATATGCAAAAAGATAAAAGAGATTATGGATTTAATTTTTTTCATGATTAAGGTGAATCCATGAGTTATTGAGAAATCCATGAGAGAAATGGTTGAAAATTTTGGATTCATAAAAGTTAATGCAATAAAGAAAAAAAAAATTTCCTTACTCAATTGGTAGATTAATAATGCAATAATAATGAGGGTAAGCTGGTAGATTACTAGTCGTGGACATTTTGGTATTCCGTCGGATTTCAGATATTTCGAGTAGGGGAATTTCGCATACAACAATTGAGAGAAATGGAATACTAGAATGTCCAAAACTAGTCATCTACCAACTAAACCCTCATTATTATTTTTCTAAAATAACCAATCATCAATATATTTCATTACGGAATTGATTCATTCAAATGGTATGACAAAGGCATGCGCACACATCATACGCAACCAAACTCTATCAAAATGTCAATGGACTCCTTGGTAGGTGCATATAACAGTCACGTGCGTTTATCATAACATCCAAATTACTTTTCTTGGAGCAATTGAGTCACTGATTAAGATAATCTACTTATTTTGATTTCCTTTGGGGTACAACATAATCTACTTGACAGATTAGTCTAAACATCAAAATAGTTACTCAAAGTACAGTCGTTTTGTGATGGAAACATCAAAAGTTAAAAGAACATTTTTATTCATGAATCGCTTTATAGTTTAGTATAAAGGCAAAAGATTATAAAACCTTTGGTTGGTCTCAGTTCTGCCAAACAATAATCACAGTTGAAAAAATCAATGTATGTCTCAATTATTCATTTGGTTATAACTGAATTTTTTACTTCTGCTGATGGAAATAAGGATGCAGGAAACGAACTCCTTCAAGGTACAATGGAGTCTGCATCTCTATCAACCGCGACGCCTGCACCGTTTTAACATAATTATCAACTACTATAAACCAGTTGTTTCGGATGAAAAGAATAGAAGAAAGTGAGAAACAACGACTTACGGCTCGAGCAAACGCAAACATTTCCTCTTCGCCGGAAAGCATTGATACGATTGAAGAAGGCGATCCAGCTGCACTTATACTACCTTCTGCAAGTACATCTCGCCTTAATCTTGAATCTTCTGTCTCTGTCTCAAACTGGAAGCTGCAAGTTTCCAAAACCAAATCAAAATGATCAAGCCGTTACTGCATTAAACCAAACCTAACTAACCAAACCTTTCAACAAAGCTGGGAAAACCAAATAACCTGAACAGTATTAAAAAAAATTGCTCACTAGGCAATTGTGTGTTCTTACCTTTCCAGGTCAAAGAGCGTGCCTTCTGCAGTTCCTTGAAACAACTCATCGATAGGTGTCTCCGCGCATGAGACAAGACAACAATGGTGGTTGTATAGCTCATCGACAAGGGTTATAAACCTACGTGCCTGAGAACATCAAAAGCTCTTAGAGGAAAGGAATCTACAGATCTCAAAAACCAAAATCTTGATTTCGATTATACCTTGTCGCGTATTTCCATGCTCATTGCTGGAATATTAGAGATAAAGATTGTATGATAGTTTTTAGCCACTGCGATATAATCTGCTGCACCTACAGGTCGACCACATAGATACTCGAATGTGAATCTTCCCACTCCATTACAGCTTTGAGGAACCTCTACTGTTCTGATGGATACACATCCAAAAACGAAAAAATCATTGTGATTTAATTTGATCTATAACAAAATGAAAAAACCACTGCTCTCATTAGTACCTTCCAAACATCACTGGGAGAGTTGCAGAAGTTATTTCTCCGCCGTGCTGTTCAGTGACCTGTCTCCACATTTTCTCAAACTCTTCCAGAACAGCATCATTCAAAGGCCATAAGTAGTGAACCTATAAATGCACATTTATAGTTTCATCACACAGAAGCAAAGAACAAAACAGTAAACAAAGTAAAGAGTATGTGATTCTCACATTTTCAACTGAGTTTTTCGCTGCAACTCGGCGGTAATCTACTTCACTTCCTATTGAGATTATCTCACAATGTTTCTCCAATTTAGAAATAAACTTATCAAATATCTCCTTCTGCATTCCGTCCTGTATCAACAACATTAGCAAGAAAATTAGTGACAGCGCGAAAACTCTGTGTAATCAGTTAAAGAGACCTTTTTGCTGAACAATAGAAGGCTTAAAGAGAAGAATATAAAGAAACCTGATTCAGCTCCCTTGGTGCTCGGTTACTGGTGGCCACAAGAACAGTTCCAGTACTCAACAATCTGCTCATAATTCCAGATAAGGCCACAATAGCAAATACATCAACTGTCTGTAACAGAAGATGCAAGAAAGTCCAAGTTATGGGAAAGAATGAACACTATTTCCAGTTTCATATAAGGCCAAAAGATATCAAGTCCAGTCTCATCTAAGCCCTTGTAGACACTAAAATTGGCTTTATGACTTTTGAGTCATTAGTAATTAGTGAGCCAAGCTCTAAACACTTCATTACTTTCTTATAGTTAACAATCTATTCTTAGATGAATGAATAGGATATTGTAGTTTCTTTATGTACATAAATTACCTGGATTTCATCAAAGCAGAGGATGCTGGCTCCTTTTTTACTCGATTGCTGATCAACGAGAAACTTATCAGCCACAGCTGGAAGAATATGTTTCATTTGGAGTTGCTGCTTATAAAACTCTTCTCCAGCTAGCCATTCCTTAACTTTTTCATCAACAGGAAGATTCATAATCCAGCTTGAAATGCTATTTTGCGATGCCTTTTCAGCACCATTCTCCTTCCAATACTTGTGCATTTGCTCATTTATCTTCAACATAGCCTACAGACCAATGAAACAGAAATATCAAAGCTTATATTAACTTACATTACCAAAAACATAAAGAAACCTCTAAAAGCTCACACACTTCATGAAAGTGAAACCGTTGTCGATGTCTAATCATCCCATCAGTAGCTCCATAAAACATATCCATCAACATAGTCTTGCCTACATAAAAACAAAACACAAAACATGGTCTCAACTAATAAACCTCATCGCGCTATCCGGTAAACACTTATACAAAGGAATCAATAATAGCATAATGTAGCATCCATTAACATACCACATCCTACATTTCCATAGATATATAATCCTTTCGGAGCTGGTGGTACTGCGGGACGAGAACCGACAATTGAATCCAATTTTCTCTCTCGGTTAAGATACGACACCCATTTACCAACTCCAGGTTCTACATTCATCTGTCTTCTCCTAAAACACTCCCCAACAAACCATATTCAAAAGAAGAAACAAACAAAAACTTTAACTAAAGACAATGCCATTGATCCAAAACCTCACCCTAACACCCATCTTCCCAAAAGCTTTTGACCATGCTTATTCATAGATGCCCACATACCATCTTCTTCCTTCTTCCCAGCTTCTTCCACCATTAGCTTTCGCCGCTCTTCCTCTCTTCTCTTCTCCCACTCTGCTAACCTCACCTGAAAATAAAAATCCAAACTTTACACATACAATGCAAAGAACTGAACCAAATCCCCAAAAAAATTAATACTTTACATGATAATCTTCCATTTCCTTCTCGAAATGTTCCAATCTTCCAAACAAATTTTCAAATGCTGAAACAACTTTTTCTTGGTACAGATCATGTTGTAGCCTCCCTTGCTCCACTAGCTTAGTGTAACTCGTTAGTGGACCTGAATTGCATAATAGTGTAATCTCAGTATAACCCAATTGCATAATTTTGTGTAATCTCAGACCATACGTACCTGATGGTTTGGGAGGATCAGAGGTGGTGGTGGTATAGGAACGAGCAACGAAGTGTAAGCCATTAGAGATTCGTCTTCTTGAATAAAACCTTAGACGTAGAACAGTAGAGATCTGAGAAACATTAGGCATAATTTTGCTTCAGACTCTCCGTGTATTGTCTGAAACTTCCGATCACGGTTAAAGCTACTGTTCCGGAAACGGAGAAGAAGAATGAATTAGAACGGTATTAATAGGTGTCGTCTACGTGGCGATTCATATGAGAGCCACGTGGTGGAATGTGAGCCGTTTATTGGATTGATGACTTGGCTTATTAGTGTCCGTAGAGATTTTGTTTAGTGGAGTTTGGTATATGTCAAAACTAGGATGCCCAATTTGCCAAACTCCATGGTCGATGTGGTCCGGTCCGTTCCGTGAACATGTAGCTGATGCATTTTGTTCTAAGGTGAACAAGTCCGGTACACGAATTATATAGTAGAGCATAAGCGAAAACGGTCAAAATCAACCCAGACATTTTGCCGAATGTTTCATATTCAAACTCAATGGATGGTGGTTTCATACACAAACTGATAAAATATCTAAATTTACAATTATAATTTCATATATTATTAGACCAAAATCAACATTGATTTAGATGATTTCAGTCAACCTTACACCGATATCAACGATGAGAAAGAAGATGAATCAGCATGTTACAAAACTCGGGTAAGACTAAAACCATCAAAATCAAAGTTTGTTTTTGGCCTAATGGTTATAAGTTGGGGTTGTAAATTTGAAAATATTGTCAGTTCGGGTAAGAAACGACCATTCATTAAATCTTGGTATAGAAATGCATGCCACAAATTGTTAAGGTTGATTTTGGCCGTTTTTCCGAAGAGCATAATAAATTAGAGAGGAGAGCCTCAAAACCACTACTTGAACATGTCTTGAAATTTCAGTAAATGCCTTTTAGCAAAGCAAGTGTTACGGATTCTGCTATCAAGAAAGGGTAGCAGACCTTCAACCGAGTGGAGATAACTGTATAGATTCGAGCATTTCTTTCATGCCATAATGTGTAGACCACTACTTGAGCCATAATAAGCTTTTAACAGGTCCATTGAAGCTTCATTAGACGAGGATTTAAGCCAAGTAATTAAGCGTTTCCGGGTGTTAAATCCAAAGAATCGATAATGTAGCTTGGAAAGACACCATTTCCATAAATCATAGATTCATAACTGTAGGGACATCTATGATTCCTTGATATATGTCAAAATTAGAATGCCAATCTGCCAAACTTGATGTGGTCCGGTCCGTGACTACGTATCTGATGTAACTTTGTTTGGTGCAGTCTATTTGGACTAATGAAATTTCGTTTTGAGTCTGATATGTAGCAGGTTAGATTCTTTTTGTTTCCAATTTCCAATAAACATTGTAGATTTAGTCTTTGGTTTCGCTCAAAGTTATTAAACAAAATAGTAAGATTAGTATACCAGTTGGGCTAATATAAGATCACACTTGAAATCAAATAGAAATGTGTTGTAAAAGTTTTGAAATCTGATCGGACGTGTACCAAATGAAATCAAATAGCAACAAAACATTTCTGCCTAGAGTCAGGGGCAGCTAGTTTAAGAGTTACAAAACGACAACCCAATGCATGCTTTAGGAATTCTGGTCTGGAACCAAACAAAGCTTTATATGCCAATCGAGTGTTAGTAGATCCGAATGTGTTGGAAGTTCCCAAAATATTTGTTTGGTTGAGCAAACCCTAATCCGTGATTTGTTTGAACCTATTTGGCCTGTCTCTTTATCTAAGACAGAAACTTGTTGAGGTGACAATTCAAACTTAGACCTACACTCTAAAGAAAGATCTTTGGAGAGGTTAAATGAGACCATTGCAATCATATGATGATGTAACATCATAGTGTAACGTCGGTATGACTATTTATTGCCTGAAATTGTGGATCTTGCTTCCTAAAGATCCCACATAACCAATACAATATCGAAACTTTCTTGTGCATTGACCATCCCTTGGACTTGCAACATAGAATGGTAAAGGGAATTTCAAATTTGACATTTAACAAAAGTTTACTACTACAACAACTGTTTACCCACAAAGGTAAAATGTCATAAAGAGGAAGTAAGAAACAAAAGAAGATACAATGGAGTTTCAAAAGATTCATGAAACCTTTTAAAACATCCATCAAATTGCTATGTAATATAAATGATCCATAACTTAAAACAATATAAATCGCAAAACTAAAACCGTAAACGAGAACACCGACAATGATGAACCATACCTATGAAGAAGCAAAATCCAAAAATCTCTTCCAAAACCATTTGTAACCATTGAAGCTCTTATTGCATTCTTGAATCAGATCTTCTCAGATCAATCTTGGGTTTCGTTTCGTTTAGCTTCAGTTTCCCTCTCTTCCAAAAGCTTCCCAGCTTCCTCATCATTAGCCTGAACCTTCTTCTGAGCATCCTTAGCCTTCAAAGCCTGCAACTTGCAGTGGTTGTAATACCCAACACCCAAAAAGGCAAGACCATACCCAAAGAGATTGATAGGTGTGACCGTGTCCTTGATCACAGACCAAGAGAAGGCAATCAAGAGCCAATCTTTAACCACACCAGCCACATTCATAGTCAAAGCAGAGGTTTTTCCAACGAGCAAGAACACAGCAAGATTCAAAGCAAAAGCACAAACAGAATTGGTTCCAAATATGACAAAATCGAAGTGGAAACTCGAAGTGTCTCTAAGAACAGGGAACTCAACAAAGATCCAAGGAACAGAGAGGAAAACCAAACAGCAAGGAGCAACGTAATAGAGAGAAGTGATAGGGTTAAGGTTGATTCCTTTAGAAGTAAGCAAGATCTGAATCAAAACCAACCTCGTAGCTTCAAAAGCAACAGCACCAAGCTGAAGGAACACACCCCAACCATCAAACTTAGCTTCACCGTACGCAGCAATAGCAACACCAAACGAGATCGAGAGCATGTTAGTCATAGTCTGAGATTTAAAAGTCTCCTTTTTTAACAAAACCCCGATCGAGTAAACAGCTACAGGCATAAGGGCTTTGAGCATTTGAATGAAGGAAACAGAGAGGTAGATGTAAGCAGAGTTTGATAACCAGAGGGAGAGTGAGTACAACGCGCCGATTGGTACAACGGATCTGAGATAAGTCTCACGAGACATTGAGACTGGCTCAACGACTTTGAAGACTTTGATGAGTATCACAGCTAAAGAAGAGCAAAAACCCATATGAATCATGGTGAGAGTTATTGGGAATGGCCAATTATACATCTTCTTGTCGAGGATGTATTTGTTGTAGACGATGACTGTGAAGCTGAGGAAGATCCAGATTGCTACATAGGTGTATGAAAGGATGATCTTTTTTATCACCCCGTCGGAGAGTGCACGGCCTTTCCCCATGGCGGTGGTGGTTTCTTCGCCGGAGATGGAGATGGTGGTGGTGCGGCGTAGGATAAGTTTTTGGGAGAGAGAGATGCGCACGTTAGAGAGGAGTCTCTCTCTCTGTATTTTGTGTTTGGGGGAAGAAGTGAGTTTGAGTTTGGTCCTAAATGTATAGGAGGAAGGGCTTACGTGACTTTTGTTATATGCTACGTGGCGAAAAGGTGTGATTTTATTTGACGATTGGCATATTGTGGGGATTTGTATTTTTAATTTTTTGTTTTTTTTTTTCTAGTGTATTTTAGTCAAGTAAGAAAATAAATGTTTGCTAAAAGAATAATAACAAGAAAATAAATGTGAAAAAATGTTTTGTATTTGAGCACTTTTTAGATAATTACGTTTTGTTAATGTGATATTATTTGACGATTGGCATATTGTGAGGAATTATATTTTTATTTCTCTGTTTTTTTCTAATGTATTTTAATCTTTAAATTAAAGAAAATAAGGTGACCAAAAAAAAATTAAAGAAAATAAATGTATTTTGTTTTTGACCTCTTTTTAGATAATTATGTTTTGTTAATGTGATATGAAATTTTTTTTTTTTTTAATTTATTGACTTTTTTAGTGTTGGGGGAAAGCTCATTGAAGAATAGGTTTTTGATTCGGTTTAGATTTTTTTTCAGATTAGGATAATTAAGATAAAAAGTATTATTTTTCATTCGGATTTTATGGTTATCTTGATTAGTTTTGCTTCGGGTATTTGTTGGACTTGGATAGATTTAGAGTTGATTTTATTTGACAAAAAAAAAAAAGAATAAAATTTTGTTCATTTTTAACAAAATTTGCTTTTAAAAAGAATAGGTTTGGCAAATATAAATAATATATTTCAGAAATCTTGGTTATTTGGGATAATTTTTCCTTTTTAATCTTTTGTAAAAAATTAAAACTAAATATTACTAATTTTCTTATATAATTTATTTTAGGGTTCAGATATAATGTCCATTTTTTAAAATTGGGTAATTTAAGTAGATACATTTAAAATTCATTCAGTTTTGATGACTTGAATTTATCGAGTCAACTTAGAGTTTGGTGTTATTTCCGAACCTAATAAGTAATAACTTAACTAATTTAGTCAACTTTATTTATTTGTCATAATATTTCTTTTTAAATTAAACAGCTTCATTTCTACGTTTTGTCATAAATTTTTTTTAAAAAAATTTTAAATCAATAAATCACTTACATTTATGTTCCTTTAATTAATACACGTTAGGCCTGTTATTAAATGTTGTTTCCTGAAATTAACTTTTTTCCCTAAACTCCTTTTACTTTACGTTGCCTTAAATTAAATTACGAATCCCCTAAAGCTATTTAAGTTAGAGTAATTAAATGGGAAACTTGTAACGAAAAGTAATTAATTAATTAAAGGGAATTTAAAAGAGTCAACGTTTTAGATCTCAGAGCGCGTGAATCTCACTCCATCACATTATCGCGAGTGTGTTTTGCAAATGCCTGCGTCCCTCTTACGGTTGTAGTATTATTATTGGTTGTGGTATTGTAGTAGTTGTCCCAACGTTCGTTCGTTTGTTGACTAACTCTTTATAGTTTTTAAACTAATGATAATTTGATGTTTAGTTTTTGATTTGTGTAATTGTTTTGTTTATTAACGTTTTGTCTAAAAATAAATGAAGTCTTTTTAGTATAATGACTTACCATTTTCTTTTATCTATACATTTTGAGTTAGAACATCACTTGTTGAAAGTGTATAATTTGGAAATAATTTATTTTTTCTCTTTTAAACATTGGGCCATAAAAGGTCAGATTATTGGCCGAATCCTTATATTCGTAGGGAACAATACTCGATTCATGATGTTTTGGTATCTTTCTTTTTTGTAAATTTATCATTTACCACAAGACTGATAATTTTTTATTAAAAGAAATTTCTTATAAAAATTTTCTAAACATGATTTTAAAGATAGGCTAAATCGTACGTTATAATGTTTTAAGAATACGGAAAATAGAAGAAAAACTAAACCAAGAACCAAGTAAAAGTCTTGAGGATGTCGGTTCAAGTGTTCTTTGGGAAGAAACTCTATAACTTGTTTTGTTCGAGTCTGAAGGGATATATGAGTTTCAGTCAAAAACCTCTTAATTATTATTAAAGAAAAAAAGGTTAGTAAAATTATGAGAAAATTATATATTATGCAATGTACAGTACCCAATCTTCTATCCACTGCCATTTTATTTTTTTTCTTCTCCCGCCTGCCACAAGGGTTATGAAGAAAGACATTTATGCCCTCTCATCAATGAAATCTCTAAAACCTAATTTTTCTCTTTTTCAATAATTATCTCTTTTTCTTCTTCATCTTCTTTTTCTTCTTCCAACAACAAGCTATTCCGTCGGACCAGATCTAGCGGACGAATTCCGGCGGACCAGATCCAGCAGATGAAATCCGGCGGACCAGATCCAATGGACTACTTCTGACGGACCAGATCCAGCGAACTTATTCCGGCAGACCAGATCCATCGGACTCATTCCGGCGGACCAGTTCCAACAGACCAGAACTTCGGCGGACCAGTTCCAACAGACAAGAACTTCGGCAGACGAGTTTCAACCAGAATTCCGGCGGACGAGTTCCGGCAGACCATAGTCAGTTCTGGTGAACTATAACCAATTCTCGCAGACCAGATTCGATGGATCAGTTCTGACAGACTAGATAGACGAGTTCCAATAGACCAGATTTGGCAGACTAGTTCCGACGAACTATAACCAGTTCCGGCGGACCAGATAGACCAGTTACGATGGACAAGATAAACCATTTCCGGCGGACAAAAACTAGTTATGATAGACTTGTTCCGGCTGACAGTTTTAATGGATCTGATTCGACGGACCAGATGATAAAACAAGTGATACATTTATGGTGGACAAGATTCATTTTTCTATAGATGGACAACATTCGACGAACCAATTTTGGTGGACTAGATTCGAATTAGTTATGGTGGATCAGATCTAGTGGACCAGTTTTTGTGGATAATATATCTTTTTTATTTTGATTTTGTTTATCGTTTTTTTTTGTCTTTTTCTGCGAGGGCACAATCGTCAATTCGCGGCTGCAGACAGTAACATTATGGCATATTTTGAAAAGAGTTAATGAAAGTGGCAATTTTACAATTTTGAGTTTTAAAAGTGGCATAGCCCACAAAATTCCCTAAAATTATTTCCAACCAAAAAGTTATGAAAAAATAAAGAGATAAGGTACTTCTATAATTCGTCTTAAATTATAATTATTGATATAACCAAATAGACTATTGTCATAATCCAAAAAAGTTTTCAATTTTCGAATGTCATGGCGAGACACTATGTATTAGACATTTAGTTGCAAGTATTGTAGTATTACATTCCAAATATACACCTATTTCAAAGTGGAACTAAAACTCTTCCACAAAGGTTTAATATGATAAAAGATTTATCAGGGGATGTCGAGCCAGTAAACTATATATCTACTTGAAATTGTAATAATGACTTGGATTCTTTCCTAACTTTAAATTCAGAAAATCAAAATAACTTTTACAAATGAGTAAGCAATACTTCATCCTCTTTTATTTTAGTTAATGAAATTTCACTATGTTATATTACATTTAAAAAAAAAAAAACTAAAATATAAAACAAATAACAATTATCACAATCTTTGGTAGTATCCGGACAACAACAACACATTATGTCTCACATGGAGATTGTTAGCCAGTACGGTAGTCTGGATTAGGTGATGTGCACGGTAAATGTTCATCTCTTCGACGACGTACAATTACGTTAGTAGTGTGAATCGCATGAGAGCACTTTGAGTTACTAGCTCTCGTCCACTACCGATCGTCTGTGAAAGTTGAGTCATCTAAGGCCTTGAATGGCAGGTAGATTTTAGACTAGTTTTCAGTTTTTGATTCTAAAAAACCAAAAAATAAGCTATTCATGATTTTAGCAAAATAGATTTCCTAAAATTTAGGAAAATCAGATTGTAGGAGATTTTACTACTTTCTTCATAAAATCCAAAACCCAATTTTTATGGTTTTCTACAAAATATAACGTGGTTCTTTTTTATTTAATTTTTATATTATTTTTTTTCAAAATTGTTCAAAAACTAAAATGTACAGCAAAAATAAAAAACTAGAAAAAAAATCAAAAACCAAAAACTAAAAACTAAAACCTATTTAAAAACTACAAAACATTCATGGCCTAAATGTTAGACTGTATTCTATAGAGAATTTTTTTCACTCTTAATGATAGCATTCCTCATGAGGCTTAGCATGATTCCACTGTGTCGATTTTTTCTAATATATATAATACAAATTTTTACTTTTTTAGTATATGTTGTTTGCCTTCCTTTCATAAATATTTAAAATTTTAGTTTTTCCGCCGGTTTAAGAATATATTTCTTCAAATATATTATACGTTATCAATAATAAAATTTAGACTGATGTGAAAATAAAAAAAATTGATGATAAAAGGAAAAGAGAAATGTCCTAGCTAGCATACTACACTTTAAATTATTATTTTCAAAAATACCATAAGTTTTTTACTTTTACAAAAATACTACATTTTTTTTTTTCAAAAATATCATAAACATAAAACTTTGATTTTTTTGAAAGTGCAGAATTTATTATCTTATGTTTTTGTTGACTAGTTTATATTTATGATTTTAGGGGTAGAGTTTTAATGTTTAGGATTTTTTTTTTTAACACATAATGTTTAGAATTTAAAGTTTAATTTGAATGTAAAAAACTAATTTTAATTTTTTATAATTTTGAAAAAATGAATTTAAATTTTTGAAAAAACAAATATCTGTGCTAAAAAAAAACTAAAAATATTATCTTTTATAGAAAAAAAATCAATATTTGTAGTTTTTTAGAAATTGCCCAAAGAAAAAGTGAAAATTAATCAGCCAAAACTACAGCCATATGTTTGCTTCTCTCAGCTTTCGTTCGAGCTTTCCTCTTCTTTCATCTCAATCTTCATCTTCAACCTCTCAAGCAATCTTTTCTCGGTGAGTTTGAATCTACTCTATCTCAAATCCCTATTTCTGTTCTTATGATTTTTTTTTATAATCCGGAGTGTTTTTATTGGATCATTGTTCTCATTGTGAATCATAACGGCGATTGTGAATACATCAGTGAGATGTGAACTTCAATTGGAGAGTTTTCATAAATGGATTTTGCCTTTTCTTTTCTGATTGTTCTGTTTCTTGTATCGATCTGAAAAGTTTGAATCTTTAGAGTTTTCTTACAACATGGTATAGGATAATGTTGCCTCAAACTTCGTCCGGACAAAACATGTTTCCTTTAGGACTACTCTTATCAGAATCTGTAGTTGTGAGAAAGTATCAAACTTTGTTAAGCTTTTAGCCAAGTGTGGTGGTTTCAACGCAGTTTTAGCTTTCTATACGATTTGATTTCTTTGTCTGTGGTCTTAACGTTTGTAATCTTTCTCTTAGAACCACCATGGAGTGACCATGGAGAGGACTTGTCCACTGTGTGCGTTGGTGTCAATAGCTAATTAGAGTAATCTATATTGAGTAATCCTAATATCTGAAAGTTTGAATCTTTAGTGTTTTCTTACAACATGGTATAGGATAATGTTGCCTCAAACTTCGTCCGGACAAAACATGTTTCTTTTAGGATTACTCTTATCAGGATCTGTAGATGTGAGAAAGTATCAAACTTTTTTAAGCTTTTAGCCAAGTGTGGTGGTTTCAACGCAGTTTTAGCTTTTTTGCTTTCTTTGTCTGTGGTCTTATCGTTTGTATTCTTACTCTTAGACCACTATGAGTGACCATGGAGAGGAATTTTCCACTGTGTGATTTGGTGTCAATAGCTAACTAGAGTAATCTATATTGAGTAATTAGCATCTAATTATGATGTGTTTTGTGTGACATTTTGTTGTTGGATTAATGTAAGGCTATTCATTGTGAAGAGTCATGATGGAAAAATAGTTGTTTGGTGTGTGTTTTAATATGTTTGTTAATTCTTCTTCTCTCTTACTCTTTCTGTTAATAGTGTAACTGTAGAATGGTGAAGAAAGCGATGGAGAAAGGGTTTAAGCTGATTTTGGGTTCTCAATCCATGGCGAGAAAGCGGATTCTGGCTGAAATGGGATATGATTTCACTATCGTGACTGCGGATATCGATGAGAAAGCTATTAGGAAAGACAAGCCTGAAGATTTGGTTGTGGCTATTGCTGAAGCCAAGGAAAACGAGATTATATCGAAACTAGGAGGTGAAAGCCAGTTTGCGAAAGATCCTAAACCAACTCTATTGATTACTGCAGATACTGTTGTTGTGTACAAAGGTGTCATTAGAGAAAAACCAACCAGTAAAGAAGAAGCTCTCGAGTTTATCCGAGGCTATTCGGGGTCGCATGGTGGCGTTGTGAGTTCTGTTATTGTGAGAAACTTGAAAACTGGAGTTAGAAGAGGAGGATGGGAAAAAGCAGAGGTTTATTTCCATGAGATACCGAAACAAGTTATCGACGATCTCATTAATGATGCGATAACTTACAAGGTTGCTGGAGGTTTAACGCTGGAGCATCCTCTCATTTCGCCTTTTATTGATTCGGTGATGGGAGGAGTTGATACAGTTATGGGACTTCCTAAAGAACTCACAGAAAAGTTCATCAATGAAGTGTTGTAGCTCAAAGCCACTTTTGAGTGTGTAGGAAAGGTTTAGATATAAATACATTTGTATATCTAATCAATTTATGATACTTTTGAATCTCTTATGTCTAGTCAAGTAACCAATTCACTCTTTCTGAGCTTAGTTTTGTATGTTATGCCTTCCATCAATATCGCAATGTGGCGTAGAAACTTGTGAAATTGAGGAACATAAACATATACTTGTGGTTTTGAGAGTGGTACTTCTAAAGGAGAGGGACATGCTTTTTTCTGCAGAGCAATGAATTGAATCTATATTGGCTTGGCTCTTCATGAAGCTAGCCACAAGGTCGCTTCTAATGTGTGTTTCTAACTTTTTGACACAATGCTACCACATTAAACAGCATTAATCGTACTAGTACATTTGCAGATGAAAGATATCTTTAGTTATCCTGACATTTGATGATACACATCCACGTACATTGGACTGTTATTAGAGTTGAGTTCTTATATTTGACATGAAACCTACTCAAGTACCACAAAACAGTAAATGATCAACTACTTAGGCAGGGTACCTGCAAAATGTTTTTGTAAAGTGTAATATGTCTTGAGAAGTAACGCACACCTACCATTTTTCTAGGAAAAAGTTGCATGTCTTGATTTTAGTAATGCTAGATTTGAATTAGAACTACAATAATCATATGATTCGAGAACTATTGTCTAACATAAAATACTCAAATCTAAAAGAATTTGTCAATTTGACAACATGGAAATTTTGATATCTGCATTCAGTCCAAGACTCTTATCATAAGCATATTTACATCTCTTCATGTTTTTCTATTTTGTAAACGTTTTTCTTAGTTGACAATCGCAAAACAAGGAAGATTCAATCTTTACTAAGATAGATAGGTAAGCTACGAAATGAGATATATCATGAAGGAACTTTATTGTGTAAGGAAACTAAGAAAAAGGGAAAGAGACTTGAGGTTGTTACCAAAATCCAGTGTTTTCAGACCCGGACAAGACCCGCCGATCGGACCGGTTAATCCTGATTAGTATTTTGGTTTGGGTTTAGTTCTAAAACCGCAGTGTTAAAAAACCGGGAAAGCCCGGAAAACCCCAATAAACTCGGTTTCCATTATTAACCGACCCGCCGGGTTTTGAGTTTGATTATCAACCATCCGATTTCGTTTACCAATCACTTTCGTCACTTAATTTCAACAGATATGTTATTTGTTTTTGCAAAAATTGATGGAAAACAATGTTTTGGGTTTGAGATTTTGAGTTCACGGTACACCGCGGGACGACATTCCTAAAATGTATTCTTTTTATTAATTTTGTTTGGTATATAAGAGTGTACAACTATATTTTGATTGTTAATTTTATGATTTAACTCGTAGAATATTATATGATAATTTATTTTTTATATAATCGTAATTCGATCAAATTAATTAAATAAGTATAATATTTAAAATAATGAAATGATATTGACATAATATTTATTTACATAGTATAATTCCATATTAAAATATTTTATGAGTTAAAATATAGTAGACAACCCGTAAAAATATCTATAATCATAATTATGTAAATTAAAACCCGCCATCACATGACCCGTGCTACACAATTATCATTAATATGTTAGTACATCCATTTTTGTATCGTTTGAGCAATATACATCCGTTTCAAAAAATTCAAATTGCAACATATGCAAAAAAAAATTTATTTTTTATTATACATATGTTTATGTAATAATATAAATTTAAAAACAAATAAGATCATATAAAGATGTTGAAGAAATATTTGATTTATTAGGGAGAGATTTTAGGAAATTTTGTTAAATGTAATAAATATTGATTTCTAATTTTGCAATTTTATTATGATTTAATTATAAAATTCATCTTAAACTTTTTATATTTAATCAAATGGCAGGGGTTAATTATGAAAATATCACAAATTAAAAGGGTAGAAGACAAAAGATACTTCAAAAATGTTAATATAGATGAGATATAAGACTAATTGGAATATATTGCGTGAGAAAGTAAGGTATATATATATATATATTTTAAATTATTTTCTAAGAGAAAACCAAACAATTGTACTATAATATTTGATTATTATATTCTTTTTTTATATTATAATCTCTTACAAAGATTAAGAAGAGAATTACCACAAAAGGCAACTCCCAAAGATACTTTTATTCCTCACACTACACAAGCTTATATATAAAATCTATCTTGATAAAAGCTCTAAACACAAAGGCTAATGGGCTTTTCCTTATGACACTAATTAGACTTTTAATGTGTGTTATAATATTCTAATCACTTCTCACTGAAAGGATGAATATCTTTTGTTATATATCTTTATCAATGTACATTTGTCGTACCCGTATCTATGAATTTTTACTTTGTTGTTGCTTATTCTCGTTTCCGTTTGTAGTTCTCGTATCTATTTCAGTGCTACTTAGATTGTAACATTATTTTCCAAGACTATTTTGGTTTTGGTGTGTTCATTGGTCTTTGGAAAGCATCCCACAGATGACGAGTTTACAATATCTGTTAGGAATTAATGGCTTCTTTGGCTTTCCTCTTATGTTTTGGGTTGTATAGATATTCTGATTACTATACAACCACAATATTACTGTACATGTCATTATGCCTTCAACACAATATGATCATTCATCCCAAATAATCATTTTTTTTACTAGAGGAATCATTTTCTTCAATTCGTTAGCTAAATTATAACACGATCGAGAAAGGCCTTTGCGCTCAATAGTCAATAGTGCAAGTCCCAAAATGACACCTAATTAGAATTGGACTTGGTCAATATCCTTACACGTTGGTCCAATATGATCTTATTATGACCAAAACAAAACAAATTGTGATTAGAGTACATAGAATATTTCCCGTTTAACTTTTTTTTTCTGATTATATTATCTACAAATTGTGTGTATTAAACATACAATTTTCATAATTGTGGCATGTTTTTGCGGAACCGGCCCACTAACTCCATAATCAACTGGATAATTAAATAAGTAATTTTTTTGTCATAATCCTTTTCATTATATGGTGTCACTAACTCGTTTATGCATGAACCTAGCTAGCTCGTTTAGTTTAAGTTTTTGCTGCTTTTTTTATTAAGACTTTTAATATCAGTTAAGCACTATATTAGTTATTAATTTGTTTCTCATGCTCACTATTCTTTCCTTAAATATACAATGACAAAAAAAAATACACAGTACAGTTGGTACGGAGGATAGATCTATACAAGAACACATTATTATATATATATATGTTCTGCGCAATAAGAAATTTTGGTTAGCTCGTTTTAAGGAGAAGTGAATCCTAGCTTATAATTAAGGAGATGAGCAAAGAAAGTTTGTAAAATATTAACAAATAATATATCAGTCGAAATTCTTGTGTGAGAGAGTTTTAAATCTACCTCCACATTTTTTAAATATCAAATGTATATTATCGCCGTGAAAACATTTAAAAGATACATTTAAGGTTTAACTTGCGTATTATTTTTTATTTTGTAAGATTGATTTGCATTTTTTGAAGATGTAAGATAAAACTGTAAAAAAAGATGATTTGGAGGATGTTTTTTTTTCTCCAGAAAACCTTTCCTTGTTACCCCAAAATTTTAGACAATATTGAACAATAAGCCTCTATTTTCAATGAGATAAAGTTTTTTTTCTTCTTTTGATTTTAAATTTTATTGACTTTCAAATCGACAGCAAAGACCAAATTTTAAAAGTTAAAAACCAATTAAAAATGTAACGCCATTCATAGCTCATATTTGAATTTTTAACATAAGAAAACGAAAAATAATAAAATTCCAAATGATATTAATGTAATTTTCTAAACAAGAAAATAAATGTCCTAGTTGATATTTGAGACATGAAGAATTGCAATAATAAAAACACATGGGCTGTTGTTGATGCAATGAAAAGGATTTAGATAATGCTTCCACGACCACTTGGGTGTCTTTGGTTCACTTTCTCTTTTTATAACATATGTTTATAATGGGCATTGGGTCCTCTTCACAGATACATTGAGATTCCAATAATAATCATTTACGATATGACCAATCTTTTTTTACAGGTCGTATGTATTGTATGTGATCCTGATATGGATTTAGACAATCTTGATGGTGTAAGAGATTCAATCTCAGAGGATTTACAAGTTCATCAAATCTGATTTTTTACTATCTCAAATGTTTTTCACACATAAGAGTTTTAGCCTTCATACATTTTTAAACTATTGATTAATTAATTTTTCGTAAAACCTTTGTTTCAGGTTTTATATCCGATTGATCTCTACCTTAAAAACCGGTAAAATTTTCCTTTGGGATCAAGTGTCTTTATGTATGAATTTGAGGTTTGGAAAAATCAGTGATATGCATATTGACCAGCCGGAAGTATCTATAAATTAACTGTAATTATGTAAATTAGATCATCTGAATTTATAAATTAATCTTTAATACTGTAATTAGCTTAATTAGAACATCTCCAATAGCGAAAGTAACAAAAAATGATATTATATAATGATTTTTTTTTATGTAGTTAAATTTTAAACGATAAATAAATCCAGCCAGTCATACTATTGGCAAAATAGTATATAAAAAAGAATTTTATAATGTTTCTTATTTAAAAATAAAAGTATATAAACAAGTATACTCATATTTTCGTTATTTTAATTTAAGGAAATCATCGAGAACTCTCGAAATGCTCTTATAGTAACAACTAAGCAATGATATCATCATTTTGGCTTCATGCATGATCAAGTCTTTGAAGAAATACATTTTCTTCTTTATTTTCACTACCTTTTCTTAAGATTTAATTCTTTTACTATATGCTATGTTTTTTTTTTTATCTCACTTTGTGAAATTACGTTATTCAGGGAAAAAATTCCGATAACATATTATCTGATTCGTGAGATGTGGATGTATAAAAAATGCATCGAGCTAGATAAAATATAAACTTAATCATTTTGTTATACGTTAATCTATAGTCTAAAATATGCTTACGTTTCATCATGGTCAAGAATTAAAATCACTTAAGATACATAGTTTTGTAAATTGTAATTAGCTGGATCTTAATTAGTAATTTGTAAGATCTCTCCACGTGATAGCTTTATGGCATATGAGTTGGAAACAAAGTGGCACACTCACTTGACCAATGCATGCATATGTAACTTTTTGCGTTTATATATATATATATATATATATGCATGTCGTAAAATTCACGAATAAAAGTTTGATAAAACAACAAAAAATAAATATTGTGTGTTTTCCTATATATTCCCTTATATAAACTCATTTATAAATATTTGCATGTTAATGGTACTTCGTTGTACATTAATACACTTTTTATTTCACATAGAGTGTCATTTTAACACATTTAACACAAATTAAAAAAAAACTGAAAATTATGTTTCTATTTAATAAATAATTAATTATTAAAATTCAATAAAATGAGCTTTGAATTTAGAGGTAAATTAGTATGTGAGACTCTATATTTGCCGCAACACTTTTTTACTTTCATGACTGAATATTTGAAGCATAAAGTTTGTGCGACTAGATATTCACATATGATATTCTATTTTCAAAAAAAAATTAGAATTAGATTTTTTTGTAAGTTTAGATTGCTATTTACCGGATATCGTAATTTATGTATTAAAATACCGCCAATAAATAGTCTGGGTTGATTTTCGCTATTTTCCCAAATTTTAAACCTAAAACCACATATAATCTAATATCTTTTCTCTTACACAAAAATCAGGTCAATGTCTTATGTCTTTCAATTTTCGACTCCTTAAATCATCTTTCCCTACCCACAAGTGTAAAACACGACATAAACGATTCTCTAAACGTCTGCCACCACAATTACGTAAGAGTAGTGTTTGTTCGAGGAACCAAACAAATTGTATTATATAATAAACTCTGTAACCAAACACCTCATCATATTGCTTTTGCGTTTTTGCCTTAACGCGCTCGGAAGGGTCTATATCGTTAAGCAAACTTGTGTTGTGTCCTTGTGGGAGAAAATAATAATAAAATAAAGAAAAAAATAAAACAAAATTAAATTAACAGGATCCGAATTCTCAGCTCAGATACATTGCATGTGAAATTTTCAACTAAGTATAAAAAACCTCAATATCTTGACCTCTTACTGACCCATCATTTCCTTTTTTTTTTCCTCTCTCTTCTCTCTCTCTCTGCTTTTTTTTGCCCTATCCATAGGGTTTCTTCTCTCGATCTTTGATCTTCATGTGCCTTTCGATCTTTTGTATAATCAGAACTGATCTGTTTGTTTTCTTCTTAATCGTCTTCGGATCTTTCGTTTTTGCTCTTTCCCACTGGTTTTCGCTTGAGTTTTCATCAAGCGTTTTTTATTTTCCTGGGATTTTTGAGCTTCAATCATGTCTCAGATCTATAGCTTCGCTGGTAAGTTTCCCCCGATCTACTCGATTTCATCTAGGAATCTGATTTCTTGATTTAGATTTAGGCGTTTCTTTGTTCTTGAGGTGATTTAGTATTGAACTCTAGTATTGTATATTGATTCTTCTATATGTAGAAATTGATAGATCTGTTAATTTTGAAATTTCTCTGCTTTTTGTTTTTTTTTGGATCTGGAATTTTAGGTTTTGTGTTTGTTTGGTTGATTTAGTAATCTCTATGGCTCATAAAGATTGAAACTTTTGTATATTTTATAGGTGAAAATGAATTTTACCGTCGTGGAGCAATATACCCAAATCCAAAGGATGCTAGTCTTTTGTTGTCGCTTGGTAGTTTCGTTGATGTGTATTTCCCACCTAGTAAGAGGTCACGCGTTGTTGCACCGACGGTGTTCAGTTCTTTCGAGAAGAAGCCAGTTTCAATTGATGTACTCCCAGATGAGTGTCTTTTCGAGATCTTTAGACGATTGCCTGGACCGCAAGAGAGGAGTGCTTGCGCTTTCGTGTCGAAACATTGGCTTACGCTTGTTAGTAGTATCAGGCAAAAGGAGCTAGATGTGACTTCCAACAAAACTGAAGATTGTGATGATTGTGAAGGATGTTTGTCTAGGAGTTTAGATGGGAAGAAGGCAACTGATGTTAGATTGGCTGCTATTGCTGTTGGAACAGCTGGTCGTGGGGGACTTGGGAAGTTGTCTGTTCGAGGAAGTAGTTCTAGCAAGGTTTCAGATGTTGGTCTTAGGTCTATTGGTCGTAGCTGCGCTTCTCTTGGGTCTCTTTCCTTGTGGAATCTTTCTAGTGTTACTGATAATGGACTCTTGGAGATTGCTGAGGGTTGTTCTCAACTTGAGAAGCTTGAACTTAACCGTTGTTCTACAATTACTGACAAGGGTTTGGTAGCGATTGCGAGGAGCTGCCCTAACTTGAGCGAGCTTACATTGGAGGCTTGTTCAAGGATTGGAGATGAAGGTCTGCAAGCCATTGCACGATCCTGCTCCAAGCTGAAGTCAGTTTTGATCAAGAACTGTCCTCTTGTCAGGGATCAAGGAATCGCAGCCTTGCTTTCAAACACTACCTTTTCGTTGGCTAAACTTAAGCTTCAGATGTTGAATGTTACTGATGTGTCTCTTGCTGTTGTTGGTCATTACGGCTTGTCAGTCACTGATCTTGTCCTCTCTGGATTGCCACACGTGAGCGAGAAGGGGTTCTGGGTCATGGGAAATGGTGTTGGGCTACAAAAGTTGAACTCTCTAACCATCACTGCCTGCCAGGGAGTGACTGACACGGGGCTTGAATCTGTGGGAAAGGGATGCCCAAACATGAAAAAGGCGATCATCAGTAGATCCCCTTTGTTATCCGACAATGGGTTGGTTTCTTTTGCAAAAGCATCTTTATCACTGGAGAGTGTTCAGCTTGAAGAATGCCACAGAGTCACCCAATTTGGGTTTTTTGGTTCTCTTTTGAACTGTGGTGAAAAGTTGAAGGCTTTCTCTCTGGTGAACTGCTTGGGCATTAGAGATCTCACAACTGGCTTGCCTGCTTCACCTCATTGCAGTGCTCTGCGTTCCCTGTCTATTCGTAACTGCCCTGGCTTTGGTGATGCAAATCTTGCAGCCATCGGAAAGCTGTGCCCTCAGCTCGAGGATATTGATCTATGCGGGCTCAAGGGGATAACAGAGTCTGGTTTTCTACATCTAGTTCAGAACTCGCTTGTGAAGGTGAACTTCAATGGTTGTTCCAATTTGACAGACAGAGTGATCTCTGCCATCACTGCTCGTAACGGTTGGACTCTTGAAGTCTTAAACGTCGATGGATGTTCCAAAATCTCTGACGCCAGCCTGGTCTCCATTGCAGCAAACTGCCAGATTCTCAGTGATTTGGATCTTTCAAAATGCTCCATCTCAGATTGTGGGATTCAAGCATTAGCTTCATCTGACAACCTCAAACTGCAGATCCTATCCCTGGCAGGTTGCTCTATGGTCACAGACGAGAGCTTGCCAGCCATAGTGAGTTTGGGTTCAACTCTATTGGGATTAAATCTCCAACAATGTCGATCCATCTCCAATTCCACTGTCGACTTCTTAGTCGAGCGCCTTTACAAATGCGACATCCTCTCCTGATCGATAATTCCACTCTCAACTTATCCACCTATAATGAAAAGGTATTTTAGTCCGTCCAAGTTCGTTTATCAAGTGTCAACCCTTTTTCAGGCTCTGTGATCTACGCGTCTCTCGCTAAGGCTCGGTACCCGGTTTTCCTTCTTTTTGTTTCTCCAAGCAGTTCGCTTCCGGTTTCTTTTTTGCCAGTCAATGGTTTTTTTTTGGCAGGGTTTCCTCCGGGGAAACTCTAGCTTACCCAAGAAACCGGAAGGTCATGTGTTGCTTGAGAACATGTTTTAACCGGGTATACGAGGTTTTAGATGTTTACCATCATCTCCTGTTTTCTTGCTTGGTGTCTTTTACGAGCCTACTATTATCAGTCGTTTGTCTTTGTGTTGCATATGGTTTTCCCTCGTAAGGGTCTTTGTATGATTTGTGTACGGGTTCAGGTTTTGTACATGCCTCGGGTGTTCGTTCTCTCAAGAGGTTTGCTCTGGCTTTTGTTGCAACAACTCTAATGAAAAGAGTTTTTGTTTTGTTGCTTTTTTTTTTTGCCAGAGCCCTCGTTTCCTTTTTTTGTCCAGGCTTGTATTACAAATCTGTATCATCACTGTATCAAATTATGTAATGTCCTTTGGGATGGTTTAATGAGTATTGAATAAAATTCTCATTTCGTTGTATAATACAAAGTTTTTGTTTCTCCAATAACTTTATGTCTGTATCATGGGACAGAGAATCAGATTTTGTGTGAACCTGAGTTTTTGACTTTATTTTTTTTTTTTTTACGTTTGTTTGTGTCCAATCAAAAACAATGAGTGGTGTGTTCAATGAATGTTGTCGAGGGGAAGAACCTGGCCAGCGAAGCGATCGATTGATTCGATACGATATGATTTTTTTTGAGTGGGGGATTATATAATAAAGTTGGGAAAAAGAGTCATTATTATGAGTATATTCGTTGTCGCTATTATAATTATTGTGGTCTAATCTTGATTAATAATTAAAGATGGGGCAGGTTTTAGATAATTATGATCCCTTAAAGTAGAGACAAAGAATCATTAGTGAATTACGCGTTTTTGTTCACACAATATTCTTTGACCATGTACTTGACATGCATAAGTATATTGTGTGAACAAAAATAAGTATATTGTGTGAACATATTCTTATGCATGTCAAGAAAAGTTTGAATTGGAAGTTTACTTTTACTGCTCAGATTAAAATAAGTATCTATGTTGCATGGAAATAGAAACGGATATGCAAAAATAAAACAATTCGAAAACGAGCTTTTCATAAAATAAAGATATGGAAATATAATTAAGTATCAAACATCAAAACAATTTTAGAGAAACTAATTTGAAATAATATGTTAAAAAATATAAATATTAAATAATTTAACTAAAGATAAATATTAAAGCACTCAAATCAATAACTTTAAAATTTTATATATCATATTAAATTTTACATGTATGAAAGTAATCACTCTATATACATAAATCATATGTTTTCAAAAAAGATTTGTTTATAGAGTTTTTAAATTAATAATGTAAGTTTCTATTCGGTTTTTAAATAAAAAACGTGAGTTTCTATCGTGTTTTCAAATAAAAAAAAATTAAAAATTGTGTTTCCGTGTTTCCAAAAGTTTATGTTTTTGAAACGTTACAAAAATGGAAAACAGACTTGAGATTCCATACCGATGGCAAAAATACATACATATTTAAAATGACTATATTCCATAATGAACACTTTCAAGTTGTTTTGGAAACTGTTGAAAATGACTATATTCCATAATATTGTATATTGCTAAGTCAAATATTTGTAAATGTAAATTAATGAATAAACTAGTGAACCAAACCGGTGCATGGTATATAGGCATGTCAATCAGGCTAGGCCGGCCCGGCCCGGCCTAAAACTTATAAAGCCCTCATATACTTGAGCCCGGCCCGAAATATATCCGGGCCTATATTTCAAAGCCCGGCCCGGCCCTAACAGGGCTACATGGCTTTTCGGGCTTTTTTAGACTTTAGTTACTGATGAACCCCCGGGTGCGATGGATATGATCGATGCACGTCCGGTGGTCGTTGACTGGGCTACGAAAACCGTCGGAGCCTTCGATGGAAGGTTTGGGGGTGGAGAGTACCCTTCGTACAAATAAAGGAATACTCGGGCTGGGTGTGTGTGGATCGAATGACGACACGTGAGCTATGGAACGAACTCACGATACGGTCGGCTTGAAGATTAACGAAACCCGGTTCGAGAATCTTCAAGGGTTTTCGATCTCTATCCTTCCCGGCTCGAGAAAACGAAGAGAGACGCGAGAAAAGGAAACATTTTCAGTAGTTCATTCAAGCGTGTCCTTTACAATCGAGAGACTTGCCCTTAAATAGACAAGTGATCGAGAAAGTGAGCTTAAAGTTGCCCTAGACACGTGGGTCTTTAAGCTCCACACAAAGGAAAAGTGAGAAAGCGCGTTTTCTAACGGCTCTCTCGATAAAAAGGTAAAAGGATCGAGAAATTCTCGGTAAAAAGTGAAACGATCGAGAATTCTTCGAGAAAATAGAAACGGATCGATAAGGATCGATGGAGAAGGCTTTATTGAAGATGGATGCCTTCTTGGAGATAGGATCTTCACTTCCTCGGCTCCGGAGCTTGTCTACTAACGTTTCCAAGTCGTGAGTAGAGTGGGATCGAAGTGGAGATGCATTAGACTTGCTGCCTCGTTAAAACCCCTTCGGTAAACCCATTGGGACAAACCCGAAGTTGGGAAAAAGAGTACAGCTCACCTAACATCTTAGGGATGCCTTCACTCGGACGTGGAGGTGAAGGCACTCGAGCTAAGCTTACCAAAGCTTGTCTTGATCGAAGGTTCCTCGGTGGTGATGCGTTCCACGAACCTTCGGTGAGAATGGTTGAAGCTCGGCTTGTCGAAAGGTTGAACGTTGAAGAAGATCATGAGATGACCTCGCCTTGCTCCTCTTGATGATCCTTGAAGTCGTCTTGAAGTGTTGAGGCTGAATCGTTGTCGTCGGGATGATCTCTTTGTTGAAGACTTTGCCCGAACGGTTGATAGACGCGGCCGGACGGATGGTGCTCTCGGACGGACGGACGGCGGCCTTGGTGACTCGATGTCCGGGGACGCATCAGTTACCGATAAAAAAATCAACTTCTAAGTTCATAATAGTTTAAAAAAAAATATTTAAAAGTATACTATAAAAATAATGTATCAAAATTTAAATAACTTATCAATATTTATTAAAACTAACTTAATTTAAGAGAAAAAATGAAAACTAAATAAATTATTTACACTTTAACCCAATAAAACAAGGAACTAAAATACTTTAAAGTAGACGATAGAGTCAAAATTTAATATATTTCAAAATCAAGATACTTATATATATATATATTTAATTTTTGTTCAGTTTTGACATATATAAATAATAGAAAATATTATAGATAAAGATTTTAAAAGTATTAAGTAAGGCTAGTAAGTAAATATGAAAAATTAATTCATTAATCAAATCTTATATTCAAACTAAAATATTTTAAAAAATAAAAATATATTTATTTAAAAGCTTTTCGGGCCGGCCCGAACCCGACCGGGTTAAGCCTAGAAAACCCTTTAACCCGAATAGGCTTAGCCCAAAAGGCCCGGTTTTTTCTGTACATATATATTTAAGCCAGAACCCAGTGTTTTTAGAGCCGGGCCGGACTAGCCCGCGGGCTTTAGCCCTAATTGACATGCCTAATGGTATAGAGTAAATTTGATACAAATGATCAATTATTGTATAGAGTAAATTGAAATGCATACGTCGTATAATTTATTTTCGCGATTGACATGTCTAAGAGAAGCATGCGTTAGTCTCATAATCTAGTAGCAAAAATCATACAAAAGTGTTCCAATCTTGTGATGATTCTTTCCCATATTAATTAGGTGATCATGACAAGCTCCAAATTATCACTTTCAAACCATACAAACCAAAACCATTGCACCCAAATTATTTGAAGAGTATGTAGGAAACCAAGTGACTCTTCTTGTAAGGCAGATTGAGTTGGATGCTAAGGTTTCACACATCCATAAAGAATCACTTGTTCACAATTAACCAAACTGAATTTACTAATACGTAACATTTTTTTATGAAAACATGAAACGTCAAAATATTATTTACGTTGACAAACAAAACAAAAACGTAATTTGTTTTTTTTCATTATTACTAAAAGGGTTACTAGTTATAACATTAACTAAGACTAGTCAATCACTATAAATTACACTCATAAAACATAAGAAACACAATCAAAAAGAGCTAAAAAGAAACTAAAGATTATAATGGAGAAGAAAACCATTTATATAGCATGCTTTTCGATCATTGTTATGCTATCATTTTGTTATACAAGTTTGGCCATAGCACATGATCTTGAGGAGATGCTACTCAACGAGTTTAATATAATGCTTGAGTACTGGCCAAGTCCTGGTCATTATAATCGCAACGTTATCTATCGACAATCAAGAAAACATCTCCAATATCTTCTTGGCTGCGGAGTTAAGATGTGTGGTGGAAGTGAATGTGCAAATGATTTGATGGACGAAGTTCTTCGGAACAAAAACGCATCGAGATATTGTTGTCGGTTTATAGTGAAAGGTGGCAAGCAATGTCACATAGATTTTATGAAGCTGTTTTATCAATTCTATCAGTTCGAACGTTTTAGTTTTAGAGTGGACAAGACTGAAGAAATATGGAACAAATGCTATTCTCAAATTAAACATGTTACACCGTTGTCTGGTTAAAAAGCAAAACTAATTTCACTATTAAATAATGGTTTAAGTTGATTGTATTTATACTAAATCATCAAACACAATATGTTGTTTGAAGGAGATATATGATATACAATGCCATTGTTTGCTTCTCCAAAGTGTTAGATGTGTGATTCAACTTGAAACATGAAACTGATGTAGATCATAAGCTTAAAAATAATATTGTATATATTTGCGTTACATGGGCGTATTTGTTGTAAGTCAGAAACCGGGCCAAATATTTGTGTGTAGCCCTTACACGAACCAACTCGGTTTTAGGTACAAATATAGAGGGTCAAACAAATGTAGGGTCAAACAAACACAAACCTAGTTCAAGCGGTTCCGAGAGGCGAGCAAGAGCTAGATCGATAGATCGAGAGAGAAAGATATAGTTTTTAGTGTATCTTGGCTTAGTCTCTTGTTAGTATTCTTCCTTTATGTTTTTGTAAAGACTCGATCTAGGATGTTATCGAGTGTGTATATGTAGAAATCAAAACACATATGTAACTTCTGATCTTTAGTGGATGTTGAAGAATTTGATTCATCCCCATACCTAGCTGATGCATTAAATTCGGTTACCAAATCTTTGTGTTTATTCTATGTTTCTGTGTTCTCCCTCTTTTATTTCTTTAAAGCTTGAGTCAAATCCGTGAACCAATGTTTGATTGAATTCAAAGTTGAACATCGATTTGCTACACCTACACGTAGGTTAAACCATGGTTTACTTAGTTGCATGATTTATGATTCGTGGAAAATTTCTAATTCCACTCCAAAGTTTAATATGGATTTCATTGTAGGGGGGATTAGGTAAGAAAAAAACAACAACAAGAAAGTCTCTTATGAAGTATTTGAAACAGATTATGCCGAACAGATTATGTCTTAAGGTACAGATTCTATTGAGAAATATCCCACTTTCTCAACGTTGCTCTCTGTTAATTTTCTTTTTTTTTTGTTCTGTATTGTTATCAATCTATCTCTCTTTCTGATTTTGATTGGAAAAAGCTAAACTAAATATAAAACTAAACTGAAATTTAGTGGTAGTTAAACCATATATAACCCAATAAACTGAATTTTGTTATAATTTTGTATATTTACCTATTATATACTTAATATATAAATCTATATGCTTTATATTCACAAATAAACAAAAATGTAGTTTGGTTTATTTGCATATTTCACAAATAAACAAAAATATATATGCTTTATATTCACAAATAATATATAAATATATATGCTTCCTTTTTTGGTTTCTTTCTTTTTTCTTTTTTAATTTTCTTGCAAAATTCATTGAAATGCACACTGTTAGTAATACGTTCATATTTTTTTTACTATTTATTTCATCAAAAACTGAAATGTATTAAACTAACATTAATTTAATGAAAACATGAAACCTCAAAAGATATTATTTTACAGTATGTTGTTGACAAACGAACAAAAACGTAATTTTTTTTCTTTATTACTAAAACGGTTACTAGTAATAACATTAAAGAACAGTACTATAAAATGAACTCAAATAAATAGAAACAAAATAAAAAAGAGCTCAAAACAAACTTCACAACAAAATTAGAAAAAAATGGAGAAGAAAACCATTTTTATAGCATGCTTTTCAATCATGGTTATGTTATCATGTTGTTATACAAGTTTGGCCATAGCACATGATCTTGAGGAGATGCTACTCGGCGTGTTCGATATAGTTGTTAAAAATTGGCCAAGTCCGGGTGATTATAATCGCAACGTTATCAATCAACAATCAAGAAAACATCTCCATTATCTTGTTTACTGCGGGGTTAAGATGGGATATGGTGGAAGTGAATGTTCGGATGATTACATGGACGAAGTGCTTCGGAACAAAAATGCATCGAGAGATTGTTGTCGGAATATAGTGAATGGTGGTAAGCAATGCCACATAGCTTGGATGAACCTGTATTATCAGTTTTATCAGTTCAAACGTTTTAGTTTTAGAGTGAACAAAACTGAAGAAATATGGAACAAATGCTATAGTCAAATTAAACATGTTACACCATTATCTGGTTAAAAATTAAACTAATTTTACTACTAAATACTGGTTTAATTTTTTTTTATTTTTTTTGGTCAAAAATATATTAAAATTAGCTCAAAAAAGTCAACTGTGAGGACATTTGTTTACAAACTTGGCAATGTGCGGATAGGAACGAGCTTGTCGTGCCAGAGAATCCGCCTTCACATTCAGATTTCTTGAGATAAGAGATAAAGAAAAAGTTGAAAATTCTCTATCAGTCTTGATGTCGTCTAGGTAAACAGAGAATACCGGTCATTCATTGGTTTAAGTTGATTTGTAATGTACCAACTATAGTTAGAAAAATAAATTCATAATTAACAAATAATGCTCCAAAATCATTGACCAAACTCCTCAACTACCTCCAACATTATCAATACCAAGGATTTGTTGACAAAAATTATTCTAAAATATAGTATTGTTTTAAAGATCTCTTCTCTTTGTTCTCGAAATAAAAAGACTTCTTCTTTTTTTGGACATACTTATATTGTTTTAAACTCTTAAACATCTTTTTAGGTTTTAGCATACGACAAGGTTTTTGGTAATATACCTATGTTCTCAATAAATATAATACCTGTTTAAAAATATTTTAAAATGTTTACATGTGCTTAGAAAACTTTCACAATCTTTTGGGGATATTTGTTTTTGGGAAATTATCACAAGTTTCCAGGATGTTAAAACACTATTCGTATAATTATCAGAATTATCAAAATTTTCAAATACAACTAGTTAATGATTTAAACTTGATTCCAAAATAAAACTACTCTCTCTATTTCATTTCAAATGATGTTTAAATCCTTTAAAAACCTTTTAAAAATCTTTGTAAACGCTTTAAAAAACATTTGTCGGGGAAATTTAGTTGGAAATTTTTTTGGCGGGAAAATTTTGGTGGGAAATTTTTTAGGAGAAAATTTTAGGAAGAAATATTCTGTCCAAAAAAAAAGAAAATAATATTCTTTTAACTATGGGTAAAATGACCATTAAAATTTAAGAGAATGCAAAAATGAAAATGACAAAAGATAGGGTAGTTTTGCAAAAGAGTATTATAAAAAGGTTATTACTAAGAATTTTTCTAAAATAAATACGATATAAAAATTAGACTATATAAACCAAATACGAAAATGATCAACCAAATAAATATATTAAATTATAGACATGTAGATACCACGGTGTTAATCCTAGTTTCAATGAAAACATATAACCTCAAAATATATTATTTATGTTGTTGAGAAACGAACAAAACGTAATAAGTTCTACTTTATTACTATAAAAAGGTTACTAGTAATACAATTAATAAACAGTTGATCACTATAAATACACTCATAGAACAAAAACACAATAAAAAGACCTAAAAACAAACAAAAGGAAAAAGAAAAATGGAGAAGAAAGCCATTTTTATAGCATGCTTTTCAATCATGGTTTTGCTATCATGTTGTTATACAAGTTTGGCCATAGCAGCCGATCTTGAGAAGATGCTACTCGAAGTTTTCGATATGGTTGTTAAAAATTGGCCGAGTCCGGGTGACTGTAATCGCAACGTTATCCATCGACAATCAAGAAAACATCTCCAATATCTTATTTTCTGCAGTCTTAAGATGGGATATGCTGGAAGTGAATGTACTGATGATTATATGGACGAAGTGCTTCGCAACAAAAATGCGTCGAGAGATTGTTGTCGGGGTATAGTGAAAGGTGGCAAGCAATGCCACATAGCGTGGATGAACCTGTACTATCAATTTTATCAGTTCAAACGTTTTAGTTTTAGAGTGAACAAAACTGAAGAAATATGGAACAAGTGCTATAGTCAAATTAAACATGTTACACCATTTTCTGGTTAAAAATCGAAATTAATTGTTACTATTAATAAACAATGGTTTAAGTTGATTGTATTTGTAACAACTATTTATACAACTATTATGTTATATCCATTGTCTTCTATTGTATAACACACATTTTTGATTCGAGAAACACATTTTTCCATCAAAGGTATCCAAAAAGACTAAAGACTCGAAAATGGCTTTAGATGAAAGAAAAAGAAACACTCAATCAAAAGTTGTGAAACAAATACAAACTCAAAAGATGAGTAAAACGCGTTTAGGCATTGGGGTGGCCTTGAAGTTTAGACTCTAATTACTTGGAAGAGTGTGTATCATCTTCACATAATCACATGTATCATTGAGTTGTTTTCTTGTTGCCAACAATCTCAATGATACAGTAAGGAACAAAGACAAAATATAAGTCACATCACTATAGATAAGAGATTAGCATTGCTAACTACGCAAAGAATGCATTAGCATTAGTTAGAACACTAATATAGGAACCACACATTGCACTTAAACCAATAGAATACAATCATTTTTTCCAAGAAACATCAGTTGATTTAACAACCAAAGCAACTCTATTCTTGCATGTATATATATAACTCAAACGTCTGGTTCCTAAAGCGATTTAAGCTGGCAAACTCGATCGGGGCAACGCTAATAAACTCAAAACACATCTGAAATTAGAAGAAAATCTAAAACCAGCAACACTAGTCTTGTACTGTAAGTAATTGTTATGTAAAACCAAAGCAGACAAGTGTACAAGTTACTAAGATTCATGAAATTTTGGGGAACTACGAGCACGGAGAAGAGTTTTACTGATCACTTGACGGAGGATTTGATGAAATCAAATGTCATTGAAGAAGAAGTACAGTGTCACTGTATCAATGGTTTCTAGAGATACATTTTTGGGTAAATTTTATGATTAATTTCTTACTGATAAATAAAATTAGTTTTTATTTTATTATCTAATGGTATTAGTTTATAATTGAGAAAAAAATACTTCTCCTCACCTTACTTTTTTTTTAAAAGAGTATTGGTATTTGATACTATCAGTAGTAGATAAAAATGTAACTAAGAAAAGTGTAGGAATGAACATTTTTGTGATTGTAAAGAAAAATGATTTAAATGTAGGATATAGTTTTTAAAAATATAGTTTAGTGGTTATGATTTAGAATTTAGTTTTGAATGTTGAAATATATATATTTAATTTTTTGGTATTTTTGGGTTTAGTGTTTTTCTTTTATCTATCTTTAAAAATCAAAATTTATATAATAAGAAGTTATTAAAAAAGTGAAATATTAAGAAACGTAATTTAATCATTTATAACTTATGATTTTTATTATTTTTGTTTGTTTATCAAAAAATACGTATATGTTAATGTGTTTATGCAGTTATAGGAATCAAAATTAAGTTATGTGTATATATAATCCAAAACAACGTTAGTTTGTGGGAAAGTTTACGGTTTTTCCAATGAATCCATATTAACATTTTTGAAGTATCTTTTGGAAAGTAATCTTTTATTTAGTATTATTTGCAATCATAAATCCTTTCCATTTGAATGAATAATAAAACGATAAGGTAAATTTTGTAATAACATAAAATAAAATTGCAAAACAAGAAATCAGTATTTATCATATTCAACAGAATTTCATAAAATCTCTCCCTAATAAATCAAATATTTCTATAATATATTTATATGATCATATTTGCTTTAAAATTTATATTATTACAGAAAACATATGTATACTAAAAATATAATTATTTCGCATATGTTACAATTTGAATAATTGAAAACAGACTTATATTACTCAATCGATACAAAAAAACAATTTATGTACTAAAGTATTACTAATAACTAGGTAATGTCCCGCGCATATGCGCGGGTTGTTGTATATTTTAGTTAATTAATTTTAATTTATTTATTACTTATAAAAAATAGAATAAATAAATTTTAATGCTTATGACATTTTTACACCTTATTTATTTTTATTTTTTTGGGCAAAACACCTTATTTATTTAAATCATACAATAGAAGCATACATCCATATCTCTTGAATTTATTCGTTGATTAATTGTTCCATTTTGATAGTAATTGTTTTCAGTCCTTTTGAGTATTTTTTGATAAAACAATAATATTTTTAATAATAAAAATAGAAATCATATTGGAAAAAATTTAAAAATACCCCTTTTCAAATACCACTTTTAAAATTTACCCCCTTTTCAAACTTTATCAAAAAAACCACTAAAAATGTTGAAATTTATTCAAATATGTGTGTAAGCTTATAAATATATACACAAATTACCTTTGTTTGTGTATACAATTTTATGTATTTCATTGTGTTACAAATTGGTTTGATAATTATATAAAAAAATTATTTTTTTAAAAGAATTACGTACTTTTGTTAATAAAATAAATATACATGAAAATAAACTAAATATACATGAGAAAGAAACAAACATCTAAAGTAAAAGAATGAAGATGGTTTCTTTAGCTTGATTTTCTTATGGTGCGATGGTCGGAAATCAATATTTTCTTGAATCCCATCGATAAAGTAATTTTCTTATGGCCATAAATATTATTATACATATGTATTATACATTTAATAGTATAAGAAAACAATGAAGAAATGATGAAGTACATACAACAAAAAAGAAATATAATTGAAAACAAAAGTTTAAACCAAATCATATATATAAAAGTAAGGTTTCACTCTCTCCTTATTGGTGGAAAAATATTTAAGGCTTTAATTTTTTTTAAATAAATAAATAAATGTTTATGACAATCATTCAATACAAAATTTAATTACACTATAAATTATAATCAAATGGCAAAGAAAATGAAAGAACTTAATCATATATCATTCAACAAAATAAATAAATAAATAAATGTTTATGACAATCATTCAATACAAAATTTAATTACACTATAAGTTATGATCAAATGGCAAATAAAATGAAATGACTTAATCATATATCATACAACAAATTTTATAAGCCTTATTGGTGGAAAATTATTTAAAATCATATATATAAAAGTAAGGTTACACTCTCTTTATTGTTCCATTTTGTATTTATTTTTTAAAATATAATATTTATTTTTAACCAAAAAACACATTTAATCATATACATTAATTCATACCTTAAATTCACACTTTACTACTAAAATGAAACTGAAAATTATATAAATTTCCAAAGACTATTGGTTTTCTTTATTGAATTCCAATTAAACACACTATAAATTATAATTATAACTCCTCTAATTTAATTATTTTAAAAATGTAACTTACATCACTTCTTATCATATAAATAGCCATTCTCACATCCTTCTCTACCATATCTCATCTCTTCATTATTCTCTTTGTTTTTTTTTAAAAGTTCTTGCATGGGGTGAAAACTCATTTAAAATATCATTGTAAGAGTTTGATTAATTATTTAGTTTAAACTTTTGTTTTCAATTTTTTTGTTTTGTTTTTATGTATTTCTTTATGTCTTCATTGTTTTTTATATTTTTAAATGTAATACATATGTATAATAATATTTTATGGTTATAAGAAAATCAAGCTAAAGAAACCATATTCATTCTTTTACTTTGGATGTTTGTTTCTTTCTCACATATTCATGTATATTTAATTTATTTTCAAAAGTATGTAATTTTTTAACAAAATAAACTTTTTGTTATATAATTATCAAACCAATTTGTAAGACATTCTTTTAAGAATAATGATCCTTATATTTATTTTGTGATTCAACATGTAATAATACAAAGAACATTATAATTTGTTTTAACTTTGAATTTTATACTTGATTTCCTATCTAAAAACAATTTGATATTCCATTTTCTATCTATTATATATACTACAAGGATGAAAAATATAATTAAACCTAGAAATAGAACTTAAATTAAGATGAATATAAAAAGAGATTAAAAATAAAATTATTTCTTGGGAATTTTTAAGGTTTCACTCTCTGCTTATGGGTCCATTTAGCATTCATTTTTTAATTATAATATTTATTTTTGATTAAACCAAATATCTAACACATTTAGTCATATACTTTAATTCATACTTGAAATTCACACTTTACTATTAAATTGTAACTTAAATTATATAACCTTTCAATTGACTATTTGTTTCCTCCATTTAACTTCAATTAACACACTATAAAATATAATTATAACTCCTCTGGTTTAATTATTTTAGAATTCTAACTTACATCATATTTTATCCTATAAATACTCATTTTTGCATCCTTCTCCACCATATCTGATATTCTCAATATTTTCTTTGTTTAATTTTTAATGTTCTTGCATGGGTTGAAAGCTCAATTAAGATATTATTGTTAGAGCTTGATTATATATTTGGTTAAAACTTTTGTTTTCAATTATATTTCTTCTTTATTTTATGTACTTCTTCATTTTTTCATTGTTTTTTTATACTATTAAATGTATAATACATATGTATAATAATATTTTATGGCTATAAGGAAATTACTTTATCGATGAGATTCAAAAATATTGATTTCTGACCATCGCACCATAAGAAAATCAAGCTAAATAAATCATTTTCATTGTTTTACTTTATATGTTTTTTCTTTCTCACATATTCATGTATATTTATTTTATTTTCAAAGTATGTAATTATTTTAACAAAATATTTTTTTGTTATATTCAAACCAATTTGTAAGACATTTTAATAAATAAAATTTTATACACAAATAAAGGTAATTTTTGTGTATATTTATAAGTTTACACACATATTTGGATAAATTTCAACATTTTTAGTGGTTGTTTTGATAAAGTTTGAAAAGAGGGTAAAATTAAAAAGTGGTATTTTTAAAGGGATATTTTTTAAATTCTCCCAATATCATTCCTATTTTTATCATTAACAATATTATTGTTTTATCAAAAAATACTTAAAAGTACTAAAGAAAATTACTATCAAAATTGATTAATTGAACAATTAATCAACGAATAAATTCAAAAGATATGGATGTATGCTTCTATTGTATGATTTAAATAAATAACATGTAAAAATATCATAAGCATTAAAATTTATTTAATCTATTTATTATAAGTAATAAATAAATTAAAATAATTAAATAAATATACAACAACCAGCGCATATGCGCGGGACATTACCTAGTATATCTTAATTGAGCTTTAAACCCATGCATGAACATTACAAAATAAAACAAAGAAAAATTGAGGGTACCAGATATGGTGGAAGAAGATGTAAGAAAGGGTATTTTTAGGATAAAATATGATGTAAGTTAAAATTCTAAAATAATTAAATTAGAGGAGTTATAATTATAATTTATAGTGTATTAATTGAAATTGAATGAAAGAAACAAATAGTCAATTCACAAATTATATAATTTTCAGTTACATTTTAGTAGTAAAATGTGGATTTCAAGTATGAATTAAAGTATATGATTAAATGTGTTAGATATTTGGTTTAATTAAAAATAAATATTATAATTAAAAATAAATGCTAAATGGACCAATAAGGAGAGAGTGAAACCTTAAAAATTCTCAAAGAATAATTTTATTTTTTAATCTCTTTTTATATTCCTCTTAATTTCAGTTATATCTCTAGGTTTAATTATATTTTTTTCATCTTTGTAGTATATATAATAGATAGAAAATTAAATATCAAATTGCTTTTTCGATAGGAAATCAAGTATAAAATTAATAGCTAAGAAAAATTATAATATTATTTATATTATTAAATCCCGAATCACAAACTAAATATAAGTTACATTATTCTTAAAAGAATGTCTTACAAATTGGTTTGATAATTATATAATAAAAATTTATCTTGTTAAAAAATTACATACTTTTGAAATTAAAATAAATATACATGAATATGTGAGAAAGAAACAAACATCCAAAGTAAAAGAATGAAGATGGTTTCTCTAGCTTGAATTTCTTATTGTGCAATGGTCAGAAATCAATATTTTTGAATCCCATCAATAAAATAATTTTCTTATAACCATAAAATATTATTATAATATGTATTACATTGAAAATATATAAAAAAAAATGAAGAAATGAAGAAATACATAAAAGCAAAAAATAAATAAAATTGAATACAAAAGCTTAAACCAAATATTTAATCAAACTCTTACAATGACATCTTAATTGGGATTTCACCCTATGCAAGAACTTTTTAGAAAAACAAAGATAATAATGAAGATATGAGATATGGTAGAGAATGATGTGAGAATGACTATTTATAGGATAAGAAATTATATAAGTTACATTTTAAAAATAATTAAATTAGAGGAGTCATAATTATAATTTATATTATTTTTAATTTAATTTAATAAAGAAAACCAATAGTCTCTAAAAATTTATATAATTTTCAGTTATATTTTAGTAGTAAAGTGTGAATTTAAAGTATGAATTAATGTATATGATTAAATGTGTTTTTTGGTTTAATTAAAAATACATATTATATTTTTAAAAATTAAATATCAAATGGACCAATAAGGAGAGAGTTAAACCTTACTTATATATATATATATGATTTTGTAGCACGGATCATGTGATAAAGCGGGTTATAATTTACATAATTATTACAATCGTTTAACCCAAAGTTAGGGATTGAAAAATTTGGGGATTTGTAGATGGATTCTAGTGGGAATTTTGAGAATTTCGAAACTTAATCGAGTTAAAACAAGTTTGGTTTGGTTAAGAAAATAGTAAACCAATAGAAACCAAGAGCTGGGGATAACTAGATCTTCAACCTTGATTTCGGGGGAATTTAGGTTTAGAACTTTTATTTTGGGAGGAAATAGGATTCGAACTTTGTTTTCGGAGATATCTACTTCGGGAAAATAGGATAGAACTTTATTTTCGGGGATATCTATTTATAACCTATGTAACAAGTTTGATACGTTAGTTCTCGGGTGAAATAGATCGTTTTCTTTGTAACCAGCTTATTGTATTAATGTATAGTTCCAAAAAAAAAAAAATTACAAAACAATATATGCATTCACATTAACTTCCAAACATAAGGGTGATCACTATAGAAACGTACAAGTACATAAAAAAAAGTTTTGAATCAAAACAAAAAGAAAAAGAAAAATACAATGCGGCTAAGGCACCCAAATGATCATACACAAACAAGTTATACAGAAATATCCAAGAAGTTATACCAGCAGATCTTAAGGCAACACTCTTTTCCATGAGGCGATGAAAGTCTCGACACTGCGGAGCCATGCTCGACGCCAAGGACAATCAAAACACATAAGTACAAGAATACATACCCATACGGTCACACAAGTTGCGGCAGTACTGAAACAGAATACCACAATGTCTATAACAGCTTCATTATCTCCTTTTTCTCCTCCATTACCTACTTCCTCTGTACTCTTTTCAGTCTCACAACTTCTCTTCGTCGGTGGTCCACAAAGAAGAGGATTCCCTAAGTAGTTTTTCTCATCGAACGTGTCAAAATGCCTTCCTTGGGGAATGATTCCTGATAAATTGTTGTAAGACACATCCAAGACAGCAAGAAAGTTAAGGCTAGTAAGTTGTTGAGGAATGCTTCCATGTAACATGTTATAAGAAAGATCAAGGCTCTCAATATCCTTCAGTTTGGAGAAGCTTGATGGTATAGAACTCGACAAGAAATTGTGAGATAGATTCAACACTTGTAGTTTCATGAGATCTCCAAGCTCTACTGGGATAACACCGCTTAGTTCATTTCTTGACAGATCCATGCCATACATGTAACCAAGTATTCCATGACCGAACTGAGATATTCCACTATAAGAATCATACCTTCGCTTCGACGCAAATTTGATTTCAATTCCATGAAAGATAGTGTAGTATTCCTCAAGCTTCTCCACAAAAAATGTCGATTTGTAAAATTCCAGCTTAGGTCCATCGAGATAGTAACCTTCGGTATTGTAGATACCCATCTCCTTATCTCCTCCTAGTCCGAATGATACATTGTATAGGCATGAAGGTATGGCACCATGGAGCTTGTTATCTGAAAGATCCAAAAGTCTCATGTTTCTCAAATCACACAACTGCATTGGAATAGATCCTGTTAAGTTGTTCCCCCTCAACAAAAGAATACTTGTGTCCTGTGTATTGACAAACTGTGGGATACTCCCAGAGAGTTTATTATTCCGCAAATCAAGTATCTCGACACTTTCCAACAATGTATCTGGAATTGGCCCTGTGAAATTGTTGTCGTGTAGGAACAAATTTATCGAGAACATACGATGAACATGTGACGGTAAAGATCCAGATAATAGGTTTCCAGAAAGGTCCAGAAACTCAAGAAATGACTTTCCTACCAAAGAATGTGGTATCGTACCTTCCAAGAAATTGTTTGATAACAATAATAAAGTCAAATAGGATAACTTAGATAACCAACTTGGAATAGCACCTTTGAGACAATTGTTGGACATGTCAAGTGTAAGCAATATAGTGGAGTTAAGTAAACCAACTCCGATCTTCCCAGAAAATAAGTTATTGTCTAAGCTCAACACTTGCATTGAAGTGAACCGAGTCCCTCGCAGAAGAACATGACCGCTAAATTTGTTGTGAGAGAGCTTCAAATATCTTAGTGACAAACAACCAGTGAAAAAGTTTATAGGAAGCTTCCCCGAGAAATTATTATAAGAGAGGTCCAGGAATGAAATATTCTTCATCTCCCACAAAGACGATGGAAACTGCCCTTGGAAATCATTAGTTGAACCATTCATATGCACCAGATTCGGAAGTGCACGACCAATATCATCAGGGAACAGCCCATCAATAGTATTTGCTGAAATATCCAAAACCTGCAAATTATGAACTATTGTAGGCATCCGAAAGATAGTGAAAGAGTTATTCTGCAACTGCAAGACTTCAAGTTCTGCATTATTAGCCAACAACCAAGTAGGAATGTCTCCGGATATTTTGTTGCTAGATAAATCAACTAGATGCAAGTTCTTCTGGTACTCGAAAAAGGAAGGGATTTTCTTCAAGCCGCAAAATCGTAGTACAACGACACTCAGTTGGAATTTCGGCTGCCAAGTACTCTCTGTCTCGACTTTTACCGTATCATACTTTGATGAAAGTTTGAACACTTTGAGCTTTGTGAGGTTGGTGAGTGGATTGAGCGAGAATAAGCCTGTGAAGTTGTTATCTAGCAATGATAGATATTCGAGGGACTCGAGGTTACTGAAACTAGATGGTAGATTTCCACTTAATTGGTTAGATGAGAGATCAAGAACCTGTAGCATTTTCAAGCTACCTAAACAAAGAGGAAGAGGACCTCCAAAATAATTTCCTTTGAGATTGAGCTCCCGCATATTCTTCATTTCACAAATTGCTGCAAAAGAAACATTCAAGAAAACCAAAAGATAGTGAGAACAATAAAAGTAGTTGTATTCTTCTCGAGAAGTCATTAGTATTATGTTGTTCATAGGTTACCTTCTTCTGGTATTGGCCCGTCCAAATAATTCTGAGCAAGACCAAGGACTTCCAAATTAGTTAAATTCTTTAGTTCTGAAAGAAAGTAAAGGGCATAAGATCATTGTCGAAATCTAAATAAGCTATGTTCATCTCCTTTAATGATATTTTTTTTCTTACAAAAAAAAAGAAAAAACTTACCTTGAAGTTCCATTGAGCTAGAAAATTTGTTGGAACTTAGATCCAGAGCTTTCAATTTTTTCAGGTGAGTAAACTCTACAACAAGACAAAGAGACAGATGGCAAGAAACATTTTATTAGTATGGATGAGATGAAAACTTCTACCCTGAAGTCAAATGGGAGTGACAAATGATCTTCGGATGTTACCTGAGATAGAGCCGTTTAATGAGTTATGACTGAGATCCAACATTTCCAAGTTTGTCAAGTCTTTTAGAACTGAAAGGGAGTCCAAGAGAATGTAAGAATTAAAAGAACTAAAATGAAGTGATCATTCTCTAAACATATGCAAATTATATTGTAATGATTACTACTTATAAAAAAAGACATTTTTCAATGACATATCCAAAGATACAACATCAATTGGAGAGTTGTGCTCGATAGGCACCTCGTTTTTTTTCTTTGAATCTAATGTTCAATTATATTCAAAGAAAAAATATCGTTTTTACAATATAGACACCTCGTTACAAATGGAGAAACACACCTTTTACAGGAAAAGGGCCATCAAAGTCGTTATTCCAGAGAAAAAGAGTAGTAAGTGAGGTAGCAGCATTAAGAAAAGGAAAGATGCTGTTGCTGAATCTATTTGAAGAGAGATCCAGAATTTCCAGGTTTCTTAGTGTTCTAAAGCTTTTATGTCCTACAAACGAAAAACAATATGGTTGGTAAAGTATTCCAAATAGACATTAGCCAGAAAATGATGCTGCAGAAAAAAAAAGGGTACCATAACCTTTTGATGCAGGGGAGATTTTAAGTAACATGGTACGTAGAAACGTTTCCAAATAGAGACCATAACTGTAAACCAGACACTATGATAATAAAGGTCATATTGGCATACCTTTAACATCATCGTAGAAGCCATAAAATTGGTTCAAGATCGTGAAACCGCTGTATTGGTTCTCTGATGATAAGTTCAAACTTCGAACCTCTTGAAAGGGATGTAGCAAAGAAAGATTTAGGAGAGTATTCTCTTTAAAGTCCATTTGGCCAATGGAAATCCCAATAACACGTCGATTAGTATGATTGCACTTGATACCCTCCCACCAACAACAATCACTCTTTGTATCATTAGTCCAAGTAGGGAGAACATCGTCAAAGCTTCTTGAGATCAAGTATGTCTTGAGCTCCAACAAAGCTTTTCTCTCTTTCTCAATGCAGCTTTTGCATCCATGTAGCTGCCCCAACATCAATACAAACCATATCAAGTACGCTTTCCCTTCCATTGCAAATAAAATTTAAACGCAAATGAAGTAAACTCCAAAACAATTTAGGACTTAGGAGTTCAATTCATTTCAATTTAGCATTTGAAATTCATGTGAAATGGATTAAGTCCGTGAGTAATCGCTATCATTTACTTTGAATTGTACGTACAATGAAAAGTCAAGGTCTTCTTTGTAGAAAAAACCTATTAAAATTTAATAAGTCAAGTCACGTATGAACACAGACAAATTGGAAAGGGAGGAAAAAAAAACAAGTTTAGCAAGTCGATGTCTTAAGTGGAACAATCTTCAAATGGTCTGATCACAAAACAGCATGACTTTGGTCTGATCACTAAAAAAAAATAAAACAATATACCTTAAAGTCTTATGAAGAAATCTCATGAGAAATCCAACTTTTAATTTCACGGCTGTACACAAACTTAGGGAAACAGAGATATTGCTCCTAGAAGCAGAGAGGGATATACTTTGTTTTCCCTAACGATACACAAAAGAAGATTTTCAATATTTCTACTGATTTATTCATGAGAGATATGTCGTGTGGAGACTCTTATTTATAACCATATCATATAGTTACAGAAACATTATTTGAGCTGAAATGAGTTTTTAAGGCAACATACTTTTCACTGAGGCGACGGAAGCATCCACAATGCGGAGCCATGCCCGTCGCCAAGGACTATCAAAGCACATAACTACAAGAACACCTATCAATGCAGTCACACATGTTGAAGCAGCAGTATAATAGAATACCACCATATCAATAGCAGCTTCATCGTCTTTTCCTTCTCTTCCTTTATCTGCTTCGGTTGAGCTCTTAGTAGCCTCACAGATTTTATCGGTCGACGGTCCACAAAGAAGAGGATTGCCTATGTAGCTTTTTTCGTTGAAGGTATTGAACTGCTTTCCTTGGGGAATGATTCCTGATAAATTGTTGTAAGACACGTCGAACACAGCAAGAGAAGTAAGGCTTGTTAGCTGTTGAGGAATGCTTCCTTGCAACTTGTTATGAGAAAGATCAAGACTCTCAATATCTTTCAGTTTGGAGAAGCTTGTTGGTATTGAACTCGACAATAAATTGTGCGATAAATTCATCACTCGAAGTTGCGAGAGATCTCCAAGCTCTGCTGGGATAACCCCATTTAGTTCATTTCTTGACATATCAATTCCATACATACGATCAAGTATGGAACCGGTAAACTCAACTGCTGCTCCAAAATAAGAATCATACCTTTTCTTGGTTGAAAATTTGATTTCAACTTCTTCGAAACTAAAGGATTCGACGTAGAAATCCTCTGTCACAAATGTGGATTCGTAGAATTTGAACATACGGACTGCTGAATAGGCTACACCTATCTCCGTATTCTTATCTCCCCCTGGTCCAAATGATAAATTATAGAGGCATGAAGGTATGACACCACTGAGCTTGTTATCTGAAAGATCTAAAAGTCTAATGTTGCTCAAATCACATAGCTGCCTTGGAATAGATCTTGTTAAATTGTTCCCTCTCAACAAAAGAATTTTTATGCTCTGGGTATTGATAAACTCCGGGATACTACCAGACAGTTTATTGTCCCGCAGATCAAGTATTTCGACATTATCCAAGAACGTGTGTGGAATCGGCCCCGTGAAGTTGTTCCCGCTTAGGAACAACTGTATCCCAAAATCCCCACCGACATGTGAAGGTAAGACTCCAGATAATTGGTTTTCAGACAGGTCAAGAAGCGAAATAGAGGGCATGGTTAGCAGAGAGGTTGGTGTTGTACCTTCTAACAAATTGTTTGATATCAATAACGTACTCAAAGTAGATAAGTTAGATATCCAACTCGGAATAGCACCCACGAGGTGATTGTTGGACATGTCAAGAGTTGACAAGGTTCTCTTGGAGCTAAGCAAACCAACTCCGATCTCCCCTCTAAATAAGTTGCTGTCCATTCTCAGTTCTTCCAGTGAAGTGAAGCTTGTTTCTCTAGGAAGAAAAAGTCCACCAAATTTGTTGTGAGAGAGCTTCAGTTGTTTTAGTGAAAGACAACCCATAAGAAAGTTTCTAGGTAGGTCTCCGGAGAAGTTATTATAAGATAGATCCAAGAATGTAATGTTTACCATCTCACCCGTAGACGACGGTAAATTCCCTTGGAACCCATTGTTCGAGCCATTCATTCTTACCAGATTCGGAAGCGCACGACCAATATTATCTGGGAATAGTCCAGTAATACTATTCGTTGAAAAATCCAAGAACTGCAAATTATGCACCACTGTAGGCATCTGAAAGATTGTAAATACATTATTCTGCAACTGTAATACTTCAAGTTCAGGATTATTCACCAACAGCCAGGTAGGCATGTTTCCGGATAATCTGTTGTTGGATAAATCAATTAGACGCAAGCTCTTCTGATACACGAGAAAAGAAGGAATTTTCTCCAAGCTGCAAACTCCAAGTACAAGAACAGTCAGTTGAAACTGTGGCTGCCAAGTAGCCTCTGTCTCGACTTTTATCATTTCAGATTTTGATGAAAGCTTAAACACCTGAAGCTTTGTCAGGTTTGCAAGTGGCCTGAGCGAGAACAAGCCACTAAAGCTGTTATCTGACAATGATAAATACTCGAGGGACTCAAGGCTACTAAAACTAGATGGTAGATTCCCACTAAACTGGTTTGATGACAGATCAAGAACCCGTAGCTTGTTCAAACTACCTAAACAAAGAGGAAGCTCGCCTTCAAAATGATTTCTTTTAAGATTAAGCTCTTGTAGATTCTTCATTTCACAAACTATTACGAAAAAAAACAAGACAATGAGAATTTCTATGTCATACGTAAAACTGTTTGTATGTTGTTCAAATTGATATTCATACACTTACCTGCATGTATAGGCCCACTAAAGCTATTTCCAACAAGATTCAAGAGTTTCAAGTTGATCAAATTCTTTAGTTCTGAAAATGAAATAAAGACCACAAGTTCTTTAGTTCTGAATTGCTATCACATAAACCAATTCAACAACAACTATGTAGAGAGTAGATTACAATCTATGGAGATGTATTACCTAGTATTTTGCCGTAATATCCGCCTCCACCCAGATTTAGCAGTTCCAAGTTTGTCAAGTTCTCTAGTCCTAAAAAAAGGAGTCAAATCTAACCAAAGATATAGATTAAGTAGGCACCTCACTAATAAAAGTGGAACTAATAACATACCGTTAATAGGAAAAGGACCATCGATGTTAGAATAACGAATAGAAAGCCCGATGATAAGACCACTTATAGGATAACAGTCAATGCCCTCCCACCGACAGCAATCGCTCTTTGTGTCATTAGTCCAACTAGGGAGAACGTTGTCCCAACTTGATTCTGAGCTCCTTGAGACCAAAGATTTCTTGAGCTCCAACAATGTTTTTCTTTCTTTCTCAACACAGCTTTTGCATATATGAAGCTGATCCAAGAGTAATATCAACCATATCAAGTATTGGCCCAAGGAAAGCTTCCTTTCCATTGGAAATTAAATAAACCCCCTCAACGCAATTTGGGTGCTGTGAGGTGAAGACAAAATAAGAGAAATTAAAGAAGATGTGACTGTATACTCAGAAAAAAAAGAATCGAAGTTTCAGTGAGTACCAACGCTTGAAATTGTATGATAGGCAAAGTCAAGGTCGTCGGTGGCTTAAAAGTTAAAACTCATCTATAAGTTAAGGCAAGTTGACGACAATGAACTCATTGGGATTGGGCCATTTTAAAAATAATTCTTTTAAATGAACAAAATATTTCTATTTGATTCTCCAAGCCAACCGAACCGAAGCAGAAGGTTTGGTTTTCATAAGTGCCTGCCTTGTTCATTATTTTTCTCATTCAGTCCACATCTGGATGGTCCATCTGAAGACTCTTAAGTAGATCATTTGAATAGATAGAGATGGTTCGTCCAAAGATAGAAAATGACAAATAATCTATTTTTACACAAAATTGTAAATGTATTTTTTTGGACAATACATGAGTTCACTATTAGGGGTGAACGTACATATTCACTCCTTCTTAGTTTAATCAATAATATGATAGTAATATATCACGTCATATTTTATTTAAAATGAAAATGAAAAAACGAAACAAATTGTGAAAACAAAATTTGTATACATATAGCCACTTTTTCCAATATATACAATAGAAACCCATATTTTATTATTTAATTTTTTTTATTCATGTTCATAACAATACAATGTGCTGAATACAAAATTAATTTAATACAGAAAAAAATATTTTTAACCTTTAAATTGTTACTAGATAACACTTTAGACCTTGAGAAAACTTCATACGCACTATACACCAGAACCATCAAAATAATTTTATAAAAAACTTTAAACTTTAGAACTACCTTTCTTTCTTTTTTTGCGCCAACATAAAAGACGATGGAACAATAACATCCACCAGCGTTAAATAATTCAATTTCGTTGGTTTAATTTTTATAATATAAATTTTGATTAACCAAATTTAATTTTAATTAATTTTATTATTTATTTCAACTATAAAAAAAAATCATTTTACAGTCCGACCGCGAATCTATCACCCAACCCCAAAATGGTGGTATTTTAGAGAATTTCCCATATAAATTCTACATTATTTTTCTAGGTTTTTCATACATTAAGAAAACATATAAAATTTGATAGTATTTGCATAATTTTTTGTGATTCACGGTTTTTAAAAATTCTAAACCAGTAGTATTTAGCTATTTACCTTGAAATTTTTTAATCCGAATTAATATTGCTTTGATAATTGATAATTTTATTAAAAAAATAATCTTTTTGAAACAATTTTTTATTCCTAAAAAATAATATTTTAGGAACAAGGGAGTATATATTTTTTTAATTGGGTTCTTTGTAGAAATTCAATAGAAACCCATATTTTGTTATTTAATATTTTCCATTTATATTCATAACAATACAATGTGCTGACAAAATTTAATACTGGAAAAAATATTTTAACCTTTAAATTGTTATTAGGTAATACTTTAAACCTTGAGAAAATTTCATAGACACTAGTCTATATACCATTGAAATAATTTTATAAACACTTTAAACTTTAAAAATATCTTTCCTTTTTGCGCCAACATAAAAGATGATGGAACGATAACATCCGTCAACATTAAATAATTAAATTTCTTTGGTTCAATTTTTATAATATAAATTCAGATTAATTGAATTTAATTTGAATTAATTTTATTATTTATTGCAACTAATTAAAAAACAAAAAAAAAAAAAAAAAAGATTTTACTTTAAGTATATTGTATGTTGAATCATAGTTAGTCGTACTCATATCAAACTATGGACTACAAGATATACTTAAAGTAAAAGATATGAAACCAATAAATGAAGAATCATATGTACAAGAGGAATGAGAAGTTAAGGAAAAATATTAAAGACAGTGAAGACTAAAATAGATAAAGATTTGCTTGTCCATATCACCTTTTCTGTGGGGAGCCGGAGGAAACAAGGGATCACCTTTTCTTTTCTTGTCCGTATTCTTTAACGCTTTGGTCTTCTTTCGCACGTAAACTCCTCCGTAATCACCTCCGGTATGGGATGATGCATTTGCGCCAATAATGTCTCACACTGGGGATGTGAACATGACTATCTTGTTGCGTCTTTGTTTTCAAGTGGCGCTCTACTCCATTTGACGGAGCGAAATGCTCGTATTCATGGCATGGATTGGTACCACAGCTGCTCTGTAATATCGACAACCTAATACGTAATTGCATCGATCACATCTCTGGATTATTCAAAGAAACCACACCTTCGACTCCTAATGCAACGCTGGATGATGATCAGACCTTAGAGCCACGTTGTTTAGTTATTTGATGCTCAGTTTTCCTTATAGTTTTTGCTCTGTAATCTGGTTATTATAACTCTTGTATATATATTTTTTTCCTCTTCTTTTGATTAATAAATTACACTTTTCAACAGAAAAAACAAAACAAAAAAAGAGATCAAGATTCATCGATTTGTACTGAGAAATCAATCGATTTGAATCAAAACTCCGTGGAGATGCATATATCAAAATGATTAATGTGAAAAGAACATGTGTGTCTATAAGGAGGATGAACAGAGAAATAATTTGGTTTATTTACATCAACAATCTATATAAATATGTGACCTATTATTCTTTTCATTTATTTATTGTAATTTATACAAAATCTATCTCATTCGATATATGTGACCCCTTGTTTAGTCTTGCTTATTTTATGTCTATATACTTTATTGTGTGCTTGTTTGGATCTCCATGGATTTAATCCCTAAGTACTAGTACGAGTGTACGACTCCAATTGCGCACTTGCGGTTTTCTATTGGGTAAAATTTATTTACACATCAATACACTTACTATTTTAATCTATTGGATGGAATGCATAAAATTAGAATACGATTTATTGTGATGAGATAGACAATTGATTAAAAACAAATAAACAAAATAGAATGTATAATGTTAAAATTAGATTTAAAACCAAATTTACAACTTTAAATATTAAAAATTTAAATTTATTCATACAAATATGCGTTCACACGGACCGTTATCTAATATTAAAAAAAATAGATTTAAGTTTACTGAACTGAAACAAAATTAGATTCAAGTTTTTGGACTGAACTGATCTTTAATGAAATATGTTTTTAGCATAAGCAATGAAACCATCAACAATGCAGAGCCATGCTCGATTCCAAGGACAATCAAAGCACATAAGTGCAAGAATACCTATCAATGCGGCCACATAAGTTGATGCAGTACTAAAAGAGAAGACCAACATGTCAATAGCAGCTTCATCCTCTTCTTCTTCTCTTTCATTCATTGCTTCCTCTGAGTCCTTCTTAGCCTCACAACTTCTATTGGTCGGTAGTCCACAGAGAAGAGGATTGCCTATGTAGCTGTTCTCGTCAAAGGTATTAAATTGCCTTCCTTGGGGAATGATTCCTGATAAGTTGTTGTAAGAGACGTCGAACACAGCAAGAGAAGTAAGGCTGCTTAGCTGTTGAGGAATGCTTCCCTGCAACTTGTTATGTGAAAGATCAAGGCTCTCAATATCCTTCAGTTTGGAGAAGCTTGACGGTATTGAACTCGACAAGAAATTGTGGGATATATTCAACACTCTTAGTCTCAAGAGATCTCCAATCTCTGTCGGGATAACACCACTTAATCTATTGTTTGAAAGATCCATCGCATACATAAGCCGAAGTATTCCTTCCCTGAACTCAGATCTTCCACTATAAGAATCATACCTTTGCTTTGCTGCAAACTTGATTTCAACTTCTTGATAGGTCGAGCGGTCTACTTCGATCTTATCTACCAAAAAAGTGGATTTGTATAATTCCAGCTCAACGCTCATTTGATTAAAAGATGGTGGAATGTTGAGAGCAGTTGTGTCCTCTTGTAAACGACCAAATGACATATTATATAGGCATGACGGTATGAAGCCATTGAGCTTGTTGTCTGAGAGATCTAAAAGTCTGATGTCTCTCAAATAACAAAGCTGCCTTGGAATAGATCCTGTTAAACTGTTTCCCTTCAGCAAAAGAATATTTATGCTTTCGGTATCGACAAACTGCGGGATACTCCCAGAGAGTTTATTGTTCCGAAGATCAAGTATCTGAACACTTTGCACCAACGTATTCGGAATTGACCCTGAGAAGCTGTTGTTATGTAAGAACATAGATATCCCCCAAACACCATCAACACGCGACGGTAAGGCTCCAGAAAGATTGTTTCCAGAAAGGTCAAGAAACGAGAGAAAGGGCATTCCCAACAAAGAAGGTGGTATCGTACCTTCTAAGAAATTGTTGGATAGCAATAAGAAATCCAAATAATGAAACTCAAACAACCATCTTGGAATAGCACCACTGAGACCATTATTGGACATGTCAAGGATTCGCAAAAAAGTGGAGCTAAGCAAACCACCTCCAATCTTCCCCGTAAATAAATTGTTATCCATTCTCAACACATCAAGTGAAGGGAAGTTTGTTTCTAGTGGAAGAACCGCGCCGCTAAATTTGTTGTGAGAGAGCTTCAAGAATATCAGTGAAACACAACCTGTGACAAAGTTTCTTGGTAGCTTCCCATAAAAGTTATTATAAGACAGGTCCAAGAATGAAATATTCACCATCTCACCAATAGAAGATGGGAAGTACCCTTGGAACCCATTATTCGAGCCATTTAAACGTACCAGGTTTGGTAGTGCATGGTCCATATTATCAGGGAACTTCCCAATATTATTAGCGGAAAAATCCAAGACCTGCAAAGTATGCACTGTTGTAGGCATTTGAAAAGTAGTGAATGAATTATCTTGCAACTGTAAGACTTCAAGTTCTGGATTATTCTCCAAGAGCCAGCTAGGAATGTTTCCAGATAACTTGTTGCTGGATAGATCAACTAGACGCAAGTTTTTCTGGTACGCGAGAAATGAAGGGATTTTCTCCAAGCTGCAAGATCGTAGTACAACCACATTCAGTTGAAAATTTGGCCTCCAGGTACTCTCTATTTTGACTTGTACCGTACGGGATCTTGATGATAGTTTAAACATCTTGAGCTTGGTAAGGTTAGTGAGCGGATTGAGGGAGAATGAGCTGGAGAAGTTGTTATCTGACAATGATAGATATTCAAGGGAGTGAAGGCTGCTGAAACTAGATGGTAGATTTCCACTAAACTGGTTGGATGAGAGGTCAAGAACCTTTAGCTTGTTCAAGCTACCTAAACAAAGAGGAATCTCGCCTACAAAATGATTTCCTCTGAGATCGAGCTCGCGCAGATTCTTCATATTACAAAATACTGCAAAAAAAAGATAATTTCGAAAAGATAAACGTGAATAATAAGAGAAATTTTATACTCCTCTCAAGAAGTCAGTAGATACTTCTCATACATAATCTTGAAAGTGAAGCAAACAAAGGGGTACCTTCTGTTGGGAGAGGTCCGTCTAAATGATTCTGAGCAAGACTCAAAACTTCCAAGTTAATCATATTCTTTAGTTCTGAATTAATTAACAGCCAAAATATAATATTGTATGTTACAAGATGATCATCAGCGATAAGCTTTATTCATCTCTATTTATAATATTTTTTTTAAAAACGTTACAAGAAAAAACAAGCTTACGTACCTTGCAATTCCATTGAGCTAGAAAAATTATTCGAACTTAGATCTAGAGCTCTTAGCTTTTTCAGATGAGTTAGCTCTACCACAAGACAAGGAAACACATAAAAAGGAGATACCTATAAATATATAAGTTGATATGGCATAAACCAATTATACAATTAAGTAGTAGCAATTGTTGTAGATGCTACCTTGCATGGAGCCTCTTAGTGTGTTTGCTCTTAAATCTAGCAGTTCCAAGTTTTTCAAGTCTTTTAGTGCTGAAAGGGGAATCCAATTGAATAATTATTTAAGTATAACTAAAAATTAACTGTGCTCCATAGGCACCACCCTACTACCTTAGAGCACACACATTGGCGTGTTTACACTTCGTCCCACGTCTCAAATACACAATATTTGTTTTAAAAGTAAATGAGAAATACAATGATTGTGTAGTAACGTTTCTTAAAACGGTACAACTATCACTCGTCCTTCAAGCCACGTGGGCATTGTTGATTGGTTTTTTTTTCTTTCTTTCTTTTGTTGATTGGGTTACGTTTTTTTTTTCTTTTTTTTTTGTTATTATGGGTGATGTATTTTTTATAGGGCAAAAAATTTTAATGAAAAAATATCTCTTTTATGTAATAAATACAAAATAGCAAATGTGATGCAGCGAGATATTCCAAATATCTCTTATTATTATCTCTTAATTTATTTATTATAATTATTCTAGAATATTCTTAGTTTTAGGGTTTTATGCTTTATTATAAATAGGCTTCTTAAGCCTCCTATTGTATTCAGTTATTTGATATATTGATTAATCGAAAGATTTAAAGAGGTTTTAATAAACCACTGTGAAGAGTATTCACAAATCCAAGAGCTTTTGCGAAAGCCCTGAGAGGAGGACTCTCAAACCCTAGATTTCCGGGTATTCTGAGAATCAACGGATCTCTAGTCCTATCCCTAGAAGCTTCCGCTCCATCAAAATGTTACGAGAACATGCATATTACTACATAATATGATTCTCGTAGATGAACGATATACATACAATAAAAAAAATCTCCGTAACGTTTCTAAATTTCAACACGGAGAAGATGTGGATCAAACATATACCATTGGTGCCGCCGGTATGAATTCAAATATCGGCACAACGATTACTCGTCGAACAAAACTTCAGGATAAACAAGTTCATAAACAATTAAAAGATGATTTGATTGAGCATATTTGGACTAATTTTGGACATCTTCCAGATAATGAAGATTAATTTTAAAATTTCTATGAATTGAATAAAATGTGTGTTTAATCTTATATATATTTAATGTCTTAATTGTATGTTTTTCCTATTTTCAACTTTTTGTAACTTTGTAATTTTTAATGTTTCGAATGTTAATGTTATATGTTTTATATTAATTTAATCTTTAATATGTTTTTATTTATTAATTAAAATTATAAATTTTTTAAAACTCAAAATATTATTATTTTAATCATGGGACAAAAAATATGGGACACCAATGCTCATACACAAAAAATAAATAATTGTCTCATGATCAAAATAATCATATTTTAACTATGGGACCAAAATATGTAGGACACCAATGCCCATGCTCTTAGAACTAGAAAACTCACCTTTACTAGGAAAAGGGCCATCCATTTCGTTATACGGGAGAAAAAGAGTTGTAAGTGATGTCGCGGCATTAAGATAAGGTAATATGCTGTTGTTGAAATAATTTGTTGAAAGATCTATGATCTGCAAGCTTCTTAATCTACTTAAGCTTTTATAACCTGCAAACAATATATATCTTGTCAACACGTATACAGAAAAATAATATAGCAAAATAGTAGTTCTTATTTCTCTACATGCAAATGGTACTAAGGGCATGGGCATCCTTGGGTCCCAAATTTTTTTTTCTTTTTTTCTTTTTCTTTTCAGATTTATATATTAAAAAAAAGGGACGGACGGTCCTGTTTGGAGAAACGACCCAATTTTTTCTTTTTTTCTTTTTTTTGTGCCAAAAAACTGGGGGACTGCCCATAGGACCTGCAATGCCCATGGTTTAAGAGAGTTGAATTGTATGGACTCTAGAAGAAAACGGGGTTGGCCATGAGATGTAACTATTGTTAGTATTATAACTTTTCCATGCATGGGAAAAATCTAAGTAAACAGTTTGAAACAAAGAACTACTTGTATAGCCTATCTAGCTAGAATCTACATTTTCAATGTAAGTAAAAATGTCTCCAAACAGAAACCACAAGGGCAAAACTATATGCGGAGAAAAGTGTGGACATACCTTCTACGTCATCAAAGAAGCCATTGAATTCATTGTATCCGTCCGTAGATAAGTTCAGACTTCGAACCTCTTCAAAGGGATGAAGCAAGGAAAGATTTAAAGGAGAGCTCTCTTTAAAGTACATATTACCAACAGAAAGCCCGATAACCCGCCTGATTGTACGATTGCATCTAATGCCCTCCCACTGGCAGCAATCACTCTTTGTGTCATTTGTCCAAGTAGGGAGAACATAGTCGAGTCCTGATTCTCGACTCCTTGACATCAAGTAGTTCTTGAGCTCCAACAAAGCTTCCCTTTCTTTCCCAATGCAGCTTTTGCATCCATGTAGCTGCCCCAACAGTAATATCACACATATCAAGTATTGGCTCAAGAAAAACTTCCCTTCCATTGCAAGTAAGATATTAAAAAAAAAAAAAAAAAAGAGAGAGAATGAAATAAACTTCAGTTGAAAAATTTTGGAAGTGTGAGTTCACTAACGAGAAATGATTGTTGAATTTATAAATAAATAAAGTCAAAGTGTTTGTTAGTATAAACACTTGAAATTCATGTACATGCATAAGTGAGTGACCACTATCGTTTACTTTGAAATTGTATAATAAGACAAGTGAAAGTCATCTTTGAAGATGACAGCCATAATTATCGGATAATATATGTGTGGCTTATTAGTTATGTGAAGGATACGACTTTTGTATTCCATGTGGCTGCCCCCAATAGTCAGATGAATTTTGACCCAAGAACACTTTCCCTTTCATTGGATGGGCAAAACAGTTTTGTTAAATTTTGGAATACTTCTTTCCATAATTCATTCACTAACTAAAGTTTTAAAATCTTTAAATTCATGAATTTACGTGTATTCGAATTTCACTTGTTAGAGAGACTGGAGCAAAGAGAAAGCAAATAGAATAAAGGGTTATATAGTGTAGAGAATATTGGCAAAAAAAATAGGGGATTTGTTTTCGTTTTAAATCATTGTCTCTCTTCCATAGTGTAGAGACTCTTATTAATAACCATGTAACTTGTAACGTAAAATACATAGCACACATATAGTAGTAACTGAGGAAGTGACTTCAAGAAAACATACTTTTCGCTGAGGCAATGGACGCATCAACTATGCGGAGCCATGCTTGACGCCAAGGACAATCAAAGCACATAAGTGCAAGAATGCCTATCAACGCGGTCACATAAGTTGAAGCAGTACTATAATAGAATACCAACATGTCAATAGCAGCGTCTTCGTCTCCTTCTCCTCCATTACCTGCTCCCTCTGTACTCTTTTTTTCCTCGCAACTTATCTCTGTCGGTGGTCCACAAAGAAAAGGATTGCCTAAGTAGCTGCTCTCGTCGAAGGTGTCAAAATGCCTTCCTTGGGGAATGATACCAGATAAATTGTTATAAGACAATTTCAAGACAGCAAGAAAATTAAGGCTGGTAAGTTGCTGAGGGATGCTTCCTTGCAACATGTTATGAGAAAGATCAAGGCTCTCAATATCCTTCATTTTGGAGAAGCTGGACGGTATAGAACTCGACAAGAAATTGTGAGATAGATTCAACGCTCGTAGTTTTGAGAGATTTCCAAGATCTTCAGGGATAACACCACTTAGTTCATTGCTTGATAGATCCAACCCATGCATATAATCAAGTACTCCTTTGTCGAAACCAGATCCGCCAAAATAAGAATCATACCTTTGCTTTGTAGCAAATTTGATCTCAATTTCTTGAAAAGTAAAGTAGAATACCTCAAGCTGCTCTACCATGAACGTGGATTTGTAATTAAATTCCAAATGAAGAACGTCTGTGGTGGGAGTCCCCAAATTGTACTTAGATTCCTCTCCTCCTCCAAATGATAAATGACTGAGACATGTAGGTATGAAGCCATTGAGCTTGTTATCTGAAACATCTAAAAGGTCGATGTTGCTCAAATCACACAACTGTCTTGGAATAGATCCTGATAAATTGTTCCCTCTCAACAAAAGAATCCTTATGCTTTGGGTATCGACAAACTGTGGGATACTTCCAGAGAGTTTATTGTTCCGCAGATCAAGTATCTTGACACGTTTCAAGAATGTGTTCGGAATTGCCCCTGTGAAGTTGTTGTTGTCTAGGAACAAAATTGAGCTAGGAGAATGCGACGGTAAGGACCCAGACAATAAGTTTCTAGAGATGTCCATAAACAGAAGTGAGACCATGTTCATCAAGGAATGTGGTATTGTACCTTCTAATAAATTGTTTGATACCGAGAAAAACTGCAAATTAGATATTTCGGATATCCAACTTGGAACAGTACCTGAGAGACCATTGTTAGACATGTCTAGAGCTTGCAACGTATTGTTGGAGCTAAGCAAACCAACTCCAATCTTTCCTGTAAATAAGTTGTTGTCCAATCTCAATACCTCCATTGAAGTGAAGCTAGTTCCTTCCGGAAGAAAATAGCCACTAAATTTGTTGTGGGACAGTTTTAAGTACATAAGTGAAAAACCGCTCATAAGAAAGCTCATCGGTAGCATTCCCGAGAAGTTATTATAAGAAAGGTCCACGAATTTAATGTTCTTCATATCCTCCAGAGACAATGGAAGATACCCTGAGAACCCATTATCCGAGCCATTCATATGTATCAGATTTGGAACCGCGCGACTGATATTATTAGGGAACAGCCTAATATCATTTGCTGAAAAATCCAAGAGCTTCAAATTGTGCATTATTGTAGGCATTTGAAAGGTAGTGAATGAATTTTTCTGAAACTGTAAGACTTTGAGTTTTGTATTATTCACCATTATCCAAGTAGGAATGTCTCCAGATAATTTGTTGCCAGATAGATCAACTAGACGCAAGTTCTTCTGGTACACGAGAAATGAAGGGATTTTCTCCAAGCCGCAAGATCGGAGTACAACAACACTTAGTTGAAATTGTGGCTTCCAACTACTCTCTGTCTTTACTTGTACCATATCAGATGCTGATGACAGTTTTAACACCTCCAGCTTTGTGAAATTGGTGAGTGGGTTGAGTGAGAATAAGCCGGTAAAGTTGTTGTCTAACAAAGATAGATATTCGAGGGACTCAAGGCTACTGAAACTAGATGGTAGATTTCCACTAAACTGGTTGGATGCAAGGTCAAGAACCTTTAGCTTGTTCAAGCGACCTAAACAACGAGGAAGCTGGCCTACATAATGATTTCCACCAAGATAGAGCTCCCGCAAATTTATCATTCTACAAACTACGGCATAAAGATAATGAGAATAGTTAGAATAATTGTATTCCTCTAGAGAAGTCAGTAGACACTTCTCATAAATAACCTTAAAGGTGAAGCAAACAAAGGTCACCTTCTATCGGTATAGGTCCGACGAAATCATTGTCACCAAGACCCAAGACTTCCAACTTAGTCAGATTGTTTAGTTCTGAAATCATTTTGAAGGCCAAAAGGTTTTACTTCAAAAAATGATCTTTGTCGAAATGTAAATAAGGTAAATTCATCTCTTCTCATTATTTAAAAAAAAAAACTTTATGATAAGAAGCAAGCTTGCCTTGCAATTCCATTGAGCTAGAAAATGTATTCCAGCCTAGATCTAGAGCTTTCAGCTTTTTCAGGTGAGTCAAGTCTACCACAAGACAAAGAGATGTAATATGGATAAGACAGTTTTTTAGATTGCATAAATCAATTCAACACTTATTTACGAAGTTAAATCGGTTAAAAATCATACTTAGAGGACAAATGACAATATGACAATTAAAGTAGATGTTACCTGGCATTGAACCATGAAAACTGTTTAGACTCAGATCCAATAGTTTCAAGTTTGTCAAGTCTTTTAGTTCTGAAAGGAGAAGCCAATTAAAAATATAAGGATAGTTAGAAGAAAAATAAACACCATATATGACCAAACAAAACACACCTTTTGCAGGAATAGGGCCTTTCATGAGGTTTGAACGGAGAAAAAGAGTTGTAAGTGAGGTAGCGGCATTAAGAAAAGGGAAGATGCTGTTGTTGAATCTATTTGAAGAGAGATCCAAAATTTTCAGGTTTCTTAGTGTCCTTAAGCTTTTATATCCTGCAATTGAAAGAAAAAAAATTATCTTTAACATCATCAAAGAATCTAGACACTATGATAATAAATTTTGGTATACCTTTAACATCATCAAAGAAGCCATTAAATTGGTTAAAGTATTCGTATTCGCTGTATTGGTTCCCTGATGATAAGCTCAGACTCTGAACCTCTTCAAAGGGATGCAACAAAGAAAGATTAAAGAGAGAATACTCTTTAAAGACCATAAAACTCATGGAAAGCCCGACAACCCGCGTGGTTGTACGATCGCATTCAATGCCCTCCCACTGGCAACAATCGCTCTTCGTGTCATTAGTCCAGGTAGGGAAAACATAGTGAGTGTACCCTGCTGCACTCCTTGATACCAGGAACTCCTTGATCTCCAATAAAGCATTCCTTTCTTTCTGAATACAGCTTTTGCATCCATGTAGCTGCAGCCCCAACAATAATACCACCCATATCAAATATCGGCCCACGAAAAGCTTCCCTTCCATTGCAAGTAAGATTTAAAGGAAAAAAGCAAATTATATGATATGAATTCCAAAGAAATTTACGAGTGTGATATATATGATCGTATATTTAGAAAAATGGACGTCTCTGTTGATGATAACACTAAAAAGTCATGAGATAATGCGTTAAGTGAGTGACCACTATCATTTACTTTGAATTGTATGATAGACCAAGTCAAGGTCCACAAACGAATAAGATCCACATATACACGCCGTAAGTAAACTCAAGTCAGAAGACAAACTTACTTGTGGGTTTATTATGTTCACATCTCACACTTGTAAGTGAAGATAAATCAGAAACAGAGATCAATAAAGCTGAGCATACTCAAAGATATATATTCTAGTCGATAAAAATACGCAAAGATGTTTGTAAATTGGCCATTGAAATGAGTTGCAATATAATAGAATCATCAACTCAAACAAAGAGAAGTAATTCTGAACAGACAAAAGTTGTTACTTTTGTCAATATTACGACAGAATTTATCAGTTCTTGATTGAGTATTGAGTTAGTTTATAAAATTTCGTTTGGTCAGATACGAATAGGCAACTTTGTCCTGGAGCACATAGACATGCCGGTTCTTCTGCCTCAGCTTCGAAATCGTAGAAGCTGATTCTCTTTATAAGTATACATTAGAATTTTGGTGTTTTTTTCTGTGGGATTTAAGATTTGTGTGTGGGAAGTGATAAAAGAAACTCGAAGGAGGACACATCACACGAAATATGTTTTAGGCCATGAATGGTTGTTGGTTTTTAAATAGTTTTTAAATTATGGTTTTTGGTTTTTGATTTTAAGGTTTTTTAGTTTTTGTAATAGATATTATTTTTTGGTTTTATTTTTATTTTTTATACATAATAGAAAGAAAAGAAAAAAAAGAGAAGTTTCGTCATTATTTTCTTAAAATCACAAATATGTGGATTTTAGTTTCTATTCTAAATTGTTAAGAAAACTTAAAAACTAGTTTCCCTATTTTTTAGGGAATCTATTTAGTCTAAAATCTTGAATGGAGAAAAATTGGGTTTTTGAAAAACAAAATCCAAAATCTATTGTAGAATCTATTGAGAAATTGATACTAATAACTTTTTTATGATACCCTCTTTTAAAAATACCCTCTTTTTTTGTCATTTTTATTTTTGCCTTCTCTTAAATTTTAATGGCCATTTTACCCCTTAAAATTTCCCCCAAAAATTTCCCGCCAAAAAAAATTCCGAGAAAAATTTTCCTACCAAAATATTTCAGCAAAAAAACAATTTAAAGTGTTTACAAGAATTTTTAAAATGTTTTTTAAAGGGTTTACAAAGGTTTTTAAAGGGTTTACAAGGGTTTTTAAAGGGTTTACAAGAGTTTTTTAAGGGATTTACAAGATTTTTTAAATGGTTTTAAAGAGATTTGTAATGGTTTTTTAAGGGTTTTTAGAAGCTTAAAAAGGTTTTTGAATGGTTTTTAAATTATTTACAATGGTTTTTAAAAGTTTTTATAAGTTTATAAAATTAAAAGGATTTACAAGGATTTTTTTAAAGATTTTAAAAATTTACAACGAATTTTAAAGGTTTTATAATTGATTTACAAGTGTTTTAAAAGGATTTACAAGTGTTTTTAAGGACATACAAGGATTTAAAAATAGTTTTAAAGGATTTACAAGGGGTTTTAGAAGTTTACAGAGGTTTTTAGAGGGTTTACAAAAGTTTTTAAAGGTATTACAAGTTCTTTTAAATGGTTTTTAAGGATTTACAAGGGTTTTAGAAGTTTACAAAAAGGGTTTAAAGGGATTTACAAGTGTTTATAAATGTTATAAAATGATTAACAATAGTTTTAAAAGGTTTAGTCAAATTTTGAAAGGTTTTGGATGACTTTTAAAAGATTTACAAGGTTTTTAAAAGATTTTTAAAGGATTTAAAAATATTTACAAGGTTTTTTAAGGGTTTTTAAGGAATTACGGAAAAAATTTCAGCTTAGCGGGGAATTTTTTTGCGGGAAATTTTTGTCGGATAATTTTTTGCAGGAAATTTTTGTCGGAAATTTTTTGCGGGAATTTTTTTGGAAGGAATATCCTTTTTGTTGGAAAGAATATTCCTTTATTCATCATGAGTTATCAAAAAGGAGGGTAATTTAGTCATTTTGTACATTGAAGAGATTATTTTTGAAAATGGACACCAATTGGGGTACTTATAGAAAAGGATATCATAAAAAAGTTAGTTTTGCAAATCAATTAATACCAATAACCTTTTTATGATACCCTCTTTTGAAAATACTCTTTTTTTTTGTCATTTTCATTTTTGCCCTCTCTTAAATTTTAATGGCCATTTTACCCCTTTTAAAAAGAATATTCTTTCCCAAAAAAAGAATATTCCTTCCAAAAATTTCCCCCCCCAAAAATTTCCCGCCAAAAACTTTCCCGCCAAAATTTTTCCCGCCAAAATAATTTCCGAGAAAAATTTTCCCACCAAAAAACTTTCCGAGAAAAATTTTCCGCAAAAAAACAGGACGTAGAACACTCGAGAAACACCTTGAGAGCAATTTAGAGTCAAACTCTTACTCTTTGCTCATTTCTCTCAACTTTCAGAAAGTAACAAAACTCTAAAAATGAAAGGAAAGACGGTTGCATCGAGTTTAAGTCAACCTAGGGTTGTTCCCAAGCCAAAAATTGAGCTTAACCGACGATTTAAACTAAATCATCCAACCCAAACACTTTATGGGTGTCGATTGACACTCCTTTTTCTTTATCACAAGCGTTACATTTTCATACATGAGAAATTCAAGCCATAAAAAGTTGGTGGAGTCTACAGTGAAAGATATGGTGGTATTTCTTTGACGGATGAGTGTCCATGAGATAGGAAAGTCTCATAAATCTGTGTATTTGTAACATTTTAACTAATGGACGCTTGTGATTTATTTTAGTTTTATCTCCTAGATAGGATAGATTTTCACACATGAAAAATTCAAGCCATGAAAATTTAGTGAGGTCAACGGTGGAAGATGTGGTGGTAACTCTTTGACAGCTGTGTGTTTTGGAGAGAAAGTAATCTCGTAAGTCCGTGTATTTGCAACATTTTAACTAATGGACGGCTGTGATTTATTTTAGTTTTATCAACTAGATATGATAGATTTTCAAATATGGAAAAGTCAAGCCATAAAAATTTAGTGGGCTCTACCGTGGAAGATGTGGTGGTAACTCTTTGACTGCTAAGTGACCAAAAGAGAAAGTAATCTCGTTAATCCTTGTATTTGCAACATTTTAACTAATGGACGGTTGTGATTTACGACAGTTTTATCTGCCAGATAAGATATATTTTCTGATATGAGAAAGTCAAGCCATAAAAATTTAGTGGGGCATACGGTGGAAGATGTGGTGGTAACTCTTTCATAGCTAAATCTAGAGTATAAATAAAACTTGCAATGGAGAGTAGTCTACAGTAAAAGATTGGCTAGATCTAAGGAGTGGAGGGTTTCTCATTCACGAATCGAGGTATTACATATTGTTTTTGTTACGAATCAAAATTGTTATCTATGATAGTCTAAGTCGTTGTAGATCTAAAATGAATGTTAAAAGTATCACAAAAGTTCAAATGTATCTAGAATCAAACGTATCCAGAAATGTTTATTTATTTTAGTTTACTTTCTGATGTTTCTACTGCTTTACTGATGCTTTTAAACTATTGTTTTATATCTCTATTTTCTTTTTGTTACAAATTCATTTCGTTATCTCTGACATAGTAAATAATGGTTGATGTAAAAGCTATTTAAGAAAAACAAAAAAATACAGTTTACTTTTTTTTTTTTTAATAATTTTTTATTTTAATCACTTTAAGTGATATCTTAAAAAAATTGAGAGGTGAGCGCCACTCATTTCTCTTCTAAATCATATCTGTCGATCAGTGTGAATTTAAATCATTTCAGACTCAACTAATTCATCGTTTCAGTCAAAAATCAATTGTGGAATTGACTTGAGATTTGATGGACCAAAAAAACTCTTCTTATGGTACTCTTACCAATTCATAAAGGCTTGTTATCTAATAACATTTTCTTCAGAAGGAAATATTATATATATATATATATATATAATGAATTCATGCTATATTAATTTCTATAATGTTTTAAAAAAAAAGGTTTACATACATTTTCCTTCTTTTTTTGTTTGGTCAACAATAAGCTTTACCTTTGATAGCATTTCTAGTCAAAAGTCTTGCCTTTTACAAAGATTTGTTTCATTTTTTGGATAAATTTCCTATTAAATTACATTATATTTTGTTCCAAAAATGTCTAAAGTGATTTATATCTAATTATATGTTTAGTATATATATGTGCCATACATATGCATAGTGGAACACTACCTTATTTTTACTGAAAAAGGTGAAAAAGTGGGAACATTTTCTTTTGTTTAGAACTTTTTTATTTCTGAAAACATTAAATGCCTTATATGATATATCAATTAATTATTTTGTGAGCTTTTCATACGACATGTATATATATATTTACTATCTGGATCCATAGCACCCAACCATTAGAAGCATGCTTGCTTGCTTACTTAATTTGCTAGTCCTTTAGTCTCCGTTCTCATTCAAGTCCTTGTATTGTAAGATACACATTTATCATTTTTATTAATATGATTTTAATTGCTGTCTTAGATTTTCAGGTTAAGCAAGCTTTGATTCTTTATGCAAGTTTCGTCCTCTGCCTCACTCGATCTCTCTTCGTAGACATGAATTTGTTGGTTTTGAAAAGCGGGTAATAATCACCAAATTTTAATTTTTAGTGTTTTAGTAAATAATCATGTTCTTCTAACAAGATGGATGATCATATTTGCTGTCCTCTAACATGATGGATGATCATATTTGCTGTCTTACAGGAACGATGTTCAAAGGCCAATTCCACCTAAGAATAGAGAGCATCTATCTCAGAGCAAGGTTAGTAGTATGGCTAAAACATTACTGCTCTGTAATCACATTTTAAAAGTTGTATAGTTCTAACAAAATGTAGAGGTTTTCAGATTCGAGAGCTCCTCACAGTGACTATAGGGGTTAGTAATCTCAGAGAATCCGTGAAACTACCTTTGGGTGAAGACATTAACGAGTGGCTGGCCTGGAACAGTTAAGACACAAACTCATTATGATATCTAACTAGCTACTCTTATCAAAACTTTATTATTATATCTTCTTAATTTGATTTTGTTTTTTGTGTATTTTCTTTTAGTTGTGGATTTCTACAAACAAGTAAGACTTTTGTGTGCTACTCTTGAAGAGTTATGTACACCCACCACTTGCCCAGTTATGAAGGCTGGAAGGTAACTATATTTCTCATTCTTGACATTATCGACAAGATGAATTGATCGTATAGAATAGTTACGGTCTTTCTTGGTCTTATACTTTTGCAGATATGAGTATCCATCGGTAGATGCAATTACTGGAAAAAGGCATACAATGGGTTCAGCCCCTGAGTACATCGAGTCTGTCATTGATTGGATTGGAACTCAGATCGATAACGAAACCCTCTTTCCGAAAAACTTTGGTACTTATTATTGAACCTAATTCATAATTTTAAATTAACTTCAATAAGTTAGTTTTTCGTTTAAAACATGTTTCTTTTTCTTTTCTATTCAGGAGAACCGTTCCCTCCTAACTTTGAGGATATCGTGAAGTGCATTTCGAGGAAGTTGTTTCGCGTGTATGCACATATCTATCATAATCACTTTCTGACGATTGTGGATGCCAAGGGAGAAGCTCATCTCAACACTTGCTTCCAGCATTTTGTTCTCTTCATATCTGTAAGTTGTGATGAATCTTCTCTAGATCATGTTGAGTTCTTAGGAATATTCTCTATTAGATGATGGTAAAGGTTTGTATAATGACCATGCACACTTTTCCGCAACATGCAGGAGTACAAGTTGATGGTTGAGGAAAATGAGTTGGCTCCTCTTAAGGAACTCGTGGAAATTATTTTGGAACCATAGAAAACTCTTCATTGTTTTTAAGGCCCGGGAAAATGGACTTTCACATGTTTAATATAATAACATCCTTAAGAAGTTTATGATCTTTGGCTTTTACAAAATGTGATGATGTAATGAAATTATGCAAACAGTAAATGATCTTGTGAGGTTTCAATTAATAAAGGATCATTTTGGCTATTTTGATGTGTTGGACCAAGACTGCTTTTTAATTTCATAGTGAGAACCAAAAACTAAGTGTACTAATGATGAGAATAGACTCTCCAAATTCATTTCCGAAGCTCTAGGTTATTTTTATTTTTTTTTTGTTTTGAGCATCAGACTTCAATCAAACCGAACACTATATAGTGGCTTCAATACAACAACACCCAAACCAACACATATATGAATAACTAAATTAAAATCCATTCAGAGAAATTGAAAGGACGAATACACTCTTTATGGCAAGACTGATGGACTGCCGTCTTCACGAGTGACTTAACTAAGAAGGCTCAATGTAGCTATGTCCACTTGTTGCATTGCCTTTGATATATCCTCTATCTCTAACGGCGTTTGGATTCAATCCATCACGTTAGTTGAGGAAGATTTGACCTCAGAAAAAAAGTTTTGAGGGTTACTATAACACCCCGATCTCGCTACTAGAACTACGACCGCAAAACACTGAGAAATACTACCTCGCCGGAGACCAAAATTCCGATAAACTTCCAACGACGATTCAACTTCCACAAAACTTCCCAAACAGACCGATTCCAACTAACAACTTAACTAGAGAAGACTACGCAGCAGATTAAAATTAACAGCAAGCATAATTAAGCTTAACTTAATCATACCTTAGCCACTTATCGAACCAACTCGTCCGTCCAATGCAGATGAATCCACGAGTCTTCTTGATACTCCAATGCTTTAGCTTCCGAAAACAGCTTCCCTACCCGTTTGGCCATTGATGATTTAACCAACATTTCTCTCGGTACATAGTCACTCAGCCAACCATCCCCACATGGCTAAGTACAAAGAAAGATGTCTGGAATTCACATCACACCGAACATACTCATTAAACACTTATCAGATCAACACCACTCCAACCCGAACCCATGATCCTTTGATCACCAGAACATCCGATCACATTAACAGACCTTCCAATCGAATCGCATCATCGATCTGAACTCTCGATGAACACCATCGTTCAGCCACTCGAACCCCGAACTACACTCTCGACAGAAACATAACCGTTCAACCAAAATCTCGATCATTGATACTCAATCTCGATTACTCCCGATCATACCGACAAATACTAGAAACCGTTAGACAGAACTCGATAACATAAACTTTCTCTCGACATAACTCGTCTTTCCTTCGCATCCTCAACACTTAACACTGTTTCTCGACATTACTCCATCCAATATCGACGACAATTGCACAGACTCTCGATAAAAACCCAGATCCTGTCGTCATATGTCAACTTGCATCGACCCTAGTCGATCCCGGAAACCGCATTCTCGATAAACTGCTCGTTTATCGATAAGAATTACCGACAAATCTTGAACCTCGACGATAATCACTCGTACTCGACATAACACCATCAGAACTCATTGACAATCCACAAATCGTGTCTCCAACACTTGATTCTCGACATACCATCGCAATCTCTCAACATTTCTTGAAGAACTCTCTCAGTTTCTCCCTTTTCTCGAGACTCTCTCGCCATTTCTCTCTTTTTCCCCAGACTCTCTCGTAGACAGAACATAAGTGACGAAGAACATCGAGTAACTTCCCTTTTGAATTGATTATTCTTTCAGAAACCGTCAAGTAACCGCCACTTAACTCAGATCCGTGTGTTTTCTCAAGAAAGTAACCGTTCCCGCCAATTCTCTCGAAACACTATTGAAGACATCGATAACTGCTCGACCATCACTGTCAGATTCTCAACCAAACCTGTCGGATTCCGACCACACTTGTCCGAAAACCACGCTCGGACTAAGTAATCGTTAGCTTACTCCGAAAATACGGACAACCATCAATCCTCTCGGTAATCTCAGACTTTCTCGGAAATACTTAAATTCCATCGATTAAAAAGAATAAAAATTATACTTAATATACAAATTATACTTAAATTCTATAATTTGTTCTAAATTATAGAATATATTAGTCTAGAAAACGTCGTTTTAGAAAGGAGAAAAACGTGCTAGTGTAGGAAAAATAAAAACGTTAGAAACACGTGTCAGAAGAATCTGATGTCTTCCTCTAGTCTACCAACATTAGGAAGGAAGGAAGCAATTACATAACTTGCTGTGAGTAAACAAGTGTGCACGTGCGTCTTTTTTCCTCTCTTTTTTTTGATTTATCCTTCTTGACGTGGCGATTTTCCAGTGGTCCTCCCCATTCTTTTACATATAAAGGAAATAAAAGTAGATTAAACGAATTGATTTTTTTAGCTTTTAAATTTTTAATATATTAAAAAATACACAAAAGTTTAATCTGATAGTATATTTTTTAGATTGTTTTAATATAACAATATATATATATATATATATAAGTCTTTAAGAATTATATGGGAAAAACTCTTTTTGAAAATTTCTAAAATATTCATAAGTCATGTCAGCTAGTTCTAATATATTTAGAATTATTGTAACAAAGCAACCAAAAACTATATATTTCCACGAACTTTCATACATGTATCGGAATAGTGTAGTGAAATAATAACTATTTTTTTCAACAATTTGAAGAAAACTTTTAAATTGATAAAAAAATAGAGATAATGGTGAATTTATTTCATTATTTATTTATTCTTTTTAAATAATCAAAGAGGTTTGGGACCGAAAGCCATACATACCTTCAGGTCAGCATCTTATAAAGTTAGCTTTTTCTCTATTCTCATGATGCCACCTAAGCATCCACATAAACCACATTTTTCTACATTAAAATAAATTTAAAACATTAATTTAGTGCATATTTATGCTACATATTTAATTAATAAAAAATTTATATAAATAAAAATAAATTATGTAAATAAATGAAATGTTAAATAAGAAATACTTTCATTTTATATTAGTTAGTGGTAATAATATAATTCAACTTTCATTTTAAATTGATCATAGTTTAAAATTTTTAATGTGATACTGACTTTAAGAATGTAAGTAAATTTTCAATTTATGGTAGAATAAAAACAACATTTATGTAATTGTACATATAAAATCTTAAAGGGGAAAAATAAAATTGAAAGTGAAATATTAGTTTATAACATGATGAAAAAGAAAATGATTTTAATCCAAATTTAAATATTGAAAGATAATAATTCAAGAGAAAATAAGTATAATATGTTTTGAAAATCAATTAAAATAAATAAAATATCACAATATGAATAAAAAATTAAAAAAATATATATAAACCTCCCGCGCGCAACGCGGATCAACTGCTAGTATTATATAGTTTCGTCCCATGCGTTATTTGAATCGGCAACCTCTAAGTTTTTGCTAGAGTTTTTCACTTTTTTCATATCAGATTATCTAATTTGCTACATTTTAAAATATATAAACTTTTAAATTGATAAAAGAAGTAGACGAACCATTCCGAATCTAAGTTCTCCTCTTCTAAAAGTTTTCGAAAGTGAGAGAGACCAAGTTCATGTTGTCGTATTTAACCAAAACAAGGTACGGAAGTCATCACGCCAATCAAAAACAGCCACGTCAGCAATAGCCCGCGGAGACCAGTCCATGTGACTCACACGTGATGTTTTTTTTTTTTATCATTCCTTCTCAACTCAATTGCCTCAAACTCAAACACGGATTTGCTGCGTTTTCTGACCGAGTCGCTCTTCTTTTGTGTTTTCTTGGATGGTTTCTCTCTTTGCTGTCTTTGATTCCTTTTAAAATGTTCTCTACGTTTCCGATTCCTTATTTAGAAGACATATACACCTCTCTACGTATACATATAAAAATAGCTAAATATCACCTCCTTCATACATTATATCAAACAAACCTAAAAGAAACCAAAAAAAAAAAAGACGAAGAATCACAAATACTAAAGAGAAGAGAATCTATGGCGAAGAAAGTTAGAAAGCTTCACGTAACGGTGAAGCCGGTGAGGCTTGATGGTTTACCGTCTATTGTTCATGGAGACGAAACAGCGGTAAAGAATCTTTCAACGATGGTTGAGGTGAAATGGAAAGGACCAGTCTCCGGTTTCGGATTAGGTCTCGTCCCATTTTATCGGTCGAATAGACCGGTTAACTATACGAGGGCTAAACCGATTGCTTCGGGTGTAAGCCATGTAGAATGGGAAGAAGAGTTTGAACGTGTTTGTTGCATCGTTGGTCCATGGAACCTCTCGTTCAATGTCTTCTACGTGAGTTTTTTCTCATAATTATCTTTTTTTTGGATGATTAATGTGATGTTTGGATTAAATTAGTTGAGAATTTGGTATTAGGGAGAGACAATGGAAGCTAAAAGTAAAAAGTCTTTGGTCGGAAAGGCGTCATTAGATTTGTCGGAGTTAGCTTCGAAGCTTGAATCGACGGTGGAGAGAAAGCTTCTGATTCGGTCAAAAGGTTCCGTACTTTCGAAGGAAGCAACCCTTGTGGTAATTTAATTAATCTGGTCAATTAAATTTTCTAATCACATTGTTTAATTCCAAATTGAATTATTCTTGCTCATGGAAAGGTTTTTATTGTTTTAAAGTCTTTCTTTAAAGAAACTTTAAAAAGTAAATTTATTTAATCCTAATCCTTAGTTGATTAAGACACGCGTGTTGTTTATTTAAATCAGGTCAACGTGACTTTTTCTGAGGTAAGAACCGAACCAGACGACTTTATGCAACTTGGTCTTGTCTCCGTTGACTCAGCAATTCCGACAAAGATAGTGAGTGGTCGCGGTTTTGATTCGTCTTTATCACCCGCCACCGCGCCGAGTTCAGGTGGACGTAGTCCAATTATGGAAACCGGGTCGTCGTCATCAAGCCCGGATGAGAACCAATCTGAACCGGGTCAAAAAGCCGGGTTTAATTGGTGGAAGAGACGACGGTTAAGCTTTTCGATGACGTGGAGAAGAGAACCGGTACGTATTTGGTTTTCTGAATTTACAAAACCCGGTTCGATTTTGTTCCTTAACCGAACCGGTTTGTTTTGCAGAGAGAGGATGAATTTACAAAGATATCAACAAAATCGTCGGAAACGGAACCGGAAAAGCCAGCGACGGCGGCGACGGATTTCTCAATCGAGGCGAAAAAATGGGTGATGAAGGATTTGGTAAGCCGCGACGGTAAATCGAAGCTGAAATCGGAAGTTTACACGGCGTCGATTGATCAAAGAAGCGAACAAGCCGCCGGAGAAGCAGCTTGCGCGGCGGTGGCGGTAGTGGTGGCTCATTGGTTCCACGCGAATCCAAAACTCATCAACCCTTCAGGAACAGAGTTCGATTCTTTAATCACGCAAGGCTCTTCTTTATGGCAATCTCTTTGCGATAAAGAAACGTATCTAAGATTGTTTCCAAACAAGCATTTCGATCTTGAGACCATCGTGTCCGCGAATTTACGACCGGTTAGGGTTTGTACTGATAAGTCCTTTACAGGGCTGTTTAGTCCGGAGAGATTTGCGTCGTTGGATGGTCTAATGTCGTTCGATCAGATTTGGGATGAGGTGGAGAAAGAGGTAGCGTTAGCCTCAAGTAATGGTGAAACTAGGGTTTATATTGTGAGCTGGAACGATCATTTCTTCGTGGTGAAGGCAGATTTAGAAGGATATTGCGTAATCGATTCGTTAGGGGAGAGGTTGTTCGAAGGATGCAAGCAAGCTTATATACTAAAGTTTGATGATTCGAGTTTGATGTATGAGAAAGAGGAGTCGTCTGAGAAGTTGGTTTGTGAGGGTAGAAAGTGTTGTAGAGAATATATAAAGAGGTTTCTTGCGGCGATCCCGGTGGCCGAGTTGGCGGCGAAGGAGGAGAAAGGGAATGTAGTGGATGTGTCTCTTCTTCATGAGAAACTTCAGATTGATTTGCATCATGTTCTGTTAACTAGTTAGTAGTGATCATTAGAGTTTGTTTTATTTTTCTGACTATTGATTGACTCGTTAATGTAGATTTGGTTAGATGGTGAGATAGACATAGTTTTTTTTGTGAATATAATTTGTTATGAACCTCACCTAGAGAAAAATGTGTTAGCAAACATCCAACAAGAGTATTCATTTGTTTTGGCTTTGGTTTGTTGTTTAAGGAAGTGACAAATAGGCGCTGTTCGTTTGGCAGTCGTAGGAGCCTGCGATTGCGCATGCGACTGAAAGTTGTTCGTTTTATAATCGCAGGGTCGTGCGACTAATCGTTGCGATCAATCGCAAGGTCCTGCGATCAAAAATTTTGATCGCAAGAGAAAACAGCGACGCGACTGTTTTAATTGCAATTAGTCGCTTCTCTAGACTATACATATTGTTGGAATTTAGAAACAAGAAGAGATTCATGCTCAAAAGCTCTTCATGAGTTATCTAAACAAGAACAGATTCATGCTCAAACTTTGACAAAAAATATATCAAACACCAAACTTGTTTCCCCACAAAAGCCCAAATTGGTTTTAAATATTGTCTTAACCCAACAGGCCAAAAGTATCTCATTTCCGCATACTCTTGCACATAGTTCTCCACTTTCTCCTATCCATCTCGTATAAACTTTTAGTTGACCACTCAAATGCCAGTAGTATCTTTTTTATGAAATGAAATTTTAAATAAATAATATTGTTGAAATTATCTAAAACTAGTTATTAAATTTTTATTTGATATTTACATTCAAAATTTTAAAAATTATTAACAAATTTATTTTAAATTATAAAACAATAAATTGTTAAAATAATTGAAATCATAAAACTTTAAGAGAATTAGAATACCTCGACCGCATCTCAGCCATAAACGTACCAAACTTCTCATCTCTCTTCTTGTACTTTGCATCCCTCCTCCTTTTCCTATCTTCTCTGATACTTTGAATCGAGTGGCTAGATAAGAGATTAATGTAATAAGTGTCGTTTCTAAAAACGTGTTAAAAATATGTAAATTAAATAAATCTTCATATATAATAACAAAGAATGATATATTTTTCCAATTTTTTATGCTTTTTCCAATTATAATTTACAATTCAGTAAATTAAATTCAATAAACATAATTTAATAAATCAACTAACAAGCCAAAAATATTTAAAAACCAATGCCAGAATAAATTTTATAATCTCTAATGAATTATCTAACACGTATACTCTAGCTAATACAATAAATCTAACACTAACCATAATTTAACGGAAAAACAAATCCTAATACAATAAAATTATTTTAAAAAAAAAACTCAGAAATTACCAAAAATATCAATGTTTTTGGTTTCCGGACAAATTTTTGAAATCTGCCGGTATCTTCTCACATATTACCAATGGAATAGGGTATAAACTCTAATTTCATAATTTCTAATGAAAATATGTATATGATCCTTATTATACATTAAAACATAGTATGTAGTGTAAAAACACACTCTTTAGTGCAAGTTATGAAGATCATATTTTGAGATATAAATTACATGTACTTATCCTTAATATATAATAAACCATCATAACTAGTTTTTGTGAAATACACTTATTATCTAGAACACAAATTTTGAGGGTTTTTGGTACACTTATTAGTTTGTTAGTGATTGATCAAAAAAATTAGTTTGTTAGTGATTAAAAACTAATTGTTTTAGCTATTGTTTAAACAAAAGACAAAAGCGATTTGAAATGAGATTTTATATATTAGACCATCGGTATTTGTGGGCATATACCGACAAATTAGCAATAGATATATTTTCCATTATATGTCTTCTTTGATGTTTCTAAAACCAAATTAAAAATCAGTCGGTAATCCCTCAAAATAACTAATTGCTGTCGATAAATTTAAGAAATATATATTTGATAAATTCCCTAGGATAGCATGTTTTAATTATTATTTTTTCCAAAAATTCCATCATTTGTTTATTTTCCAAAAATACCACGAAGGTTTTATTTTCCAAAAATACCATAAACATAAAAAAAAGTCAAAAATGTAAAATTATTATTTTTTATGTTTGGGTTGACTATATACGTGTAGGGTATAGTTTTTAAAAGTAGGGTTTAGAGTTTAGAATTTAAAATTAGTTTGAATTTTAATAATTTAAGTTTTAATTTTGTGGTATTAGTGCTGTTTAAGAGAATTCTCCTATATATTTACTGTTGGATTATTACAAAGTCTTAATTCGTCATAAATTCTTAAAACGGATGATACAAACAAGGGGGAATTTCAAAAATACCCATTTTCCAATACCACTTTTTAAAAATACCCCTTTTTCTAATTTTATCAAAAAGTCACTATAAAATTTGAAATTTATCAAAAACATATGTGTAAACTTATATTTATAGACACAAATTATCTTTATATGTGTGTAAATTTATATATATATATATATTATAAATACCGTATAAATACCTTTTAAAAAACTTTTAAAAATCATTTTAAAACCTTATAAAAATTATGTAAACCTTTTAAAAACCTTATAAAAACATTATAAATATCGTTAAGAACCTTTTAAAACCTTATAAATATTAGGATTTAGTATCCCAGTAGTAATGATGATCTCGATGTACCTTATTAACCATATAAAAGTTTATAATTTATCATATTTGAAAATGGGTATTTTTGAAAATGGATAGAAAAATGAGTATTTTTAAAAAGGAATACACCAAAAGGGGTATTTCTCAAAAATTCTCTACAAACAAACCCATTTTTGTCAAAAATTATCGGTTTTCAGTCGGTAATTTGGTTAGTTATTCTTTGTTTTTTCGTGTAGTAGAACATTTAGTTTTTTTTTTTTTTGGTAAATAGTAGAACATTTAGTTTAATAGCAAACTAATCATCCCTCTTTCTTCCCACCTTCCAAACTATATTTGGAAAACCTGAATAATTTTTCATTCTACCGACATTAAAAAATCTAACGATTTGCTTTTATCTCTTCTTGAACCAAAAATTTCAACCATATAACCAAATTACATCGATGATTTATCAAAATTAGTTTGTTGGCTCTTCCAATACCATTTCATTTGGAAAAAAATATAAACATCATTATCAATCAGTATATCCATAATTTTCTTACAAAAATGATATTCATAAATCATAATCATAATGCTAAACTGTTGACCAAAAAAACGTTTACATGACCTGGTTACGAATATGAGACACCCTTACCTGAGTTGGTCATGAAGAGACTCCAGCTTAGCTTTATCTTTTTAATATTATTCTCCACAAGCAAATAATCTAAAGTATTGGTCATTTATTTTACATATTCATTATAGTGGACGGTCCGATCTTAGCTGTCAATATATATATATATATATATATATAACCACATTGGCTCACCTAACTCTTTTCGTATAACAGAGACTTCCACAAACATCTCGTGCTTTCATTTTTAATCTCAACTATAAAAAACACAATGGTACACACTACACAATCTCCTGAAATATTATATGAAAAATAAGAAAACGACAGATCTGTTTTCACCTAATAATGTACAAATGAGCCAATGGCTTCAAACTTCAAAGAGTGGCTATGTTTTGGGACAATACAACCCAAATATATCCTTTGGAGAGACTTTACAAGTCAAAACTATGTGACAAAAGTGTTCGGAAGTAACTTTAAAAAACGAGAAACAATGAAAGATTTATCAAAATGTTATACATAAGGGAATCAAGATTCTTCAAGAAAGTGTACATAAACTATAAAAATCAAACTCGAGCAGAGAGAGAGATAAGGAAGAAGATTGAATCGTTTTTACGACAATCCGGTGATATAATAAGAAAAACACACGAAGATCAAAGGTGGAAGACGAGTCATCTACACATATATGAGTGGGTGGTGCAAAAAAATAAAACAGAAAGAATAAATCAGTAAGGGTTGTTGTAGTAATAACCCGTCGGTGGCGGTCCCATCCCGTTGACGGGTGGCATTCCGTAAGGTTGAACTGGCCCGGTGTTCATCTTCGCCAAGCTAGCTTGACCTCTCATGCCTTCACGTTGGTATTGCTGCCATAGCTGCTGTTCTTGACTCAGAAGATATTGCTTCTTCTCCATCTCGGCCATTTGCACGTATGAGGGTGGTGGGATGGTTAGTGAAGCTGCGAATGGGTCTTGGTTCACTTTCTCGACGGTACCATCTGGTGCAGGTAAGGCCAATACTTGATTGTTGGTTTGGCCCGGTAAGGGTAAAGCTACGCTGCTCGCGCTTCCACCTGTTAACTGCGAGGTGCTCACGTGTTGTCTGACCATTCCTTGATCGTACATCCCGTTGAGCAACAAGTTATCGAACCCACCGCCCAAAGCGGCTGTCTGTCTTTCTAAATTGCTAGCAGTTTCAACCAATGCCAATTCCCAATCAGCTTTACCGGGTTCTGCAGCAGGATTCTGCCAAGCCGAGGTCACTCCGTTCGATGAGAAAGCTTCCCATTTTCCATTACCACCCGCTGGACCAGCAAAGAGAGCAAGCGCAAACTTGTTCCCTTGGTCATCAGCAGTGACTTCATCCTCCCTCAAGTTAACTAAATCCTCGGTAACTTGCCGTTTTTGAGGCTGAGGCTCTGGTTCAGGCGGAGGCGGAGGAGTGTAATTCTCTGGAGGAGGAAGCGCTTTGATCTCATTCATATCAAGTTCAGGCTCCTCTTCTTGAACAGGCGGAGGAGGAGCTTCAATCTCTTTCCTCTCAGGACTCTTCCCTCTCTTCGCCCTATCTCTCACAAACTCCTCCAACGTCTCCAACAACTTACCCGTAATCCTCTGAACTTCCGGATACTCAGACGACCTCGCCACACCAGTTTCCTTACACCAGTTATAAAACGCAATAAGCTCATCAATCTGTTTCGCCGCACTCGCATACGCATCGAACGCCTTAACGCAATCCGTGTACTCCATATCGAAAAACTTATCCAACAAAACAGCCAAAACCTCACAAATATCAGCATAAAGCTTAAAACTCTCCCTCACAACAGGGTACAACGCAATCAATATCATCCTACTGTTCTTAGCTAAACCGGTAGGTCTCAACGACAAAAACCTATCAAGCAACCTTTGCAAATGACCCATCTTCCCGAATATCCTCTCCGGCGTCATTTCCCTTAACGGCGTAACAGACTTCTTCTCATCCCTTCCTCCTCCTCCCATCTCAGTCATATCTCCGTAAGACCGAGATCTCTTCGGCACACCGCCATAACCATTACTATCTCCTCTAAAATCGCCACCACCGTTCTCATAATCATAAGATCGCGGCGGAGGCGACCTGAAATCATCTCTTCCTCTCCCATATCGATCATCATTATTACTATGATGACTACTACTACCACCACTATTCACCGACACACCACTCTTCCTCTCAAACAAAGCCAACTCAAGCCTCTGGTCCAAGTAAAAAGCATAAGTCCTAACAAAAGCAGAATGATCCCACGAACTCGAATGCGCTTCATCGCGAAAATCAGACATGTTCAACATCCTCGTACCTCGTCTTGTCGAATACATAATCTCTTCCTGAAACAGCGGATCTCCTTCGTTCATAAGCCTGTGAACGAGCATAAGAGCCTTGAGAGCTACCACCCAATCGCGAGTCTTACTCAACCGCCGCGAAACAGAGGTAACGCAAGCGAGGATGTAGCCGCGTGATAGAGAAGTTAGGTTAAGGATCTCGCGTATGTATTTCTCACTAGCTGGATCGTCGTCGTGGCTTGTAGCTTTCACGATCGCTACTTCTAGATCTGGTGCCATGTTGCTTGCTACTTTAGCGATTCCTATACTTGTTTGGTCCTTAACCGCACCAATCGCTTTTCTAATACTCGGCGCCATCTCCGAATCAAGATTTCGATATCTCTGAGAAAAAAAAAAAAAAACACAAAAAAAATTCAAGATTCGTGCGAAATCTGAGTTTGATTTATAAATAACTTAACGGGAAACACTGATTTTTGAAAAATTCGATATTTTTTGTGTTTTGAGCTATAATTAGAAATTACCGTTGGGAGTAGGGGAGGATCGTTGGCTAGATCTACGGAGGAAGAGTCGTCGGAGTGATAAAACGGTGTCGGATTTGGTAGATCTGTGGAAAACGCCGAATTTGGCGGTGTGAGATTCGGCGAAGGAGTAAAGGAGAATGGTGGTGGCTGGTGAGAGAGAGAGAGAATGGTGGATTTAAGAGGAGAGATGGAGTCTGTGATGACGTGGCGGTTTATTAGTCGTTGATCTTGGAGAGAAGGAGATGCGAAGGTTTTTTTTTTTTTACAGGGACTGTCGGGAGCTGGTGTTATTGTCGGAAGGTTAAAGTTAAAGATGTGTAATTTATTTGCTTAATAACAGATTAATTTTGTCTTTCCCACGTGGAAATTTAATTCTGGATTTAAAGAAGAAATATATTTTATTATTTTTGTTCCGAAGTACAAAAGGAGAAACTGTTAAAAAAGAAATATATACCTACTGTATTAAATTTTTAGGTGACCAAAAAAAAAAAAAATATATATATATATACTGCATTATTTTAGAATATATGGTGGCATTGAAATGGTATGAGCTGGAGCCACGCCTATTCGTATAATTTATCACATTATTATACATTTTTGTGGCTTAATCAAAAAAAGAAATTTTAGCACTTTAGAATATAGACACACTTTTGTTTTTTAACAGTAACTAATAAACACACTTTTTTTTTTGCTAGCTAGACACTTTTAAAAATAATAATGTGGTTTCTAATTATATATGTTTTTCTAATTTTTCTCTTTTCTTATTCTTTATTTACATTTTTTTTCTTTCAAAGTGAGTATATAGCATATTTTTGTGGCTTAATAAATTAAAATAAAAGAAGAAATTTTAGCACTTTAGTGTATAGTCACACTTTTGTTTTTTTTTAACAGTAACTAATAAACACACTTTTTTGGCTAGCTAGACACTTTTAAAAATAACAATGTAGTTTCTAATTATATCTGTTTTTTTCTAAATATTTTCTTTTCTTATTCCTTATTAACATTTTTTTTTGTAATGAGTATAAAGCATATAAAATGAAAAACTATGATTTCATCTCTGTTACTTAAACCTTAGAGCATCTCTAATAGTAAAAACATCTCATGGGTTAAAAACCAATTACCGATAATTCACATACGATTATCGGTAAAAAACCTTTATGTTTATTTTTAATCTTATTATGAGCTCATCGTTTAGAGCTCTGTTTTCCTCTTTACGTCATTCCCAAGAACCCTAAAATAAATATATTTACGTTTGTGGGCTTTTTCATTGATACTAACTCAATAACTCCCTAGAACTCTCTCATCGTCCATCAGCCATTTAGAGTCTATGCCCTCTAAGTCCCTCAACGGCTCTTCTAGAGTTTCTACTAACACAAGAGGACGAGCTACCATCCACAAGAGGTCAATTCTCAGATCCATTAAAGGTTTTGGATCCATATGCTGCGTTGTGGTTGGTGTTAAACCAAACATAGCTGAAATTTATCACAACACCAAGAACAAAATCATCTTGTCTGTACTCTGATATATAATGAAAAAGAGATCTAATCTCATTGGAGAACAAAAAGACCTTCTTCACCTATAAAGATCCAAGAAAAAGTCGCAGAGCAAGTTGGTAGCTTTTTAACAGATGCTTTACGCATATAATACACAAAAGATATTAAATACTAATTACGTTTTACGTACATAGACAAAAAGGGCACTAAGCACAATTGCATACAAAAAAGAGCAGTAAGCTCAGTTACATCCAAAAAGATCAGTACGCTTAGAGATATATACAGGAAACTAAGACAAGTTTTGTGGTCAGTAACTATGGTCTGAGTCATCAGGATAATCTCCATCGTTTTCAGGTGGAGTTGCTTCACCCCATCCTCCACTCCACAACGGCTGAAGAACGATGACCTTACCATTACTTAGCCCAGCAGAGATCTGACACGGATGTGAAGGATGAGCGGCAATAACAGTCGGATAAACCTCGAGCCTGTACCATCCCCATTTTGTTAGCCAAATCAGTTACATCATTATTTGATCAAACAGAAGTGTGGGCTGAGAAACTGTACCTGATGTCGCTGGGGATGGGTTGAGTAAGAGATGTCAGATCGATTCGACATATTGTCAACAAGGTCTTGGAGTCCAGAATTTTTATAGCTCCACTTCCAAAGCCAACATAGATGATCTCACCATCGGAAGAATATGTAGCAGAAGTTATTGAAGTACCAGATTCATCGGGTACCCACTGCGAAGTAATTTGTTTATTTAGAGTCCATATGATAACTTAAGGCAAGGGAAATTATCAAAGAAGAATGTTTTTAAAGTCTTTGCCTTTTACCTGCACTCGGCAATCAAGACTTGGAGCTTCGTATATACTTATCCATCCCTGATGGGTCACGAGTATCTCAATTTGATATGGGTCAAACTGGATGTGAGTTACTAAAGAGCTGGACTCAAGGTCAGACCGGGTACAAAATTCATGCGTAGAGTTATTACTTGTTAGCTGAACCCAGCTCTTTGTGCTCCAAAGACAGAGCTGAAGAAAACAAAAAAAAAACAATTAAGAAACCTTGAAAGCAACAATTCTGGTTATCTACAGTCGCACTACAAACCTTTCCATCAGAGTCAGATGAGACAAGGATACTGAAACAGCGAGAAAATGCTAGGCAGGTTATCTTCTGATCGTGGCCCTCCAGCTTTTCTATGACCTATATTTACAGATTCATATAATCTTTTAGCAGCAGACAAAGTCTGGCAAACGGTTTTAGGTGAGTACCACTAAACCCAAAACTTTACCTTTCTTGAGGATAAACAATGGATAAGGATAGAACCATCATCTAGCCCAACAGCAAGCAAATCACCAGGTATAAATATAAAATAGGTAGCCATAGGTGTAGAACTTCCAAAAACAGCTACCTTCTGCAGTATTGTGCAAACAGACAGTGTCATTTAATGATGCAGACAAAAAGGCAGGACCTGAAGCCTATATCACAACAATGCTTATTACCTCAAAACTCTTTAGATCAAAAACTGCTATTCTTCCTCCTGAAGTTGAGAAAAGATAGGAACCCTTGATCGCAAAACATGATGTTGAATCCTGAACAGAGGCAGCCATCTCGTTTTTCATAGTTTTCCCACTTTGAGGTTGATGTAATCGTGGCTTCGGAAATATATTTTCCATCAATATGCGAGGAGTATACTGTAAGCAGCAAATTTAAAGAATCAAGTAAATAGGGTAAGTAGTCAAGACATCCGCACTGAAACATAGCACAGATAATTTTATCATCTGAGACTAAACCTTGGAGAATTCATTTTGGCCACTCGACCACGTCCAGAGTTTATGTGTGGCGTCTTCTGCCAAAGCCAGTATGTAATCTCCAGAAGGGGAATAGGTCAAACGTGCAATCTAGCAAAGTCAACAAAATCAATGAGATTCCAGTAGTTGACGATATAGAAGACAAGTTTGACTTTATGCATCAACAGACAGCAGTCTCATTCAAGATTCATCTTGATACTTTCATTCCAAACAGCTCAAGCGAAATAAATTTGTAAGAAAATATGGTTTCTCCATGATGCTACTACCGAGGATGTATACACAGGCGGCAGGAATTCTAATTATTCTGTAGTCAAATAATAAATGCTGGCATGAAACATCTGAACAAAGCAAAGTTCTTGAAAGCAACAAAGCACAATCCTTGATGGCTATAGTTTCTCAAGAGCTATGTTCTTTTTTTCCTTCTAAAGATCAACTAAAAATGCGACGAATGCCTTGGATGACATGAGGGACATCAAATTATAATTGATTCTAAAGAAAGTAACCTCACCCTTTCTGCTGAGCAATAATCAGGAAGAACGAGTGCATTGCACTGAGATACATCATTGATTTCGTTTGGTTTGCAGTTATTCTTCCTAGGCCGTGTTTTCTTGAATTTGTTTTTAAAATAGGATGATGTGCCACAAAGGTATGACACTACTGGAATATTTTCCATAGAACTAGAGTTGTTGCATGAAGGAGAAATCCACCAGTCCAAACTGCATGAGGTGAAGAAAATCAGAGCTAGAAGAAACAGCGAAAAGAAAATCAAAACTAGTAAACAAACCCTTTGGCAGCCTTACGTCTGCTTCATAAGTGTTAAAAGTCTTGACTTTTCCATGCTAGGAAACTTGAGTTTATCTTTCAGTACTGGATTCTTCTTGGCTAGAATGGCAACAGAGGCATGCAGCTTTATCTTCGGCGACGTGATATCTAGAGATCCAGATGGGGTAGCGACTTCCCTGCAGAAGCAATTCTTTATCAGAGTGAAAGATGTGGTCTGTTGAATAAATACTTAGCAGAATTTACTAAAGAACGCTAAAACTAGGATTGCTCAATCATTTTTAACAGGGAAATAAACAGATCAATGCTCAGCAGTAGACAGTGGATGCGAAAATAGCTTTTTAAGTTGTGTTTTCAGTGTTCAATAGACAAATCAAAGCTGAAATCTGACCAGAGAGAATTTGGGAATAATAATATTTTAATATGAATAGAGTATAACTAATTTGTGTTTCCATCATATGCAAAGTCCTCAACCAAGTAATTGGTATCTCATAATGAAATACTGAGATGTAAATGTAGATAAGTGAATCAGAACCAACCATTCTGTAGATTTCAGGCATTTAAGTTTCTGAATTTCAAGAAACATAGCCGTTGAGTACTTATTATCTCCTGAATCTGTAAAAGATCCAAGGTACTCTTCAGCTTTTCCCAACTCACCGAGCTTCATCACTTCCACCAGATAATTTAAGTTGAAGAAGACTTTTGTTTCTTGCTCTAGTCTTCAGAAAATAAAAAGTTATCAGCAATAAGAAAACAACAAAATCTCCAAAAATCACATTTATCCTTGAAAAGCTTACTTATGAAGAGTGTTCTTGTACTTAGCTTCAAAGAGAAACTGAAGGATTAAGAAAATGAGATCTTCCTACAAGAAACGCACTGATCAGAAACAAAAGAACTCGAGAAATGTTCATCCATTGCATTATTAATTTCAATATAGTTTTTTGGGTACCTTCACTATATTAAGCATATAAGAATATATGTAAACTCGTTACCTTCAAACCTCCCTTTCTCCCATGACCCTTTGGACAAATGAGGGAGATAAGCGACAGCAGTGCAGATTTATTCAACTTCGGAAATTCGAGTTTGCCACATAAAGAAGGATTGCTTTCTGCTAGTTTATAGAGATCAACACACAATTTGGCTCTCCCCGGTGCTTTGTCCACGCAACAAGTTTGCTCAGGAATTCTATAAACAAAGCCACAACCAAAAACTCGATTAGATCTGCATTGAACAAAATTATTAATGGCTAAAATATCCAAATACTTGCCTATCATCTATAGCAAACACCTCAACCAAATTTTCAAAGCTATCATCTTTTAAAACAGGAATCCGTCTTAAATCCTTGGAGAAAACGTTCACAGATTCAGAGCCACCACTTCTGCAAAACATAACTAAAAAGGAATAAGAAAACATATACAAGAAACAAACATGACAACAAATATGTTGCCTTTCAATTAAAGGAAGGAGAAACAAAGGCTAATTTTAAAACTTGGAGCCAACAGTGGAACGATATTAAACTTCAACTACACCATGCATCCCCAGCAAATGACACAACGAAAGGATTTATATCCAACACAGCCAAAATGAATCGACATCAAACTCTTTAAATTCCTTCTACAAGAGATCCCAAGAAAGGATTTCACTAACAATGTCATAGAAATTGAATTGTAAGAAGAGTAAGGCTTGCTTGCCTATCCGTTGCTTCACAAAACTTCCACTTGAACAAGTCAAAGAACATCTTCCTCGAAAACGTATTAGCATCTGGACTAGTGAATGCTGAAAGATACTCCTCAGCGTCTTTCCAGTTACCATTGAGGATAGCACGAGAGAAATAGCTAAAATCGAAGTAAACCCCTGAATCCTGCTCCAATCTTCATAACAAAACAAAAATCACACATAAATCAAAACTATTGATCTGATCACAGACCCATAAAAGAGAAAACGAATCAGCTTTGCATTGTAAACCCTAATCCAAATTCAAACAGCAAATTAAGAAAAAATCAATACTTTGATTCCTCTGAAAGACCAAAAAAGTAAGAGATCACCGTACAAGTGTAAGCTTTCTTCGTAGCCCTCTTCATCAAAGAACTGTAAGATAAGGAAAACGAGGTTTTCTCGATTCTTCTCGTCTAAGATCATCGTTGAACCAAGGAGATGATACAAGCAAGCATTTGAGAATTTTTTGAAATTTCCCCTGAAATCGTAGCTCCAGAGGAAAATTAGGGTTCGCTAGAAATCAAATTGTGGTAGTGGAGAAGATGAAGTTACACGGAACGGCAAGTAGAATCCCTAAAACTGTATCGAGATTAGAGAAAGAAGACGAATGAGAAATTTGCAAAAGTCAGCAAAAGCTTTACTTGGTAGTCTTCTTCTTCGTTTAATCCGCTAATGGACAAGTCCCCACTGTGGTGATTCACCACTGGTGAAGCAAAGAAAACAGAGACGCGAATAATAAGGAGTGTGATCAGTAGTGTGATCAGTATACCTACTTATCACACTATACCTAATATTTATTAATTTATTATTTTTTCGATTGAAAACAACTGGTCTACACAAAGCATTTCGAAAAAACGGATATCCGGTTAACCGAATATAGTAAAATTACCGATACAAAATATAAATACGGACAATGCTAGATTTTAAAATAGATACAGATATTTGTATTTTATTACAAACGGATATCTGATATTTAAATATAGATATTTGGTATTTTGATACGAATATCTAATACTTTTTTCATGTTTTTGAAATATTTACGTATAATCAAATTTTTAACAATATCCAAATTTCCAGATATGAATATTAAAAAATTGTGTATAATACGGATAAATATATCCTAAAAACCAGATAATCTACTACATTAACAGAACTAGCAGAAGCGAAAAGAAATAGACATAATTATAGTTTCATTTGTCATAAAACAATTTTCTACAATTATTATTTATTTTTAAAAAAAATACTAACTGATTTAAGATATTTTCATCTAATTCTATTAAAGCATGATAATCAATGATTTAATTATATACTGCCAACCACGTTAAGAAGGAAAAATTTTGGGGTAGCAAATTGAACTATGTATTAAGCCATATGTAGAGGAATGATTCTGATTTGAAGCCATGCTTGTTTGCTAAGAGAGAATGTGAGTACTTATAACTTATATAGTCCTTGCGGCCAAAGTAAACATCTCTATCGACCGTATAGATGTTTTTGTTAAGGCTTGGAACTTATAGGCATGTTACTTCAAAAGAAGTGAGAAGTTGTGGTACTTGGAAAGAACATATAGATCTTGGTCCATATACAACTTTCTTTATAAGAAAAGCTTGAGTACAAAGTCCAAAACAACAATAAGTTACAAGATTTAATATAGGTTGAAATCATTGAGTTTCATGAAGTCACTCTTTCAAAACATATATTAACAATTTAACACAAAAATGTTTATATTTTTGTTTTTTCTAAAACATTTCTATTGAATTGTATGAAGACAAAGACCAAGCCAAATCTCGTTGCCGACAAATCAGTTCGATAAAAAATACACGACAAATCAAGTAGTCATGATGACTAAAGAGTACAAGCTTTTGCTAGTGAAAACAATTCTTATGAATAGTAATATCCTATATTCATTGTTATTTTATTTCTATTTTATTTCAATATATTGGGTGCGATTGGTAACGTATTCAAAATTATAAAAAAAAGTTGTTAAATGGAGTGGTAAGGTTTTACGGAATAATGTAAAGTTGTTAGAAAAAACGGTACATAAAAAGTGTACAAAAAAGCAGAGAGTAATGTCTTTAATAAAGTTTTTGGTTAAGGTTTTGTGATTGGTAAAAATAAAAACTATATTATTTGTATAATTTTTCTAATTGTCACCAATCAAAACCATTATTGCACCACTTATAAACTCCTTAAGTCCTACATAAAAAAAAAAAAATTTGTTTCATTTTGCAGACCAAGATTCCTTTATCCCATTTCTCCTTAAACAACATTCACTCTTTTCAATCAAACTCTATCCACTACCATATTCTCTTATTTTGCAATCTCTTACATTGTTACAATCTCCTGACTCCGATAAGTAAATTTTATATTTCGTACTATTACTAGTTTTACAGTCTTTTAATAAATGAAAATTTTCAATTACTATTTGTTTTTTAATTTTCTTAATTTACCTTTAAATAGCTAATTTAACCACCTATATTATTTACTTAAAATTTAATGTCTGATATTGTTTATTTATTTTTCAATTTATGTTTTATATGTTCCAATTTAATATTCAATATTTCTGGAAACATGTATTGGGGTTTTCCAAAGAATGGTTTTTATAATAAGGCCAGCTGTATCTCTAATTCTAATTTAACAATGTTAATTAAAAAAACCTAAAAAACTTTTAAAAAGTTAATGTCACACCCAGAGGGATTCGAACCCACAATCGCTTGATTAGAAGTCAAGCGCCTTATCCATTAGGCCATGGGTGCCCTGTTGATAGTGTTGCGACAAATCATTTTACTAATACAATTACCAATCGTTTATTAGTAATCCTAATGTTGAAGACTTTATTTTACTGAAACAGAGATTGAACCTTGTTATCTCTTTACTCTTTTGTCATTGTTACACAAACGTTTAGTCATTGGTATGGTTGTTGTTTGTCTTTAGACTTCTATAGTTACTGATTTTGGTACAATTCTTCATCTCCTAATACGGCTTAATTCGGGTGTGTGTTTCAGTTTCACTGCTTGTTTCTGCTAACTGTTTTTAGACTACTTTTTTTTTGGTAACAATGTGAAGATTTATACTATTTTTGAAAATTTTGACGGAATTACGGAAAAAACCAAAAAAAACCGAAAACTACAGAAATCACCAAAAGTTACAACACAAGCACAAAGACAAGAAGAAAACAAATGAAACACTATAAGCAGAGATCGAAGAAAAAAGACCGATTCCGAACAAAGCTCGGAAATTTGCATAATTGCCTCAACTCAAAAGCGATGGAGTCTTCATCGTTGTTGCCACTAGCAACCCAAACCAATGCCAGCCTTCAAAACCTAAGGAAAGGTGCTTATAACTTTTCCGAAGACTAACGCGAAAACGGAACAGTTATAATGGACTAAAACACACACCCGGTGGCACGACAACATCTACGGAACGGCTATAGGTTTTAGACTACTTGTCTTGTAGGTGGTGGTTTTGATATGTTTTAACCTCATGATATTTCTTGGTTTTGGTGTGCTTTTTACCGTTTGTTGCTTCTGGTTTTTGTTTCTTGTTGATCCTAGATTGGTTTCTAACTATTTTCTGGTTTTGTTAGTTCCAGGCATAATTCATTTGCACACTTTTCAACTGACACAATTAAGCCTAGCATGACACAATCAATGAAGGCGGAGTGAGTTTAGTTTTTGTCTTTTGACCATGTAGTCTTCTGGATTTCATTGGAAACACTGTTTCTTTTTAATATATGTATTAATGCTTTTTTGACTTGAAGATGTTAAGAAGATTAAAAATTGGGTTTTGTGCAAATAAACTTTTAAGTCGTCAAATTTTACAATTTTACCCTCCATATTCCAAAAATGCAAAACAATCATACTAAATGAAAAATAATACGCAATATAGCCCTTATAGCCTATAAGATATATTTATTTTTGAAAATTCTAAAGATATATTTAAACTTCTAGTCACAAGGGCTTGATTTGATATATATTATTTCTAAAACTTTTAAAAATATGATAGTAGCGAAAACGGGTTATATTGCGTATTTATTCTGACTTTGCAACATTGATTTGCATTTTCTGGATTTGAAAGGTAAAGTTGCAAAAATAGCGACTTTGAGGGTTTATTTGCGCAAAACTCTTAAAAATTCAACTTTTTTTTTCTTTGTCAACAATTCAACTTTTTTTTCCTTAATTCATTCTGATATAATTCGTTCACTATTCGTTTGGCATGTGTAATTTTTTGGAGAAACTAAAGAAAAATAGTTTACTTCTTAGAAGTTAAAATAGTGTTCAACGACAATTAATATGGTCTTAAATCAGTCAAAGCTAAATTTTATTACATGTTATTTAAGTGGACAACGGGCCTTGTAAGGCCTAAATAAGTGATAAGCCCAATGTGCTCTTATCAAGTTTATCTAGTCTTGTCCGAAATCAAGCAGACGTCACTCTCACACACTATAAAAACCCGAATCATTTCTAGGGTTTAGATCTCATTTTCAATCCGCCATGAAAAGGCAGAAGCTTCTCGCTTCTTCATCATCTGATCCTCTCACCATTTCAAAATGCAACACACCTTCTTCTTCTTCTTACTCCCCCTCCGATTCACTCCCACCCGATGTCTTCATGGAAATCATCTCAAAACTACCAGCAAAAACAATCAGAAACTGCCGCCGCGTGTCGAAATCGTGGGCGGCGGCTCTCCGCCGCTCCGAATTCGACGAACTTTTCTTGAACAACTCACGAATTCAGCCACTGATCCTTTTCGCCTTCGTAATCGACGGCGGGTTACCTTTCTTCACCGTACCTCAAGTTCACGAGGTGGATACGTTTCTTGACGCCACTCGTCACAATACTTACTTACCAATTGATCGTTTCTCTCAGATTACTCCACCTGTTCGTGGATTACTCTGTATAGAAGATAAGAGAAGGATGATTGTGGTATGTAACCCAATCACATGTGAATCTGTGACTTTACCCAAATTGGAATCTAACATGATGTGGTCTAAGACCATATTGGGATATGATCCGGTTGAGAAACAGTTCAAGGTGTTTAACACAGCTTGGTCGCCTCACCATCCATTGAACACTCATGGTGAGCATTATGTTCTGACTTTAGGAACTGGTAAAAAAATGGTTTGGCGAATGATCGAATGCTCTAAACCGTTTCGTCCTGTTTTCGATGGCGGGATTTGCATTGACGGTGTTTTGTATTACGTCGCTAAGCTCAATTGCTGTCCAGAAGATGTTGTGATTGTTTGTTTCGATGTTAGGTTCGAGAAGTTTAGCTTTCTCAACAAACCTAAAGGGATGAGACAGATTCAATACGGTTCGAGATTGGTTAACTACAAGGGTCAATTGGGTATAGTTCATTGTTCCAACTCTAGGAAAATCAATGGAGGTACTAAAAGTTTTGATTTGTGGATTCTTGAGGATGTTAAAGAACAGAGATGGACCAAGCATGTCTATGTATTGCCTCTTGTGTGGAGGATCAAGGTTGCTAATACTAAGCTGCGTATTCTTGGAATGACTGGTACATGTGAAATTGTGTTGTGTCCATGTGAGCTATCTGACCCTTACTATATTGTCTATTACAATATTGAGACTAACAGTGTTAAGAAAATCGGAATCCGGGGATTGGGATCGTTTGAGGCTAGTACAACAATTGCTCACTTGTTCGTAAATTATGTGGAAGATGTGAAGTTTATATAAGTGTGTAAAGATTTTACAGGCTTGAGACTTTGTAGCACAGGTTTCATTGGAGAGTTATATATCATTTTTACATGTATGTTGTTGGGTACTAATAATATTAAAACTATTTGTTGATAATAAATTATATTTGGATTAAATTTGATTTTGATAATTTTTAAATTTGGAATGATTTATAATCATTTCGAATAAATTTCATTCTCCATCACATATGACTTGAGATGCTATTTTAAAATCATTAGTTGATTAGCATGTAATTTTTTTTTAAAATACAGTCTCCTAAAGTCCTTTATCCAATACACTTGATTATAAATTTCTTACTGAAGAGACTTTTAAAACAGATCTTTTTTTTCTGTCAACTGCAATTTTATTAAAACTTGTTGTGGTACCATAAGTAAAATACAAAGCCCAAAAGAGGGAAACTTAAGCCGGCGAACGACGAAAATGTTCCTGGAGTCAAAGCCGGCGGAAATAGAAAGTTCTCCGGAAACCAAAGAAAAACAACAAATAGAAAAGAAATTTTCAAACCATATCAAAAGAGAGACAAAACCGAATTTTAAAAGCAGAGGCAACCGGCGAAACCTTAAGAGAAACAATAAAATCGAGAAACAAAAGTTCTCTTAATCTGAAGCGCAGTCGAATGAGATTTACCCAGAATGCCCAAAGCCAATTCGAGGATAATATCTACCACCTCCTACCACGCTGAGAACCAATCTCTCGAAACCAGTAACCAGGGACTTCAAAACACGGCGAGCAAATCACCGACAGCGACGACGACACTGAACAGTTTGGATAGAGTCCTTAACAGAGCTAATTTCAATATAATCTCAGTTTTATCAAATAATTCAATAAACTAAAATAAAAAGTGAATAAATGGTCGCTAATGACTTATAAGTCTGAAAAATTGAAATAGAGTAGATTGTCATTATCGTCTTCAATATCCACATTCCACTTCGTCATCTTCTTGATCATCATCGACGACATCTTCGTCATCATCATCGACGACATCTTCGTCATCTTCTTCATCTTCATCTTCATCTTCATAACCGTGACCCGTTTCTAGGCAACCAGAAAGGCAATTCTGTTGGTTCTCATACCATTGAGTCCCACAGTTGTAGCAAAACTCATATCCACATCTACACAATACCACAAAAAAAAAGAAACTAAATTGAGCTATTTGTTTGTATACGGTAGCATAATAAAGTTAAAATACATATACCTGCATGTCATGTGATTGCAACCATGAGAAAGTTCAATCAAGTGTCTACACTTAACACATTGACGCCACATATTGTAGCTAGCTAGAGAGTTTAGCTTCAAAACATCAACTAGATTCTGATCACCGTGAAGTTTCTTGTAATCATCACACGATAAATTAGAATGCGATGGCACTTTACAATCAATGCAGAATAGTCCACGGCACTTGACGCATTCTCGAACACTTGATTGGTATGAGGTTTCATCATCAGCAGATCTTGAAAGCTCGGTTAGGGACATTAACACTGAGCAGTTTGGATATGGGCAATAGATTCTCTCTGTAGCGGGGATCGAGTCCTCTTTCGTCCTTTGTTTCCACAACTCTATCAGATTTGGTGTCAAAACCTTGATACAGCTTTCAAGAGTAAGCTCAAACATGCATCCATAAGCAAGACATGTTGGAAACTTTCCATTAAGGAGCTTCACTTCCACGTACTGTTTCACACAAGAAAAGCAATGACGGTGAGAGCAACCCTCAGTACAGAACATGCGCTCAGCATCTCTTTCTTCAAGACAAATGACACAAGTTTCTCTTTGTGATGATGTCTCCGCATTTACGCTATTGCTTAAGCTTTGAGAGTCTAATTCTTCTCTCGCAAGTCTATAAGCAAACTTAACATCGTTCCGCGCAACGAAATCAACTTCACTAGAAGTCAATTTTTCTCTAAGTCGTTGGACTTCTTCCACAAGATGGACAAGCTTCTTCTTAGGCTTCTCTTTACCACTTAGCTGCAATGAAAATTACTATTAATTCTCTTCAAATCAAGACATTGTTACTAGAGCATCTTTAACATATAAGCCATTGAATTACCAAAAAGCCCAATACTATGAGACAAACAAGCCGCCATGACTAGCTCATGTAAATAAGGTTCTCTAGCAAAATAGATTACTATACAAAGTGTGTAATGAACATCATTGTCCTTAACCTAGAGAGTTCTCAAAAAGGCAACTCTCTTTATTCCCATTTCAGAATCAATGTATTACTAATCTTGGTGATAATCTAAAGCTCTCTCCCTTTCTTTACATTTACTTGCACACACAATAAAGCTCCATGAGCTATCTAATTTCTAGCTTAATAACTCATTTAAGCACAAATTTTCTTGCTTTGAGTTTTCTCACGTTGATTATAACATAAAATAACAAAAGCAATAATAACAAAGAAAAAGAAACACTTACGTATTGGTATATACGATGGTCATCGCAATAAATCACCACATTCTTAAACCCTAAACCTAAGGATTCATTTAAACCATGAATAAGTGCCGTGATCTCTACTCCTTTGCGGCTAATCTCGGCGTTGTTGCTCAATGTTTTCTTAATCTTAAACACCAATTCATCCATGTTATCGCACATCGCAACCCCAAATCCAGCATTCACTACAGCCGTCGTCTCGTTACTTCTGATCACAAAACCCTTGAAGTACAATCTATAGACGATGGTGGATTTAGAGTTTGGAGTATCTTCGGTTGTTGTAGAATCTATACACCCTTCCTTGGAGATCAAGTTTATGTCGTCTCTTTCCATGACTGATAATAAAAAAAAAGTGATAAATCTCCTAAGTTTTCTTGTGGAGATCACGAGAGGGACTAAGAGCTTTGCTTGAGAAGTTTGTTTAATAATTTCTCTTTAATTTCTTTAATATTTGGGTGCAATCGTTTTTGGATAGTGTCCATCCATATTCTCTGATTTTAAAGAAGTTTGTTATTATTCTTTTATTTTTTTTTTTAACATTTTTACTTTCAATTTCTAAAAACACAGCATAAATACAATTTTTTTCAAAAATACTGTACAAAACTAAAACCAAATTTTTTTAACATTTAAAACTAAACCTTAAATCTTTTGACTAGTGAATTTGATGAATTACATGGGAAAAATAATAACAAACTATATATGTATACTCCAATGACTTCTTCCCTATTCTTGCCATTTCACAAAGAGTATCGTTTTAATTTCTCTGTCGTCCTCAAAGTATCCCTTAATATTTTGGTGCAACCGTTTTTGGATAGTGTCTATCGATTCTCTGATTTTAAAGAAGTTTGTTATTTTTCTTTTTTTTATAACATTTTTACTTTCAATTTCCAAAAACACTGCATAAATACATTTTTTTCAAAAATACTGTACAAAACTAAAACCAAATTTTTTTTTAACATTTAAAACTAAACCTTAAATCTTTTGACTAGTGAATTTGATGAATTACATGGGAAAAATAATAACAAACTATATATGTATACTACAATGACTTCTACCCTATTCTCTCCATTTCACAGAGAGTATCGTTTTAATTTCTCTGTCGTCCTCAAAGTATCCCTTAATATTTTGGTGCAACCGTTTTTGGATAGTGTCCATCGATTCTCTGATTTTAAAGAAGTTTGTTATTTTTCTTTTTTTTATAACATTTTTACTTTCAATTTCCAAAAACACTGCATAAATACATTTTTTTCAAAAATACTGTACAAAACTAAAACCAATTTTTTTTTAACACTTAAAACTAAACCTTAAATCTTTTGACTAATGAATTTGATGAATTACGTGGTAAAAATAATAACAAACTATGTATACTCTAATGACTTTTACACGATTCTCTCCATCTCACAAAGAGTATCGTTTCAAGGTTTTTATCTTGTTTCACAAAGAATGTCGTTTTGTGTTTCCAATGGACCTTTAAATACTTAATTAGAGAGAATTTATTAATAAAGAGTAAAAATATTTTTTTTATTTTTCTTAATTTGTGTGAAAAAATGTTAGAATGATACTTTTTATGAAACAGATGAAATATTACTTTGTTACAACATCAAATAAACAACAGAAGAATAATAAAGTCGCAGATCGATTGGCTAAAGAGAGCTTCCCTTCCTTTATTGACTATATGTTCTTTCTTTCGCTCCCAATTTTATTGTAAACCTCCTCTTTGAGGATCACTATTTCAACTAATTAATGAAAGCTGTTTTAAAAAAAACAATTAGTTTGATATTTATTATATCTATATATTATTCTACCAAACTGTAAAAATTTATGTAAAGTATCATTTATCACAAAAGAAGATATAAAACATATATCAATTATTCGAAAAAATACTCTGAGACCAAAATATTATGGCTAACACTAAGTTTTCAATTTTGGCCGCATGTTTTTGATTACGTACTATATCTAGTATTAGAAAATTGAGTTTGATGAACAATAACACTCTACTATTATAAAAACAAAGTTTAAAGCCCAAATAAAAGATGTTATACTAAAAGAAATGCACCATTAAAAGTCTTAAAGCTCTCAAATTAAATATCATAAAGAAAGAGAAAAATTGCCAAATAAAAAAAGATGGAATGTTGTTGATCCAAAAGAGATATTAAAGAGTATAATAATCTCTGTAAAAGTCCTCATCGAAGAAGCCTCCTTCACCTCCAGAATTATTAAAACCATCGTAGTCATCCCAAACATAATCATTTCCATCATCATCATTCACTTCTTCAGTGGTAAAATCTTCATACTCTTGTACCACATCAGGATCAATGATCAGCGTCTGTTCCTGCGCATTGTCGTAGCTACAAAACAAACCAAAACATATTAGACAAATGACAAGAATGCTGCCATGGGTTTAGAGTAATAAAATGTGAGTTATATAAGAGAACAAAACATCACTGAGCGGTTTGGTGATCGACAAAATCTTCGAAGTCATGCCAGCGGTTACCCTCGTCGTCGAAGTAGCATTCACACATATCCTCTTCACAAGAATGTTCTGAGTCATTATCATCATCGTCGTCATCTTCATCATAACCAATACCTTGGCAACCGGACGGGCAAGTTTGTTGGTCTTCCTTCCATTCAATCCCGCATTGGTAACAAAACTCATATCCACATCTACAAAATGCACACATAATGAAAACATTATGATATAGAAGTAGTCCAATGAAGCAATGTGGTTAGAAGATATAGCGTAATCGAGTGATATATAAATATATACCGGCAAGTCATGTGGTTGCAGCCAGAAGAAAGTTCAATCAAGTGCCTACACTTGACACATTGTCGCCACATATTGTTGTTTGCGAGAGACTGTAGCTTCAAGTCATCTACTAGAGGGTCAGGGTGAAGTTTCTTGTAATCCTCACACGACAAATCAGTATGCGATGGTACTTTGCAATCAATGCAGAAGAGTCCACAACATTTGATACATGACCTGACATTGGATTGCTCGTCTTCATGACTAGAAAGCTCGGTTTTGGACATCAGCATTGAGCAGCTTGGATATGGACAATAGATTTTTTCGGCAGCGGGAACCGAATCCTCTTTCATCTTATGTTTCCACATATCAATCAGCTTTGCCGTCAAAACCTTGCTACAGCTTTCAAGGGTGAGCACAAACTTGCATCCATACTCAAGGCATGTAGGCTCAATTCCGCTAAGCAGCTTCACTTCCACATGCTGTTTCACACAAGAATAGCAATGACGGTGAAGGCATTTGTCGGTAAAGAACATGCGCTCCTCATCAGTTTCTTCAAGACAAATACCACAAACTCTTCCTTGTTCTGCCTTCACATCAACACTGCTGCTTTGAGAAGCTATGGCCTCTCTTGCTAGCCTAAACGCAAACTTAACATCGTTCCGGGCAACCAAAATAGTGTCAATACAAGCCATTTTTTCTAGAATGCTTTGAGCTTCTTCCACAAGATGGTCAATCTTCTTCTTAGTCTTCCCTCTACCAATTATCTATAACCAAAATCAAATTCATTATCCTTAAACTAACACACTAATTATATCATCACATCATTTCTATTACTCTTCTCAGATTCTACAATAAGCAAGAGTACTTTAGTAAAACCTTACGTTATCATACATTCATACCTAAAATAATACAATCATATCTTTGATCACTCACAAAACTAGATATGTCACCTTATCGTTGGAGTGAGTTAAAAATTTCAAAGTAACACTACCAAGCAAAAAAGAATAATGATAATATTGTAACATATAATACAATAGTAACACTACCAAACAAAAACGAATAATAATAATATTGTAACATGCAACAGTAACACTACCAAACTATTGTAGTCTAATGATTCAGAATAACCAAAAACCAATACAATAACAAAGAAGAGAAACACTTACAGATTGGTATATCCAATGGTCATCGCAATAAACCACAACGTTTCTGATCCCCAAATCATAGGATTCACTTAAACCACGAATCAGTCCCATAATCTCTACACCTCTACGACTAATCTGATTATCACTAAATGATTCTTTCATCTCATACAACAAATGATCCATCTCATCGCAAATCGCAACTCCGAATCCAGCAACACTCACTGTCTTAACCTTACCGTCCACCAATGTCGTCTCATCACTCACCAAACCCTTGACGTACAATCTATATGTCACATTGTCCAAAAACTTTGCCGCTGAAGAAGAACCTAATCGCCGTTTAGGGTTTGGGACATCACTAGTTACATCAGAATCTAATCGTCGTTTCTTGGAACTCAAGTCTAGATCGTGTCTCTCCATGTCTGTTTTGTTATTTTCAATTGGTTTTGTCGTGGACATATATGAAGACTAGTATATAGACGAAGAAGAGAGAGGTGCACTAAGCGTGCTTGAGAAGTTGCCAATTAAATTTCTAATTAATTGCTTGTTATTAACGCACCGGGATATTTGTAACCGTTTTGGTATTTGTATCGATTTATTTTCCTAAATATAATTTAATTCCCATTATTATGCCTGTTATGATGCTTTTGACGTTAACCTATGATTTAGACTAATCCTGATGTATTTTTTTTTGGCAACTAACCATGATTAGGCACATGGCAGCATACGGAACCGACCATATTCGTTAACCAATAGGAAGTTAATTTGTGTCTTGTGTTGATCTAAAGAGAGAATTTTAGGGAGGGAAATTCAGGATGAATTAACCAAGACAGCATTATAATTTGAACTAGGCATGTCAATCAGGATGTCCCAGCTCAGCCCAAAACCGCAAAACTTACATATATTAAAGTCTGGTCCGAAAAAAAATTTGAAACTATATTTTAATATCCGATCCGACCGTAACAGCGTTATAAAGCTTTTATGAGATTTTTTGCATTTTTATTATGAGCAAAATAATATGTCAAAATTTACATATATATATATATATATATATATATGTTTTAAACGGATTTCTTGGCATCAGCTTCACCTTTGGCTTTATCTGCATAGCTTTGATGAACAGAGAAGCGAGAATTTGGTGATGCAAATTAAACATATAAAAATTAGAAATGATGTCTTAAATATGATTTCTCAAAAATGATGGTACGGAAGCTTAAATTGAATATTATCGATTTCCCTTGATGGTTATGTATATTTTCTTTCAATAATACTCAATCTAAAGTCCCAAAGAAGACTCTTTAATCCTATTTCATTGGACTTTGATTCTTTACCACAATTGATTGTCAGCTGTGATACAACATAGCTACGCTACATAGAAGATAGTGATGCTATAGTATGGACCTCTTTAGATTTGCAAGGCCCGTGTTAGACTATAAGCAATGTAGGCAAATGCCATGGATCCAGATATAATTTTTTAAAATTTCTTAAGGTTTTTGGGCATTTTTTGCAACAAAAAAAAAAAAAAATTATTAACAGATTTTACATTTTTTGGAATTTGCCAAGGGTACTTTTCATCGATTAATTAAGAGGGGGACTTGGCTTTGTACAAAGACATGATGAATGTCTCTACTGGATACTGTTTTATGCTGTTTATATTCGTAGAGATAATTATGGGGTTTTGCTTCCCATATCGCAATTCACAACAGAAGAACAAAGCAAAGATTTGGTATGTAACAAAGAAGCAATGAAAATCAAATGAAAATGAAAAAGTGTATGTGAGCACATTTCTTTAAACAAGCTTTAATCGCTTGAGGAGAGGATGTGATGAAAGAAAACTCACAAATTATTAATAATGATCAAGACAGAGCCCTAATAACATGTGTGTTTTGCAAATTACAAGCATCATCTACATGTTCATATTGAATCCACACCAAAGGTCCAAGTGCAGCATTAACCATGGTCATTTCATTGTTATAACTTGACATGAAGAAACATGAAAAGAAGTCACTCTCTAAAGGGTAAGAAATCCTTCCACTGACAATATTAAAAAGTACACATTGTCTTAACTAAACATTCATTTTCAAAATAATTATAAACCATAACATTTTAGTACTTTTTTTTTTTTGACTTCAAACATTTTTTTAACATTTTTAACATTTTAATAACATTTTAGTACTATATATATACTACAATTTCGCAGAAAAAAACGTTAGTACATTCAAACGTGATATAGCACGGATTATCCCCTAGTTATAGATGATCAAAACAAAAAAAAAAGATGTTAAAGAAATACACACCACCAGTATCCTAAAAAATCCTCAACAGATCATGGAGAAAGAAAAAATGCCAGATAAAAAGATTGAATGTGTTGAAAACAAGGTCTAATCTCTGTGTTGATGACCCAACCAGAGATTAAAGAGAATAGTAACCTCTGTAAAAGGCTTCATTAAAGCCTCCTTCATCGCCAGAATGAGTTAATCCTCCATAGTTGTTGTAGTGGTAGCCCCAATTGTGACCTTCAAGGTCATACTCATCAGGAGAAGGATTCTCAAACTCTTGGCCGCCAATACCTGCGCAACCTGACGGGCAACTCTGTTGGTTGTTCTTCCATTCAATCCCACATTGGTAACAAAACTCATATCCACATCTATATAATGCATACACAAAGAAAACATTATGATATATAATAATTCGAATGAAGTAACGTATTCGGAGTAATATATAAATATATATACCTGCAAGTCATGTGGTTGCAGCCAGAAGAAAGTTCAATCATGTGCCTACACTTGATACATTGACGCCACATATTGTTGTTTGCTAGAGACTGTAGCTTCAAGTCATCTACTAAAGGGTCAGGGTGAAGTTTCTTGTAATCATCACACGACAAATCAGTATGCGATGGTACTTTGCAATCAATGCAGAAGAGTCCACAACATTTGACACATGACCGGACATTAGGTTGGTCAGCTTCACTGGAAAGCGCGGATTTGGACATCAGCGTTGAACAGCTTGGATATGGGCAATAGATTTTCTCGGACGCGGGAATTGAATCCTCATACATCTTATGTTTCCACATGTCAATCAGCTTAGATGTCAAAACCTTGCTACAGCTTTTAAGGGTGAGCACAAACTTGCATCCATACTCAAGGCAAGTCGGCTCAATCCCGCTAAGCAGCTTCACTTCAACATGCTTTTTCACACAAGAAAAACAATGACGGTGAGGGCATATGTCGGTAGAGAACATGCGCTCCTCATTGGTTTCTTCAAGACAAATACCACAAACTCCTTCTTGTTCTGCCTTCACATCAACACTGCTGCTGCCTTGAGAAGCTATGGCCTCTCTTGCAAGTCTAAAAGCAAACTTAACATCGTTCCGAGCAACCAAAACCGCGTCATTACAATACATTTTTTCTAGAATGCTTTGAGCTTCTTCCACGAGATGTTCATACTTCTTCTTAGTCTTCCCTCTACCAACTACCTACAACGTCAATCAGATTCATTCTCCTTAAACTAATTAAGACATTAACTATATAATTATCATAGCCATTATCTCTTATGAGATTCTACAATAATCAAGACTTTTGCAAAAGCTTACGTTATATATCATTACATATAATAACACAATCGATATGGTTACCATATAGATAACATTGTGACATGCAAAATCACAACTATAACTATAGCATATACACATCATAAATAAACCAAAGAGAAACACTTACTGAATCGTTAATCCAATAGTCATCAAAATAAGTCACGACGTTTCTAATCCCAAAATCATAAGATTCACTTAAACCACGGATCAGTCCCATAAGCTCTACACCTCTACGACTAATCTGAACGTCACCGAATGATTCTTTAATCTCATACAACAAAGTATCCATATCATCGCAAATCGCAACTCCATATCCAGCAACCTTCACGGTCTTTTCATTACCGTCCACCACTGTCGACACATTACTTACCAAACCCTTGATGTACAATCTGTAGCACACATTGTCTAAAAACTTTGCAGCCGCCGCAGAAGAAGAGCTCTCGCCTTTAGGGTTTGTGAAATCTCCGGTTATAATTGAATCTATTCGCCGTCTTTTGGAACTTGATTCTTGTAGATCGTGTCTCCTCATGTCTGATTTAAGTTTTCAAGTCGTTTCCTCGTGAACATATATAGACTTTGTGTATATAGATAGAGGAAGCTTAGTACTAAACCGTGCTAGAGAAGTTACTAAATAAATTATCTAATTAACTGCTTGTTATTAAATCCCCACAATGTGTAACAGTTTCTGGTTTTCGTATTATCGATTGATTTTCCTATATTGAAAAATTAATTCCCATTAATATGCCATTTATGATTACTTTTGACGATAACCTATGCTTAGACGAATCACTAATGTTTCCTTTGATATACATATGGTAACTAACCGGGTTTTAGGTTTGTATCCATGGTTTGGCACTTGGCAGCAAAAGGAGCCGGTTTAGTTAACCGGTATGTAGGTTTAGCCGTTTAGGTCCTTTAGGTCCTTTAGGTCCTTTAGGAAGTAAAGAGTTTAATATGAGAGAATTTTAGAACTAGGAGAAAGGCATGGGGAAGAGTTGTATAACTTGTAAGCGACTTCAATACAAAGGGATCAAAATACTACAAACACAGAGATGTGAATCAAAGCATATTTTCACTCTGAAATTTTCTCCAGCAATTTCTCTACCATGATTCTTTGCTGTGTCCCGCTTAAAGTTTCAGAATTCATCAACGCATTGGCAACGATAATCACTACACGAGGAGAAGCCGCATGCACCTGAAAACAGACCAAAGGTATTAAACCATGTGATTTCCAGTTACATTGTTTTGAATCTTAGGAAGCAATCACTGTGTTTCTTACCCAGACTCTCCCATTTAAGCCAAATGCAGTCTCGAACGAGAGTTTCTTTCCAAGAGCTTCGAGGACTGGGCAAGTTGGTGAGCTTAATAACCTAATAAGGACAACAAGAGATTCAAGACGAGGAAGCTGCATATGGAGATAGCTATATAAGGGAAGAAGACTAAGACGAAACTCACATTCTTGATAGACCAGTCGAAGTTTCAAACATGAAACCATCTTTCAAGGGACCAAATCCTGCAGCCTTTCCACTTGCTATTACATTTTCCAACAAGCAATTGCTTAGTCTAAACATTAATGCGGCGAAACAAGAAAGGTTTGACTTTTAAAGGTTTGTAAGAAAACATAATGCATGGACTTACCATCAGTACAGGACACCTCTGGGTTCATTCCTGTGTTTGTCTTCACAACCCGAACATATAGAAGTGTACCTACCTGTTTCAACAAGTTGTTAAAGCTCCCGAAAGAAACACGCCAAACAAAGTTAAACTGCCTATTATGCCAATAAAGTACCGAATCATTTCAATATCACGCACAATCAAACATGTTTCCAGGGAATTTTCCAAGATACTATAAAGGCCATTCTAGCATCTTAAGCAACCGAGTGTAGTTACCAGCTAGAGACTATTCTATTGATGTTTCAGATTGAACAAACATATTCAGAAGGTACTTGCCTCAAACTTGGGTATATTCCTCCTTGTTCCTCCTTCAAATGCTAGCACGGGGAGCAGAGCCAATTGGGGTCCTTTAATATCTACCCAAAAATTCTGCAACAAAACAAGAGTCAAAGAGAATCAACAAAACTTTGGTTGATAAAACTAGGGGCAACCCTAGATAAATGCTATTTCAGCCTACTCGTTTACTTCTGATCGAAGACTATAAACTATATTGTCACTGCTCTCAAGTCTCCCATCCAGGCTTAACTAACAAAAAAATTTTACAAGCTAATCTTGGCGCTGAGAAAACTATGCTCTTCAAAGAAACAATGATTGAAGTCTTTGAAATAGTAATAGAGCGAAACAGAGATCAACATTCTCTAAACATGATGTGTCCATAATAATAAACCGTATACAGAGTACTTACATCTGATTTAGAATCAACCACAATGCCAAGAACTGTATCCTCAGGGCGAGGTATATACTGCAAAAAACCCACAATAGCAAAGTCAAAAACTCATTACATACAAACTTTCCAAACTATAGTGACACCTTCCACTTCTCAAGACACAATGAATAGTTAGTTGACAACAATCTAAATATCAATAACTAGTACAACCAATAGCTATCAAGAAGAAGCTCCACAAAATCAACAAGGTAGAGTATGGTTTTAGCTATGTAGTTCTCACCCTTTTATGAGAACTCTCCACCCAATACTTATTTGGCTTAGAGAACCTAAACTTCCCAGCTCTCATAGCAGATATCGCATCATTATCCTAAAACAAAACAACACCACAAAATCATATGTCAAGCTTATAGCCTTGCAAAGTTGAAAGCTCAAACTAAGCAAACAATGTTAATTCCAAAATTCAACAATGAACTAAGCATAAATTGAATACAGAACTGAGGAAAAAAAAAACAATTTTGAAAAAAGTTTGAAGATTTCGAAGAAAGACAAAAACCTGACGGAGACCACTGCCGAGTTTGATTGTTTGGTTAGTCATGTTTGACAAATCAAGAACAACATCACCTGGAACCTGAAACCCATCTCAAAAAACTTAAACTTTTCTTCAATTCAAATCCCAATCTAAAAAGATAACCAAAGAAGCAGAGATTTTTGTAGAGAAATACGCACGACGGTCTGACCGATGAGGCTTGTCGGCGAGGTAGAAACTTCAGTACTCATCTTTCTTATTACGTCGTAACGAATAAAAACACCAATGAAGCGAAACAGAGTATGAGCAGAGCTGGGAGATAGAGAGAGGAGTAGAACCCTAAAGAATCTAAAACCCTAAAGTTTATTGCTTTGAGATGTTGATGAAGAAGACGATGAGAACCCCGAACCAAGATTTAGATTGGTTATGCGTGGTTTGTTTCTGTTTAGTAAACCGATGTGGTTATCTTGCTTTAGATTTTTTTTTTTTTCTCCTAAAGTTATTATTTAATTCATAGCAAAGCTGTTACAAACAGATTACCGCCCAGGAAAGCCCATATAGATGCATTGCTTTATGATTCACCATTATGTAATATGATAAAACTTAGCTTCAGATCTAACAAAAACAAAAATACTTGTATAAACATACAAGATAGGTTTGTCAACTCTCGTGAAACTCTGTTAAGAGACAGAGACGAACCAAGGCTGACAATTCCTCTTTACTGAAAGTAAACTAACATCTAACAAAGGCGACAATAAGATAACACGGCAACGAAAAAGCCATGTTTACGCCAAGAACACAGCAACGGAAAAGCCATGTTTACTGTGATATTAGACATCATTCAGACACAAAAATCGACAAGACATGTCGAGGACGATCAAAGATAAGAACTCCTCTCTCTCTTGAAAAATATTTTAGGAGAGAAGAAAGAGAAAGGTTCTTGCTTTAGATTACAGATTTTAGTTTTTGACGTTGGTTTTTAGATTTTGCAAAAATATAAATAAAATATATATTGGAAAAGATATTGTGAAAAAAGATTCTCAAAAATCCATTGGAACTAGATTTTGGATTTTGTTAAGAAATTCGTTAAAAAAAACATACTTTTAATTTTCTTAAGAATCATTTTTTCTCAAAACTTTGAATAATTAAAAATATATTTTTGGAAAAACTAAAACAAAAAATTTATTAAAAAATTATAATACTAATTTTTCTATAAAAAATAATAGTTCTTGAATCATTCGTATGACTAGAAAACCAATAATGTTAGGGGTTATTGTCAAATTGGGACTTTTTCCAAAAATCTTTGAAATAAGGATTTTTTTTTTAACTTTTATATTTTTCAAGGGGACATACACCTTACATTGAACCGGCCCAAAGCCATCATGCCCAAAAATAACATGGCACCGGCCCAGAACAGCGCATAGGCCCCCTAAATTACAAGGCTTACGACAGCCAAAACAGGCGCAGGCCCAGCATACAAGGTTTCCAACAACCCAAAGATGGCACACAAGCCTAAATAAGAGAAGAAAGAGCAAAGAGAACAACAAAGGCCCATCGAGAAGGCCCAACAACCAAACACGACCTGCAATACACAAAAAGTTACAAGTTGAGACAGCCATCAACATTAACAAGGCTGAAAAACAGAGAACCAAGAGCTCATAAGAGAAGGTCCAGGACGCAAGCGAGATAAGGCCCTAGAAATAAGGAATTTCTGTCCATGCTTATGGATTTGAGTAATTTTCCCAGTGTGATTTGTCTTTTCTAACCCTGCTAATATGTGAAGAGGTGAGAAGATCATTTTTCACCACCGGCAACTTGTTCCGATTTCGAAGATCTCTAATCACCGGATCTCAAATCTGAACTTAAGAGGCATCACCATTAAAAGCTAAAAACGAAAAAAGCTCCATCACCCAAATTCCTTTAATCTCAAACCAAAAGCATTAAGAAACACATCATTCCACCATTGCAAATCGATCTTCAAAACTAAAATCGGATATATGTTCTCTGAATAATATCTTTAACTCCACTGATCAAAATTAAACCCTAAGAAACCTTATAACAGGTGAACCCAAGGGGAAAAGATAACAAATTCTGCTTTTTTTTTTTTTTCAAAGTTTTGAGAAGATTTATTTTTTTAAGTTTTCATCTTCGTTTACCAAATTCTAAAATAATCAGCATAATTATCAAAGATCCGCATCTCCAACACGGATGAATCTGTTCACATACTAAAATAATGTCTTAATCCTAATATTCCATAAATTATAGATTCCAGAGAAAATATATGTGTTCTTTGAAGCTGTTTATCATAGTAAGTGAGAGAGAGTTAACAGGGTTAAATCTATCATTCCACAACACTGAGAAATGCCTTTAATATAGAAGCATGGAGATAAATGCCCGATTGGACAATACCTATGGGAAAAAATACCGATCCCGTAAATTTCACATAATGTTATTGTTAAATATCACTAAAATTAAAACAAAACTTGGCTGAATGAGTCATAATTGACATTCATCCTGACTTCGAATTGGTTTTAGTCCCATGTATAATGAGTTAAATATTTTTTACAAAATTTTTGTTTCACAATTCTACATATGTAATTGCAATACTAAATCAAAGATGTAACACATAATAAATTTTTAGAACAAATAAAAGTTTAAGTCATATAACTTTGATATTAAATTTAAAACTATCCAGAACTAAATTATTATATGTAAAAACAAAAAACTTTGTCCACGGTGTACCGCGTGTTAAATCATAGATTCATAATTCTAAATTAAGTATAATACGGATAAGTGTTGTCGAGAAGTTGGTCTGAACTGACACTAGGGATAAGTGCCGATCAATACCAACATCTACTAGCTGTGGAGCGTTTTCTTGATTGCCCTGGTGTGGATGTTTTGTGTTGATTCATTGTTATATAGCCAAGTAGATGGGAGGGTCTCTTTATTAAATACTAGTCGGTTGCCCGCGTTACACGCATAAGTTTTATTATGTTGTTTATGAGTAATTTGTTTGTATTTTATTTCCTACTTATTTTTTTCACTATAGAATACTTTATTTCTTAAATCTTAGATTGTGTTTGTATAGAAAACTTGTTGAGTTTTAACTTCATCAGTAGTTGAGAAATTAAATGTGTATGGTCAATGTGTGGTTGTAAATGAAAGTACTATGGAGAATCATAGAGAAACATGTGTTATTAGAATTCCCACCAAATATAGATCTAGATGTTAATATTGTGAGTCTTTTTAATATGTTGGCCCAAAATTTGAAAATGATTTGTGGATTTTTGGCGGATTTTTGTATTTTTATTTTTTATATTATCTATTTATATATTTTCCTAATTTATTTTTTTTGTTTCACGTTTATATTTTTTGGATTTGACGTAATTTATATCTCGCTATGATCATTTTTATACTATTATATATTCGTTTCTGATTTTCTATTTTATATATATATATTTTTTTTTCATATGGAATGTTTTTTAAATTTAACATATTGTATAATTTAATTTATATTTAGTTCATTTCAATATTTTTTTTTCAATTTTTATGAAATATTGATAATTTTTTATTTTGTTTATTAGTTTAACATGTGTGATGTATTTGAAAACAATAGTTAAATTCATATTGGAAACCATTAAAAGAATATTATTTTTATTGTTACCTTTTTATACGTGTTTTTAAAATGAGAATTCATGTTTCGTCCCAACCTATCTCATTTATGTTGGAGAATTTTGGGAGACATAAGTTAGATAGATTGTTATTCTCAAAATTTCTTACTTTTGTTAAATTCTCGTTAAATCCCATTATAATTTAGGTTTACATTGTGTAAATATAATCAAATTTTGTGTTATATTATTTTTAATTTATATATATATATATATATATCTTCATTATAAAACATTTACTTAAAAACTATAATCTATTATTTATATATTAGTTAGTATGATCGATAATTAGTAAGTTTCTTTATTTTTAATCAATTATCTTTTTTAATTTTATCATATAAAATATTAAAAAAAATCATTTCATATTCCTTTTTGAAAAACTTATTTACATATGTCTAAATCTTAAAATTAAATGATAAAATGGCATAATTAATTTTTAAACTTAAATTATAAAATGAAGGTGGATAATGATTACGATGATGAGGCGGTTTAATGAGAAGATAGAAAAGTATACTTTATATATATAGATTTGTGATAATACATATTTTTATGATGCATGTAAAGTTATAATGTAACATGGAATTATGACGAGGAAAAGAGATGATTTACGATCTCGGTTGATTGGTGTTGGTTATGTGTCGTTTATTTTCGCTAGAATCTGGTTAAAAGCATGCTTAGGAATGCTCCACTTATCAATTTCGTCTCACATATCACCATTATACTATATCTCGATCGATAATAATGATTAGCTAGGCTACAAAGTACAAACCCACATCAAATTATTTTATCATAAAGCTCTCATTGTAAAAATATGATTATAACTAAACAATTTTTATGGGCAAGGATAACCACATAAACAAATAATTCGTTCTTGGAATGATTTAATGCATCTACCATGTCCTTTGGGATTCTTTTTCAAACACATGGATCTACATTCATTGTAATCACAATTGTTGTCTTTTAGTTTTAGAGGTGCCCAACATAATTTTATTTCAAAACTCATGCTTCCCACAGCTCCTGTCATATATGTAAAACGTAGCATCTTAGTCTTATATAGAAATAGAAAAAAAAATACAATTTTAACTTTTGAAGAAGGTAATTAGTTATATGAATATTGTTTATATTAGTAGAAGATTTAAAACATCAATCATATTTTCATTTTTCTGAAAAATCATATGATTGTAATTAAAATTATATTTTATGTTGCGATAATTTGAAACTATTTAAATTAATTTACAGTAAAAGAACTTCAAAAAAATAATACTGGAAACAAGAAAACTATATTTTAAACATTTATGTATGTAGTGTGGAAAAAGAAGAAGTTTACGGATAAAAAATACGAATTATTACAAAATATTTTAACTAATTCATGTTCTAATAGTTCTTTATACTATGTTAAAAACATATTACTTCACAAAATCAGGAAGTTTCTAAAATATATTGAGGATAAGATTGTTAGGAATAGCTATAACTTATGGTATGAATTTGACATATAAAATGCTAAATGTGATATTATGGAATTGTATATCAAACAAAGAGGATGTGACACAAAACCTATAGCATTGGTGATTGAGTTTCTTAGAGAATTGCTATTTACATTTTTGTTTTTAGTTAATTTTTATGACCTATATTTTCTACAACAACGATGTGTAAACTAGAAAAACTAAATTTAAATACAAACCTATCATAAGAACAATGAAGATAACCAAAATGACAAACGAGGGTTGAAAGTTTCTCTTCATTGTAGATGGTGAAAATGAATTGTAATATTTTTAATTTTGAGAATAGAGAAGACAATGTAGCTATATATAATAAGTACTAACATAAATGTACCATCAATTTAACATATCTAATTTAAGCAGTGTACTACCATAAATTCCGAGTTAAAAGGATCTCATTTTACCCACAAGTTCCAGTTTTTCTATGTGACATGTGAAAACCTTAAACTCCCACTTTTTTATGCTTGATCACAAGACCATTATTTTCCATTTTAAATGAATGGTGAATATTAAAAAAAAAAACCTTCTAATTAAACGTACCCATCTTTTTATTGTCAATTATATTTTCTCATAGTTATCTATACACATTTTTGGCTTAGTTATATTTTTCAGATCTCGAGCACCTATACTATTAAAACACCTAAGACCAACAATATTGGCAGGTTTTAAGAAGGATTTAGGGGTTTTTAAAAAAAAAAAAAAATCAAAAACATTAATATTGCTAAGATACGTATGCTGGAGAAGATACATTTGGTGGGATAAGAGACGCCACGTGGCGCAATTGGATTGGGTAAGTTTTTTTTAATCCATTTAATCCATTTATTATGACATTACTATAGTTTCTATGGATTGGGTAATTTGATAATTATATTATGACATAAAAAATTTCAAACTTAATTATGAATTTGATGAATCGATGTTAAAAAAAACCCAACAAAATTAGTCATACATGGAAAATACAAGTTAATTTTCTTATATTACAAATTATAAATTTATTTAATTTTAAAAAAAATAAAAATCTAAGATACCCTACTTAAGATCCTACCAATAAACACAACTCAAAACTAAAAACAAAATTAAAACTCTTAAACTCTACTTTTTCATATTTAATACTAAATTAATGCTAACATACCCTAACTAACATCCTCCCTATAATGTTGCTCTAAGAGTATCTCCAACCATAAACCCTTAAAAAGAGTATATAATAATATTTTTTCTTAAATTATAATTAAATAAAATGGAGAGAGAGAAAGAAAGAAAGAGAAAAAAAAGATGAACGGAGAGAGAGAGAAATTTTTTTTTTGTCACATCACTTTAGCAACCGTTCCTTAAATCTCTTCTGGAAGGACTGCTCTTTACCATTTATTTACATTTGTATTTATTTTAAATCAGCATAAACTCTAATTTTGGGTTAAGGATCTCCCTTTGACATGGTCTAAAAGAAGTTGCATTGAGGAGTTTTCAAATGTAAGTATAGTTTAATATAGTTTTTAAATTTAGAGTAGATTAAAATCAAGAGAACTCCACGTCAAAGCTTCTCTTTTGAGATACTTGAGAGACTTATCAAATATCCATGAGATACCCACTTTACACATATCATTTAATTGTTAACTTGATTTTTTTAAATTAAATTTTAATTGTACTCTAAATTTACAATTATATAGATGAGATACTTATAAGGGATCTCACCCCAATAGAGATGCTCTAAGGCCATATTGGTATGTGGTCCTTTTAAGGAGACGTTTGGTCAACATGAGTGATAAGAGAGTTCCACTAGGGGCTCTTACAAATAGTTTTAAGTTTAAATGATTATGCTAACTCATTTAAATTTAAATGATTTATATAAAAAATGGACCTGTAATATACGACAAAGTAAATTCTATTTTTTTTTGGTAAAAGCACATTGTAAAAAACCAAAAAGAGAGAAAAAAAGATGTAAAAGTCTAGTTGGAACCCTAAATTTATAATAAGTTGGCAAAAGTTTTGATAGTAAAAAGGATAATTAGTAGAATATATTATTAGTAGAATATAGCATAGTTTTGATAGTAAAAAGGATAATTAGTAGAATATAGCATAGAATTATTGTTGGAATTATTCTGGTCTGCCCCACATAATGTATGGTCTTGGACCATAAACAATGAATTTTCTTTTGAGTTCGGTTACTTTATCGATCCACCACACGAGGTTTATGGATCTGGCGGAAGTTACTTAAGATATGTGAGGAAATCAAGCAGTTTATACGGGTTGAGGTGCATGATGGAGCGACTAAGTCATTTTGGCTTGACCAATGGTTACCTATGGGGCGGCTCATTGATCTGGCGGGTTCAACAGGACTAAGGCTGCCTGGAATTCCTATGCACACCATGGTTAAGGATGCTTTAGGAAACATCGGATGGAGATTAAGATGGACTCGGATCCCACATGTGGTTCCGATCATAGACCATTTGCGTGCTCAGCCAACTACCAACATTTCACACAGCCCCAATAAGTTTATGTGACGCCATACTGAGGACAATTTTAGAGAGATCTTCTCCACAAGGCTCACGTGGGAGCAGTTGATGAGGACTCACCACCAACCAACAACATGGAGTACTATAGTGTGGATTACACAAGGAATTCATGCCGATGGTTATATGTCGACTTCTCAACTAATCCAGAGAATCGACAAGCTTATTAGGAACCATATAACTTCCCTCGACTATGCTGCAAAACCTCGTTTCCAGAATTTGTTCCAACGATGGTTCAGTGTTTCTCCGCTTGTTCGGAGTCAAGTTTGAAGGGCACTGTTCTTATGTCTTACTTTATTGTTGTAAATTAGCTCAAAAACTTGTTTTTACATAATCTTTCTATTCGATTAATCAGTTACACATTTCATCCAAAGAAAAATATTGTTGGAATTTGGAAACGAAAATGGAAAATTAGTAGAATTTTGTGTAAGATTATTGGTAGAATCCATTTCACAAAACAAGAAAATTAAATATGGAAACAAGAGTTTATAAGAGAATAATATGAAAACTATGGTAGAAATGTGTCCAAATAAAATGAACCAAGTCTCTATTTATAGAGTTTAAAAAGTTATGAATTTTCATTTTTTATATAGAAAAATTGTTTGTTATATAATAATTAATTGTGAATAGATAGGACGAGATGAAATACTCAAAAATCTCAACGGCCAATTAGAATATAACAAGTGTCATTATCTTAAAAAGAAAAAAAAACTAGAAAAGCTTCAATCGCCTAACGTGTGTGTGAACTATACACTCCAAATAGGTGATGACACATGGCATGAGCGGATCCAAAAAATTTTCTTGTAAAGAGAAATATGTTGAGATATTAAATTTTGTAAAAAAAAAAGGAGAAAAAATAAATATGAGAATGAGTTTGTAAAGTAGAAAAAACTTCTATTATCTCTCTATGTAATTTTAGTTATACATTTTCAATATTTAATAACTGCTAAAGGAAAAAAATATATCTAAAAGTTAGAACGAGAAGAGATAGATAAGGATAAATAGTAAAATGGTAGATGAAAGGGTGTAATGATAAACAAAAAAAAAGGGTGCTAGAGTGCTAAATTCTCAAAAAAAAAAGAAAACTAAGAAAGATTGATCATGGAGAAAAATGAGATAGTAAAGTGCAGGTTGTGATCATCCTTATCGTCATCCTCAACATCATCATCATTCTCAATCTCCACCGCAATATTATTGACATTGGTTCCGTTGGACTATCAGTTACAACAGGATGATAGGTGCTCACTCATACATTCATGGTAAGGTGAGAGTGCTATTGCAACTATCGGCCAAACATATCTATATACGCATATAGAGGAAGAATTTCTCAATGCTTTTTTGAAAAACTACACTGGTCTAAAGAGTTTTCTCAAAGATGATAGTTTGATAAGAGAACAAGACTGCAAATGTGTGGTGGAGAAACGTGAGGGAGGAGTTTGTTCCAGCTTGGCATACGACAAGGTCAAGATTAATTGTCTATCAAGTAAATATTAGCATTATGTATGTTAAGTCGACTATTATATAATAAAATAATCTTTTTATTAAAAAAAAAATACATAAACTAATCATGAAACCAATTGGACTTAACAAAAATGAATAGTTGTTCACTCTCATATCCTCTTTTTCCAATTCTTCCTTCAAAATATTAGATAATAATAAAGCTCACAACCTTATCAAGCTTGATGACTTGGAAAAACTTTGAAAGAGTCTACAAACAAAAAAAACTTAGATTTTACAATTTTTGCATGAATTTTTATATGCTCGGGGAAGATTAAGGTAACTAGCATGGTAAAATTATTTTACAACACAAAAATAGAGCGCGAAATCTTGATTTTTAATAGTTTTTACTACTTATGTACTGTTTTCGTATATACTATTTTACCTTCATTTATAACCTACTTTTCTCTTTCCCCATTTACTTTTTCTTCACTTTTTTCTATTTTCTTTCATTTCATTTTTTTTGTTTTTTTTGTCCATTCTCTATTTTCTCTCAAAATCAAATTATAAAAAGCTTATTAATTTTTTGTAAAGTACAAAGAAGTTTTATTTTCTCTCTCTTCTTTTTAATTTTTTTCGTTGATTATGTTGGACTATCAACTACAACAAGATGATAGGTGCTCCTTATACATTCATGATAAAGTGAGGGTGCTATTGCAACTATCGGTCATGCATTTGTATACGCATATAGAGTATGATTTTTGAAAAATTACACTGGTTTAAAGAGTTTTCTCAAAGATGATGGTTTAATAAGAGAACAAGACTGAAAAATGTGTGGTGGAGAAACATGAAGGAGGAGTTTGTTGCAGCTTTCCAATATGTGGATGAATTTTAGAATAGAAGTAAAATTTTAAATTCATGGTAGTATAATACTAAATTTTTGTGGTTGTATTTCTATATTTTTAAACAGGAAAAATAAAATGTAAAGAGAAAAATAAAATATTACTAAAGTCAAATTAAATTTATAATTTAAGACAAAGATATTTGAAGGTAACACTTTATGGTATGAAATTAAAAAAAAAAACTGAAATTTAAAAAAATTATAATTCATCTTCTAAAGTAATAAGTAATTAATGATCACATTAGTCATGAGTTTTACAGCAAAATATATATAGAGAGCAATATGTACACCGTTAAAAACGGTTCTATGCAATTGTGTAGATTTTTTTATTATTCCCAAGTCAAACTACAACTTTATAATATAATCAAAAATAAAAGCAATAGAAGATGAAATAAACTAGATGTCGAGAGGCAACGAGTGCATCGTAGAAGATGACGAAAAAAATTGATAGTTAAAAGCGACTGAAAATAAATTACCAAACTTGGAAAGATAATGTATATCACTAAAGTAAAATATTTGAGATCACATGTATTGTGTGAATCAAGTGAGTTCTTCGGAAAAAAAACATGACACATTATTAGATTCAAAGTCGGACTTAATCGTTTGGTTATGTAGCTGTGAAATGTGAGATAAGATAGATACATTCATGACTTGGTCGGGAATTCTCTAATATTACACTACACTTTCTTAGACTAATAAAGCAAAGTTCGCTAAAGTTATTTAACAACAAGATATTATATACGTATCTTTACACTAAATAATGTTCATGAGGCTTATATATATTCACAGTTTATATAGAACGATGTTATATTCATACCAACATTTAATAATAAATTATATCTACAATTAAGTTAACAAGTGTCGATAATTAATTAACGTGAAAACTTTTAAAGAAATGTCTATATGGAATATGAATAAGAAAAAAAACTCTCTTAGTGATAAATGATCATAGACTATTTGCGATGCAGTTTATTTTTACTGTAATTTCTCAAGTGATATTTGTTACTATGTGATATATCAAATTATTTATTTTTCAAAAAAAACACTATTGTCAACAATATATAATATATATGTTGTATATCGTTTGGGTAAAATAAATTTAGTGTTTAGTAACATAAATTTATCTTCTAAAATTTGAACGATTTTATATTATACTCAAAAAGTTACATGGATAGAAAAGGTGTTAAATTAAAATCTCGCGCAACACCTGGATACAAAATTTAGTTGAAATATAATAGCTGTCAAAAGAACATTGATACTTTTCTTTTTGTTTTTTTTTTGTTTTTGTTTTCAAGATTATGTTTTCGTACTGTTCACACCAGGAATCCGAACCTAGTCTTAGTTTAAACGAGGTTTACGAATCAAACTTCAACTTTTCTTTTTGATTTGGCTTCCCTGTTATGATCCATTTGTAGTTCTGCTGAATATTCAAATGTGGCAACTCTCAATATATTTTGAGTTTTTGAGATGTGAAAAAAACGTGACCATTGATTCTTGATATTGGCTACTTTTTTTTTTTTTTTTAATCAGAGATATATGGATTTTTACTAGTTGAAAGGTCAGCCTAAGCACAAAAACAGTGGGAACGACACCGTTTGGACATTATCAACAACATGTCGATCACATTTACATGCATGCACTCTCTATTTAAACCCAGCTCTCTTCCTTCTACGTTCTACCAAAAGAAAACAATAATACAATAACAAAAAAAAATCTCTCAGTCTCCTAAAATATTATACATTAGTAACCATGATCATGAAGAAACCTGTGAAGTACTTTGTGGTAACTCTTTGTTTCGTTAAATCTACGTAAACTTCCTTAATCTTTTTAGCTTATCAAGTAATATCATGTTGCTAAAACAGGTTGATGCGTTTAGTGAGTCAGCGTTTAAGGGGAACCAAGCAGCAGTGTGCATTCTTGAAGAGGAGCATGAAAGAGACGATGCATGGTTTCAATCTCTTGCTGCCGAATTCAACATGTCTGAAACTTGTTTCGTGACTCCGATCAGTGGCTTTGATGCTCGCTTCATTCTCCGTTGGTTTACCCCTACACTCGAGGTTTGACTTTGTTTCTTTTGAGGTTGTTGACTTCATGTGTTCATTGTTTGAGAAACTCGAGTTCGTGAATCTTCTAGGGTTAAGAAAATAATATCATATTTTATACCAAAATATGTTCTCACGCTCATTTGTCACACTCCTATCCATTTGTATTTGATTATTCCAAAATCATCGACCACTTTGTGATACTTTAGTCCATTGATTTGTAGGTGGATCTTTGTGGTCATGGAACTATGGCATCAGCTCATACTCTCTTGGCAAACGGCTTGGTTGATTCAGACAAGGTTGAATTTGTAACACAATCAGGGATTCTTACAGCCAAGCGGGTTCCAGATACTTTGAAGCAAAACAAAAGTAAAGTGAAAGGAGGATCTTTCTGGATTGAATTGGATTTCCCTGTGGTTCCAACATGTGAGTACAATTACAACTACAAGGACATCATCTTCTCCATGTTTTCCAAAGCCTTAAATGGAGCTACCATTGTTGATGTCCAAGGAACCACATCTGATAAAGCGAGTTCAACCGATAAAATCATTGTATGCATATACAATTTCAAGAAAATTTGCTAATGTATTTTGGGAAAAATGGTCTTGTTGCTTTCATGATCTTTCCTAAACTTTGAATCTTGCTAATAAATATTCTTATTCAGGTTGTGCTTCCATCATGGGAAGCTGTCGCTCAAGTGCAACCAAGAATGGATGAAATGTTGAAATGCCCTGGAAAATTGATAATTGTTACAGCTGCTGCCCCTGAAGGATCGGTCTATGATTTTTGCAGCCGGTTCTTTTCTCCCAAACTAGGAGTTGATGAGGTTTAAAATCTATCCCACATTTGGAAGAAGCCATGAACACTTCATCTTACTTACATGCATGTGCAAACAAAACACCAAAGTCTTTATAAAATTTTGCATCTTTGTTCCTTTAGGACCCTGTGTGTGGAAGTGCACATTGTGCCTTAGCACATTACTGGAGCCTCAAGATGAACAAGTGTGATTTCCTAGCTTACTCGGTAATTACTCTTTAATGTTTTAAAGCTAGTTAAGAAGGAAACAAACAATTTACAAAACCTATATATATTTTTGTTTTCAGGCGTCTACAAGGAGTGGAACAGTGAAGGTTCATTATGACAAGGAGAGGCAGAGAGTTTTACTCATTGGTAAAGCAGTCACTGTGATGGCAGGCTCTATCTTCGTGTAATTTTGACTTTTAAAAGTCAAGATTTTGACAACATTTGAAAGCAAATAGACACTTTCACATGAGTTGGATTAATAAACTTATCTGTAATACTTAATGAGTCATTTGCCAATAAATCAAAGAAGTCTACTTTTCTCTTCTTTATCCAAAATATATTAAGAAAAAAAAAAAGGTTCCTTTGATTTTGTTTCAATTCCCCATATGCTATATGATCCATTCGTAGTTATGTACAATAATATCCAACCTTTACGTATGAATATTAAAAAAGATAAGCTAAAAGCTGATAATTTTCATTGACCAAGACTAAAGATCATTATCTTTTAATGAATCTGAATTTTAAACTAATCATGTTAACGTGAAAACATAAAAAGTTGAACATTGCTTACAATGCCGTCAAGCATGCGTTTCTAACAAAACAAAGAAACCTGAATGAGTTAAAATAGCTTTGGATTTTATGGTCTTAATTATTACATCATTTGTCTTAGGACTCAACATATAAACTTCAATCATTAGTGTGTCCGAGTTCAAATTTCATTGTAAATTATTTTTTGATGCATGCATGTTGCGCCACTTGAATGTACGTGTTGGGTTCATGCTGGATTAATGAACGCACGTATATGTAATGCTGATTAAGTCGTTTTGTTTTACTCTTCTAACACAACAAACAAAAATGGTTCGTATGATCGTATATTTCTTGTATTTTGATAAAATTTTGGTTTTGATTAGTACTACTCAAAACAAAAATTTTGGTTCTGATAAAATTTGAAATTTTGGTTTGAGGTTGGTAGGAAGTTCAATGATTTGTTGGTTATCAATCGGACGAAGGTTATGAAAAAGGTGGTTGGAATAGGGTTTTGAAAACTATGGTTAAGACTTAAGAGTCACGTTTTAATTACAAATGTATTTAGAATTGCACAACATTCATATTAGTATAAATTAAATGGGATGGGAACTCCATGAACTATCTAGTTACATGTCAAGTAGGCTGGAATCAAGTCACGTTAATTAGATGAACTAGTCAAGTTAGGGAATAGAAATAATAGTTTGAAATCACAAAAGCATAAAAAAAACTCAAATCATAGATATTAAACTATTAATACTCTCGCCACAATAATCAATGTGGATAAACAACCTTAGGCTTAGGTTCTATTTAATATATATTTTTGATTCACGAAGTAAACATTAATAATCGATGATATATAATCAGATTACTCGGTTAGTCTTGCGAGTTCTTTTGTCATAGAGCTACACAAAATATGCACTTTCAATAATTAGTCTCATTTTGATACATAGATTTAATTACTTATATTCATTCTAACAAATATAAGGGCATCCTCATTAGTAAGTATGTCAATATAGAGTATTTAAGTTAAAAAAAATATTATTTGTATTTTCATTTTACTTTTTAATTAAATTTTAAATAATTAGTAGTACATCACTAATAAAATTACAACATCTAAATATACTTTTCTCGCATTGATCCACATCCGAGGGATATAATCTATCAAATAAGATATATTATTTTTATTAATTATTTTATTATTTCAATAGTCTCCCTGGACCATTTGACTAGAACGTTCTAAGAGAATTGGTATTAGTGTACTACTTGAAATATATGTCTTATAATATAATATTATTATTTAATTAATTTTTTCTGTTTTTTAAAATAAGCTAACCACAACCTAATAAGTGAGAAGATGTTTGAAGAGTGTCTTACTCTCTTTCCTCAGCTTTTTCAATATATGTTTTTTTATTAGTCGATACATCCATCTTTTTTCACCTATGGACATGGTCTAAACATTTGATAAGTACCTTTTTAAAAGTGCTCTAACGGAAATGGTCTAAAACACACTCTCTTACTTTCTTTCTTCAGCTTTTTCAGTTTTTTTTATTAGTTGATGCATCCATCTTTTTCACCGATGGACATGGTCTAACAATATTTACAGCGAATCGAATCATCTAAGGTATGAATATAGATTTATGATCAAACTAGATTAAGACACTTTAAATATATGGCAGACTTAATTAATACAAACAAATATACAAATCTTATTAAAACACAAAGAAAACTTAACTATGAAGATATTGCAAGAATGGTATAAGGATCTATTATGATTAAACAGAAGTATTTTCTAAAGTTTATTCAAGAAAGCAAAACATATGTTCTCTGGAGATGTAAAGTCAAATATTTTTCTCTCTAAATCTTAAAGATTTAAAACTAAAAGTCTAAAATAAAGTAAATGGCTGAGGAATATATAAATGTAGGCTGGTCAAAACGAAAAGAAATATTTGCTCTTTTATGTAAGAAAACTATCGGTGGACGACAACTAAAAATGACGGTCAAAATGATGTACTCGATTTGTTCAACATTCTTGTTTTTATTTGTTTGATTCTGCTGATTTGTTCCAAAAACTCGATAAAGACTAAAACACTTACATGACCACACCGAATACATATTTGAATATTAGAGTCAAATATGTTAGTACAAATCCTAATGTACCATCAAACAAGTGGCTGAATCTTTTTGAAAGTTTTTAAATACTTTATAATAAAATTCAAATTTTATGTATTCAACTTTCTTGTTTGTAAAACTATTTTACTATTTAAATACTTGTTAGTTTTTATAATTAATTATTTGCTTAATTTAATCATTATCTGGTTTTTTTATAAATATGGAATTTTTATTTTTTATTTTTAATGGTCTGAGACCAACCAATGATAATTTGTTCTATATTTCAAGTGTAAATCATTATTTACAAATGCATTTAAATTTGTGATTTTGAGTTGTCACTCTTAAAATTAAACTACTAAACAACCATTCGTTTGGTAATTACATTTTTTCATTTTCTATAATTGCTTTTCTTAAATGAACTAATTTCTTACGTTTATGTTAATTTGGTTTCCCATGCATATGCTATGATCCACATCCACTCGTAGTGATGTGGAGATGATGATTGCATTGTGATTAATTAGCTTAAAAGTGGGGATTTGGGAATATTTGCAAAAAGTTTTGTCAATGTTAGCTGAAAAGTTTTACTCTTCCTTTGTTATGGGTTCACATGCTATGATGGCTTTGTGTGATCTATATTAGCAATCGAGTGTGGACTTTTAGTGGTTGGTTCTTGGACTTTAGTGTGTTGAAAAATAAAATAAAAGTAGCAAAAAAATAAAGAATGAGGCTTTTGACGTAATATATGATAAGAAGGGGCGACTCGGATGTTACAAAGACGTACACAAGATTTGTTGTCAGTGGCATTAAATCTGAGTACTTAAAACATCTTTTTAGAAAAAGATACATAAATTGAATTTCTTATGTATAACGTGGTAGTATAATGGGCATGTTTGTTTAGTCGCCGCATACGACAGTCAAAAGCGGCATATGCAACGTTTTTGATCGTAAATTTGTAACTGCGGAACGTAACGTTTACTGTTAAGCATTATTCATGTATTTCAGAATTTTAGTTTGGATTTGATTTAGGTATGATTCAGATTGTTTAATTATTATCCAACCCGCAACTATCAATAATATCCGATTAACCCAAAAATTAATATATAAAGCCAAACCATGACATGATCAAAACAATTTTTTTTTCAAATAGCTACACAAAATGCTCTATCAGTAACTCTCATTTTGATACGTACATGCTTGTATGTATTCATTCCTAGCAATATGTATAATAACACTTTTAGTAAATAGGGTTTAACCTATAAGATCTGAATCTACATTCACTAGATTAAGCAATAGAGTCTAGAAACACAAACTTAATTATAAAACTACTAAGACATAACATAAAGATTAATGAAAAGAATTACATAATTAAATACAAGTATAAAAATCTAGGGTTCAGAATTATTCTCTGATGAAGATGTCAAGTCAAAATATTCGTCTCCCTAGATCTTATATATACATGTGTGAAGTTCTGAATCTTTTTGAGTGGCATACATTTTTAAGGGTTCAACAGCTTGGAATGGCTGTCGGTAGACTGGCTTCCAAAAATGTTTTGACTTATCTGATGTTTGGATCGACAAATTTCTTTGTTGGCTGCAACTTTGTCCAAATGTTTTAATTTTGGTCCGAGCCAACGTCGATAAAGACCAAATTCTTGATAAAGAACACATAAAATTAACATATTAAGACTCAAAGTTAGTACACAACTACAAATCCTAACATATTTACCCAAACATGCGGTTCTACTTTTCAAACTTATCTATAATTTAAATGAAACTAAAATTTGATGAATTTAACTTATCTTTTTAGAGAGATTCCTCTATATATAAATACCACATTTTTGAAATCTTTTTTGTTATATTTTGGTTTGTCTATCTATATTAACATTTTTGAAGTACCTTTGGATTATAACCTTTTATTTTGTAATATTTGCATAATTAAATTTTTGCCATTTGAATAGATAAGAAAACTTTATTTTTGAAAATATATAGATAAAGGGGGTATTTTTAAAAATGGATACACCAAAAGGGGTATTTCTCAAAAAAATTCATAAAATCAAATAATTCTCTAAT